AAGTAACACGTGAGAGAGTACTCGATATTTTGTTTTTTTTTTACGCGAGCACTTGTGAAATACAAGATGACGAGGTCTCATTATTATCGTCAACTTAATGAAATTTCAGTCGAGTAGGACGTGAAATAAAAAAATTTTCGAGAGCCGGTTGAATAAAATTATCTCGTATATAAAGTCTCGTTTTTCTCTCTCTCTCTCTCTCTCTCTCTCTCTCTCTCTCGAAAACTCGTCACAATAAAACTCTGCCGAACCCTTTTCTGTTTGCTGTGACTCCGCACACACACAGTGCGGGGAGTTTTTTTCTGCTGCAGTTAAAGTAAACTTATTGAAAAAAAATAAAAAAATGAGTTTGATCGGAAGTAAAAATTCGAAGAACGCCAAGAAACACATGTGCGATCGCGCGCGCGCGCGCGCGAGGTAAATCTATAATAAACACTCCGAGATAACCCCGCTGATATTTTTCGACGACTCAAAAAAGTTTTCCCGCCAATTGATCGGCCAATTGCCACTTACGGGCATAAAATACACACATAACGAGTGCGCGTTTTCACGTGCGGACGCATACAACCTGTTCAACGATTTGAAAACGCAAATACGAGTAACAGTGGGATTAAAACAGTTTGTGGTCAAACACAGAGAGGCATCCTTCGTGAATGGTAGTAATGGCAGATCACTCGTGCGAAGAGAGAGAGACCCATTGCGTATTGTACAGAATACGTGAGAGTAGGATTTATTTCTATAGGCTCGACGACGCGTTATAACAGCCGGCACTCTGTCTCTCTTCTCGCCGACGAAAGGGTGATGTCTAATGTCTATTCGTTCTGCCGCACCCACATACACACAACCGTCTCTCGTATATAAATCACATTTTAATGCAACAACAAGTACGTCATAAACGGCTTGATATCGAAAAGTAGAGCAAAACATCTGCTACCGCGAGAGTATCTTAAATAGACAAATGACAAAATGTGTTTTTTTTTTTGCTATGATTTTTCAAATTAAATTCAATGAGAAACAAAGAAGTTATTTTTTGGGAGATTATACGATACAAATCGAGCACCCGATATAGATTTTCGGATTAAAATTAACTTTTGAGTAATTGAGTGTGTAGTAATGTAAAAAAAATATTCTGCACGTACATTCGTAAGAAAAAAACTCTAATGACTCTTATAATTTGTCTGTCTCAATTAGATACTAATAGAGCCGTGTACGATTATTTGTTCAAATGACAAAAGTTCGAGAGGACTTGCTCTCCTTCTGCTTGATCTTTTGCCAAGGTTCGAACCTTAATTACACACACACACACACACATTTTGTCTAACAGTAAACTAATGTTCTCCATGCATTAATCTTGCCTTGTGGAATCAAGGAGGGTGGGAGACGGAAACGCGAGCACGTGCATTCGCGGACATACGATTTGACGGTACCGGAGACCCGGTGTGTGCGGCTAATCGATAGTAATGTCAATATTAAAACTGTGTAATAGCGCGTTAGTACTGCGAGGGTAATCGCCGCGGACTCGTCCAGCTGTGTCCACACGGCGCTTTACAGATTTCTAATGTTCCGTTCGAAGTGCTACGGGCAAATTGATTTATTGACCTGGTCCGTGATATTACCGCATGACTTATCGCGCCGGCAATTTCGTCGCGAAACTATTGGTTTAACTAATACATACCTGTAATATGTAGCGTGTCCCCTCGGCGTATTTCGCAAAGAAAGGATACGAAAGCTCCGACACGATGGTGTATAACCGAAAGGTCTCTCGAATAAATATTTCTTTAAAAAGATTTTTTTTTTACATCAATTTAAACAGACATAAAAATGCACATATTAAAAAAAAAAACACGCAAATTGGAACAAATTAAAACTAGCGAAAAAAAAACAAGCCGATATTAGGGTGTATTACGTTTGCATTGTGAATTTTAGCTGGTGACAGTAAATATTTACTCGGTTCTCTCTCTATTAATTTGCGAAATAATAGCACGGATTATCTTTGCAAATGTAAAATTCCAACCAAAAAAAAAAAAAAAACTCGGAGAAATAAAAAAAAAATTACGCGCGTGTAACTTAACTTCCAGAACGCGATCGGAATTGTTTACATAAAACGAGAACACGCGTGTATAGGTATCACACCTATCACCGCCGTAAATTTCGTTCTAATTCGGCCTCGGGAAAGGAGGGCGAATTTTATTCCGCAAATTATTATTCAGTTTAAAGTGTATCTGGTCACTTTTATAAATATTGTAAATCGCGACACGTCGTCACGACCCAATAAACGAGACGCCTTCGATCGGAAAATATATATATCCAACTATCGATCGCATGCATATGCAATGCCCGGCACGATCAGAGCGACGGGCGGTTGAGCACCCTTATCAAATACCCCCGACGCGCATGTCAGCTGATCGGGGGTGGAATATCAAAGGCGCCGGAGGGCGGGGCTGCCGGGCCACTCGCATGGCTTCGCCGTCGCTCGGAGAGCCTCTCTCTTTCTATCTCCCCGTCTTTCTCTCTCTCTTTTTCTCTCTGTTTTTTATCGTTCTTTCGCGAACAATAACCTTTAACCTTATCTTACTTAAGCGCCAACTTGGCCCAAACTTCCGGGATACAGATAAAGTTCATTCAATGTTAATGTTTCGCGTAAATTAAGTGTCCTTTATCAAGGATAACATTTATTCATGATCTCGTCCTCGCCTACAATTTCGCGCGCGCGCTCTCTTTCTCTCTCTCTCCGCGCTCTCTCTTCGATCTTCCTCCGTTCTGCTCCGCCTTCGAGATTTTGTTTCGACGTCTTTTATACTCGTGTTTTTTTTTTTTTTTTTTGGTTCTATTCATCCGAGAGTTTCTTCCCCGTTTACTACTGGAAAACATTGCATTTCAGGTAACTTTCGTCGTCATATTGTGCTTCCCCGCAAGATTTCATAATCTTATTATTATCTCGAGGACTCTGTGTTTTAGATAAAAAAAAAAAAAAAATAGTGCGAAAACATTACGGGTATCGAGAATGAGTGCGAAGTGAGAGGATGAGTTTCGCAAAGAAGAAGAGGAGTATCTTCCACCGCGTTCCCTTGCAAATGAATTCTTTGTAGCGCATAATATTTCTCCGTCGCGTCTTTCTTCTGCTTTGTGCAAAATCGACTTGCTAATTGCCGTATTATTTGCTACAATTGTTTTGTCGGACGAAGCCTGCTCTCTCTCTCTACGTCTTTAATTTGCGCGCAAATTTCACAAACGTGCGTTTTTTTTTTTTTTTTTTAATAATAAACTCCGCTCTAAAATTATTAATAACTTCGCGTTAAAAATGTAAGCTCTCTGAAGGTGTCACTCGACAGAATTTCTCTTGTTTATCCCTCATTGTTTCGGTTAATAGTCTCTGCTCGCTCCTACAAAAAACAAAACAAAACAAAACAAAGCGCCGTATTTAATTTTCACCTCGGAACAAGTTAGTTCTGCATGACAAATCAGCGTCGCGATGTTTGCTTTTGTTTGACGCTTTAGAAATTGCAGCTTGCTCCTTTTTTCTACGGTGCGTTGCGTCACAATGCGAATATCGCGGAGTTTCCGCCTCTTGCGTCCGTACAACGGGAGGAACAAAACGATGCACCCGGGGATGAGAAGAAGAAGAGAGAACCGACGGGAGGGACGGGGGAGAGTGGGGGGAGGCGGCGAATATACGCGCACACCCCACGCGCGCTGTATAATGCGATTATGCACAGGGAATATGTAGGGAGAATTAAATGCGAGTTAAAAAGGCATTAAGTAATTTCCGCGCAATCCTCTTACGCGTTTGAACTTCTCAATCCGCATAAACATCGCTCCTGAAGTCGGCTAATACGAAAACTTCATTTTTACTTCGCTGCGCCGAGCTGGTGTTTTATTTATTTTTATTTTTATTTTTTTTTTTTGCTTTCGCGCGAACGCTACTCTTGACATCGCAACGTGCGATACGCGATGATCAATTGCTATCTTTCTTTCTCTCTCTTTCTCTCTCTTGAGATGATTACATCTGCTTTAAGATAACTTTAATTAGCAATTTCTCTCCCGTTTCTTCTTTGTGTGTCTCGTAAATACAAATCAGGATATTATTTAAAACTTACTTCGTCGCGATATTCACCTTGTAAAGATGGATTTCTCTTTCTCTCTCGTTCTTCGGAAAATACTCGCGCGCTGAAAGAAGCGATCCGAGACAATTAAAGAATACAAGAAAGTGTAGTCTAATAGAGAAGACTCCGAAGTCCGGAGTTTGAAGAATCTTATCGGGTCAAGAACAACAATGACGGGGGGAGGCGTCGAGGCGCGAAACGCGAACAATAAGCATGTCCGTCGGCTTTGCCGCCGATCGCGTCCGCGTAATGCGCTTTCGCCCTAACAAGATTGACCTCCCACGAGCCGTGTATCCATTCAGGGGTCGGTGGCGATTAATCCGCGCTCCGTGACTTTTCGTTTCTGCCAAGAGAGAAAGAGAGAAAGAGACGCAAGACGAGGGGTCCAGCTGTCGACGGGGCACCGGCTGCGCGTACAATATCGCCGTGGCTTTTGGGGGATCCAAGATGACGGTTCTTCCGTCGGGCGCGTTATGTGACGAGGGGTTACTACAGTTACGACGACGACGACGACGACGACGACGACGGCAACGACGACGGCAACGACGATGACGGCGGTGGCGTCAGCTTGCGCGCAAGAAGAAACGGCTGACCCCGTGTCTGCGGACGCTGCCGAACCGGAGAGAAAAAGTCGACCCTCGCGGATTTATTGCGACTCCGAGATTCGGCGGTGCGGCGAAGGCTCCTCTTTCTCCATCGTTCCGCCATCGGGTCCAACTCCGTGATCACGTTTTCTCGAGTTTCCTGTGTGCGTTTCTTCTTTCGACGAAAAAAAATTCAATATCGGCAATTTCGCGCGGCGATCAAACGCGCATAACACAACGCCGGTATGAAAAAAGAAAAAAAAGAAACAAAAAAATTGCGTGTAAATTGATTGTCATCTCGTCCTCCGCAAGAAAAATTCCTCTCTGGTCTGCGATCTTGTACGAGTTTTTTTTATTTTCAATTAAGTTACGAATCTCTGTCAGAGGCTAGATATGTATACATAAAATATGATTAATCCATACAACGCGTATAATACACATCTGTGCAATGCCGAGAAAAATATATTGCGTTTATGTATATATAATTCTTCTACATTTCTTCTCAACACTTTACACGGTACAAAGTGGCGCGAACGTGCACGGCGCCGTTCGCGAGAAAATGTCACGGGACGAGGGCGGGACGAGGAGAGAGGGAGAAAACGTTCACGCGGCGAGATTCGTGCAAATCGTGATTTATCGGAACGAAATCCGGAAATCCATCACCGCGACTTTTCTCCCGGACGGGAAACAGGGAGGGGGGGGAGAAGATCTTCGGTCATTCGTATATCACACCATGTTGTCACCGGCCAACATGTGTCCGGGGACGCTCTTTCGCGATTAATGCACGAGACATACACAAACGAAATGAAATACTCGGAGTCTTGAAATATTCTGATACGAGATTGATCGATCTTGTGTCTCTTGTAACTTATGGGATTGAAACTCTTAAAGAGCGACTCGATTTCGCGTTAACGTATCGTTGCGCGAGTAAATAAAAAAGAAAAGCAAGGAAACGCTTGATTTGTTTTGAAGCTTGAACTATTTTTCTCAAGAACTGTTTCGAATCTCTGAGACGATACGAAATTATCGATTAAGATAAAAAAAAGTTCTTGTACCATTGTTTTTAATCTTTGTACTAAAATAAGAGGCGAGCGTGTGCCATGTTCGATTGATCGCGGGAACGAACGACGACAAATTTACGCGGACGCATTAATGGCGGGGGGAAAGGGGAAGGGAGTGTCGTTTTACAGGTGGCAATAGGGGAATTGCGAATGGTAGGAAGTGATTTATAAGGGTACACCGAATTCGATCGTTGTGTGTGCACGTGCGCTAAAGCTCTCGTTTTAGCGGCCATCGCGTCCGACGGTTCTTTCCCTTTTTTTTTATTTTTTTACTTTTTTGGGACGCAATTTTGTCACAAAATTCACGGCCTCGCCAAATTAGTGTTTGCGTGTCGACAAAAATTATTATCTCGATGCGTCTCGGATAAATCGAGGAAGAGAGAGGGCGTAAGAATGAAACGTCATATTTTTTTGTTTGAGATCATGCAGTGTGGCGCGACAAGACGAAAATAATGTCAGATGAGAGACTAATGTTAAATTAAAATTCGTACAAACGAGTACTACGTATTTTTACGAAGTCACGAAAAAATTTCGTGTGTTCGTGGAATCAGCGAAGTTACCGAAACAATAAAAACAAAAAAAAAAAACAAAAAATAAAAAAAACCAAAAAAAACGACAAAAATCGATGCACATGCACCTGTGAAAATGCGTGTTGTCGTTATCATATTGCAACGATTCCGTTTACATTGTAAACGCTGTGTAAATGTGTTACGAAAATATATGAGGTCACATATATGTATATATATATATATATGAGTGACAATTAACTCCGATATAGTTCACGCTCATCGCGGAAAAGGTATCATGTGTACACGTTGATGATAATGAGTTCGTCACGTCGTAAGTTACGTCAAATCTCGACACTGAAGCACGTGTCATGTTTAACATTAAATAAATAGAGAAATTAAACGGAGCCGGTTTTTGGCAGGGGCTTCAGTTTGGAAGTTAGATCGCGCCGCTGCTCATGGTACTCCTGGAAACAGGGCACGATGCACAGATTGATCTGACACTGGGGACACTGGTACTTGGTCTTTCTACGGAGTATTCTGCCGTGATCGTCGATCGTGTTCCAGCAATGATTGCAGCCCAAAGCGGGTCCCTGGCGCAATACCGGACAGTGACCCGATCGGTGATCACCCGTGTTTTCGCTAGGCTCTCTGCTGCTCGTCTGTAAGCGTTGGATGTAACAACAACATCTTTAACATACATAATTGCACGCACGCGTGTGCGAGAATATTTACCTGCGGGGATGACGAAGCTCGTCGCAACTCCGTTGACTTCACCCTCAATCCACCGGTGGTGGTAACGCTGCCTCCGCTGCTGCTTCCGATCAATGGATCGGAGGCGGTGGTTGTCGTTGGAGTCGGAGTTGTCTCGTCGCAAAGCTCCTCCTCCGTTTTGATGACGGGCGCCGGTTCGATTATGATCGAGGGACTCGTGGTCCTACCTGGCAACTCCGGATGGGAGTGTTGTCGCTGTATCCAGTAAGTCCCGGACGTGCTCGGTTGCTGACTAGATAGCAGCGGGTGCGAGTGCTGTTTTGTCAGGTACGCCGGTTGCGGCACCGTCAACAGACTGGACGACGTAGTCACCGCCAACAGATTCGGATGACTGACCAGTATGGTGTGCGCTGGCGGTGATACACGCGACTCCTCAAGGCTCCTCGACGCCTGAGGAAGATTCAGCGTCGGTGTGACTATGTGGGGCGATGAACCCGAATCACTCTCCGGCGACTGATGAGCTGACAGAGTCGGCTCCTTCTTCAGCCGCGGTTGCCTGATCAGCAGCCGCGGCCTCTTCTTCTCCGTGGGTGGCGACTGCTTGCACTGAAGAACTATAATAACAAATATGTAGTCTTGAGAGACAACAAAAGAAAAAACGAAACATCATCTACTTCAACAATACATGAAAAGTTGTCGGTTTATTATACAACAGATTGACGATTTATAAAATTATGATTTTTTTAAGAAAATATAAATACTGGGTTATATATTCTTATTATTATTCAACATCATAATAATATGCTACGTAATATGTGATGTTGATTAATAAAGAAAAGAAGGTTGTACAAACGCTGAGAAGAAGTAACAGGACTCACATTCTGTTGCAAATTGTTAGAATAATTTTTATTCCTTCAGAATTATCTTTTAATCTTCTATGTATATATATAAGGGGTATAAATGTTTCTTAGAAGTGTGTGTGTGTGTGTGTGTGTGTGTGTGCGCGCAATTAATAGCTATTGTATATTATTATTTATAAACACTTAATTTCTATCTTTAAACTATTCAAATATATATTTCTCGAGAAAGTGTTGCACATTTTCTTCAATATAAAGAATTTTTTTTTTTTTGTAGAAATAAATAAGATGAAAATATATGTACAATCGAAATATTCTTTTCAAGTGGTCTTCAGCGTTCGACGTGTTTTCTTGTGTGTTCAATACATGCATTACTTTGCTCTTTTAACGATTTATATATAAATTGTTGAGTGATGCACAATACAATACAACAAAGAACACAGCAAATTCGAAAGGAAAATTACTTTTGCACGCACAAGAAAAATTAGAAACATTAACTTTTATTTTACAGTTAATAGTAAAATACCATAGGTATAGATTGTTCTATAGAGTACTAACATGTTTCGCTGAAACCTGGAGAATATACATAACAAATTATATTATTATTAAACATAACAAAAACACAGATATCATAGCGAAATGGTATACATACACAGTATTCGTACAGTATTTATAAATGTTCATTTTCTACAGTTCAACCACATATCTCACATGGAATTTACAATTTAATTTATTTTAAACTAGTAGAATTATTTCCGCACAATAGCGGATAGATTAACTTAATTATAGTATATAACGATAGTAGATTTGCAATTCGTTATTTTATGTTCATTTTCGTTAACGTAACTTCCTAATCGTCAACTTGTTCGAACGAAACAAACGTGATTCGAAGATTATATAAAAGAAGTAGTCGTGTATAATAGATTATACGTGTCGAGAAACTATATTATATGTATGTAAAAAGCGCAAACAGGCAAACAAATTAAGTAAATACCGTATACAGAGGAAAACAAAAACGTTTATCTATAGAAAGTCTAGCGTAGCGTTTCTCATATATTTATCAACATATAGCAACAATTAATAATTGTAATACATGTATTGATAGATAATCAGCGTGTGCATAATGGTAGTCCCGTAATAATGTTTCCGGACACACATGTGCAAATACAGATGACGCAATCTTTTGTAATCTTATCTCGTCCTTTTTACTATTTACAGGTGTAGCACGATAAACTACAAGGATCAGTCAGTAATCGAGAGTAAGGTGTGTATTATTTGTATATGTATATATGTATATATATATATATGTATATATATATATATATAAATGTTTATGTATACACGTGTATGTTATGTATGTAAATATATATTTTTTTCGCTATATGTAATATGTACAATGTTATATACGACAACAGACAATGGTGGTTCAATGATTAATAGCAAAGTACATATTATTTTATCGCCGCCGCGCGAGTGTGTAACCATGTACTGTACCCAACTTGGAAATAGAATGAACTTTGCCATTAGGTATCGATTGATTCTCGTAAATACTAAAGATAAACAAATTTCACTATTTACCAATGCCGTAATGATTTATGCCGTAATCATTAAAGCACTGAGACTGCATCAATTTCAAGACAATGCCAAAGATTTGCGTCAGTAATGTCAATAAACAAAAAGCTACATATAGCTAATATATCAATAAATATATACATTATTAATATGTGTACATACAGTGTGTCTGACAAATGTTGACCAAGCCGAAGTGTAAAGGTAGATTGCATTGATCTGAGTCAAAAAGTCATGTAACATTTTAGAAAAATTCGCAATAATTATTGAGTGATTAATTAACACATGTGATCCAATGAGCGCGATGATCCGAATTCTGTAGGCGTATATGATTTTCAGTTGTAAAGAAAAATGGCAATTTTCTAACATGTGACACTTCTTGCGATCAACTGAAAATCACAGACACAGAATCCGGATCATCGCTTATTACGTGCTCATTGAGTCACATACACTAATTAATCATTCAATAATTATTGCAAATTTTGTAAAATAGCACATAACTCTTTTCGATCTAGATTAATTTAATGTACTTAATCTTCACACTTCGGCTTGGTCAAAATTTTTCAGACATCTTACATGTATTATATTATATAATATATATACATACGTATATTATGTGTATATTAATATATATTATATATTACTAATCATGTGTTAATTAATTTATACATATTTAATATATATTAGCCAATATATCTCTCACAATATAAAGCCTTACAATATAAATCGCCGACAAACGGATTAGGCATGTCACTGTAAATCCATTTAATTTATCACATCATAAACATCTTAGCTCAAGAGTCATGTGCGGTTATGTGATTGATAAGAAAAATTGAAGCGAAGCATAAAAATAAAAATGTTTCAATAAAACAATATATATATCTGAAAAAAATTAAATATATATAATAAAAATATATTAGTGTAAATAATATAAATAAGATGCGTCAAAAAAAGTTGCGTACGATCTTTTTTATGAACTAGAAATATAAAAAAAGTCCAAATATTTTAAGAATCACAAAGATGATTTTTTCATTTAATGAAATCCCGATTTTGTGTTACACACATCAGGATATTGCAACAGAAGAGTTATAAAGATTGCCAAATCTCACAGACCCGAAAAAAAAAAAACTAATTTCACTAAATCTTTACGCATACATATATGTACGTATATTGCATTATACAAGCGGGTCTAAGGAAGCAAAGTAATATTTCTCAAAGTCGTCTATAGAAGTGATTTTCCGAGTAAGATTCAGTTCACATGGTGTTGTAATTAACGCCGTGCAGATTGATCGGCATCGTGCTACTCGGCAATGAGTAATCCGTGTGCCTGCTGTCAATGTAACCGCTCAGCATCGTGTGTGGACTGTGACTGGTCAGCATGGTGTGAGTCGTGTGAGTATTGTGTGTGCTGTGCGGAGTTGTTGGCGGACCCATCGGCGTCGGGCTCTGCGAGTTCATGGGCTGCGCCGCCGGTGGCGCCGGCGGCGGCGAGGAGTTGACCTCTTGCTTAACGCGGGATTTGAGACTGGGCCGATTGTTCGGGTAGCCGCGCTTCTTATACTCGAGCCAGAGCGTTCGGTTGTTCACGCCGAACATCCTGGCCGCTTTGCAAAACCCTATGCCGCCGTAGCGTACGGCGTCGAGCGCGCGTATAAAGTTCTCGTCCGCCTGTGGATTAGTCGAGCGCTTCCTCTTAATCGCAGTCTGCGGGCTGGCGCAAGGACTCTGGCAGTTACTCGGGCACTGCGTCGATGGCGAGGGTCCGCCCGACGACGAGTGCTGCAACGTCCCGTGGGAGGAGTTCGGATAGTTCGTCAAGGCGCAACTGGAACCAGTCGTGCTGGTACCAGAGTACTGATCGCTGATGGTCGAGGATGCCGTTATTTCGGGCGTCGTAAACGCCGACGACGCTTGGATCGACAGATTCGTTTGACACGAGGACAGAGCGAAACGTGGATGATATGTGTGCTCCATAATAGTCCATTGTAATCCTGTAGAACAGACCGATTCATGTTTGGTCAGAGCACAGGAATGATCAACCCGCTGATAGACATCGCGTTTATTACAGCGCAAAGATAAGTGACAGAGTAATATGACTTGTAACACTATGAGATCTTATGATGAAATGAACAGAACGAGATTGTAATTTCATTCGATGAATCTTAGATTGACGTAAGAATCTTAAATTATTAGCTGATTTGCTCGTATGAATCACAATATTTCTATATGCTATATTTTTTTCAGAAAAAAGATAGCATTCATTAACTTCTATCAAAGATATATCAATGTTAAATGTTACATTCTGTCATCACTAATGCAACTCGAACTATGAATCAAAACAACAGATAATACGTCATCATATCTCTGTTATGAAACAAGACATGTTGAAATATATAGAATTATGATCTAATAAAACAAAAACAAAAAGTAAAGTTCGTATAGTCTATGGTATATGTAGAGAAACAATATATATATATATATATATATATACTAAGCTAAGTAAGCGAAAGATGATAGGTATTGTAAAAGTAAAAACAATCTTGTAAAGAAACGATAAAAATGAGCGTATTAAAATATGAAGTTGCAGCATGGCACAGATACATTTTCAAGCACATCGTTAGTTTTAATAATAAAACATATATGTATATATACGACGAGTTTTTTCTCTTTTTTTTTTTGTTTTTTTTTTTTTTACATTTAATAAAGGCACACATACATATTCTATTAAATGTCGAACGCCCAATGTGAACGCACTTTTTTGCATTTCACGAGCATAACGTACTGTGTGCTATGTATCTGTGTACCATGGTGACTTTCTTTTTTTATATATGAATGAGAAACACTTTTTTAAATTGTTATTATTATTTTTATGCACATTCGCATTTATCAGAATTCCAATTCCTGAAAATTTCGCTCTATTTTCATGTCAAACGTCCGTTGATCCTTCTTGTGCAATACATTTAAACGCATCTGTGCCAGCATATATATATATAAATATATATATGTATATAATATAAAAATGTGTAAAATTTCGCTCATCGATCATGCAGCTTAAAATACCCACCACACAGTCAGTATGCAACAATTGAAATAACAATTACGTATTAAAGAACAATCGGAAAAGTATGTTTGCTGAAAGGGGGAGCTATCATGCAGATTGCGATATCACATTCTAGACAAAATGTTACAATGTATGTAAACCTACTACGACAACTATGTATCATTAAAATATGCAATTACGATTGACTCGTGTACACGATAACGTAATACCCATGAATTAAAACCCATGTCTTTGAACTTTCATACGTTTGTACACAAGTCAGATTATTAACACCGTATCAATCAATCTGTTGTATAATCGATGATGAGTTCATCTCTCTGACTAATCATGTAAAAACAGGATTTAATATGATCAGATTTAGTTACACGTGTTTTACGATGTGAATCACATTAAATTGTTCGATCATGTACGTTCTTTGAAAAACTTGCATTCTTTTTACGCGCGATATCAATTATTAGTATAAATTTTTTTTATGGATGTTATACAGTGTGAAAAGTACATAGTTCCCATATAATATTATTTTTATAGCATACGACTTGATAAGCAACTTATTTTTATTTTTTTTCAGAAAAATAAAATTCATAAAAACATACGTATTCAAAGAAACATATTTAAATTATTTTTATCTACATGAAAGAATGAGAAATTATCTTGATTTACAGCCACATACAAACTTATAAAACACATGCGGCATAAAAACGTAATAACAATTTGCATTTCTAATTTTGTATACATTAACCTTTGGTAGACTAATTTTTGTTCTATGCATAATATGTTTTACGGCAAGTAGTAAAGTTTATAATATTACGTTGCTCCTGAGTTTTGCTAGGTTTTTGGAATCTCTCATCTGAACTTATCTAAAGCAATTTTAGCAATAAGTTTTACATCTTACCTTGATGAACTGGTGGTTGCGAAGAAACAGAACTTGGTTGTCCAATATTTGTCGCGGTCGGTTGACTCACATCCTGAATAGAACCGTCGCTTTGAGCCGGCGTGTTGGCTGAACTGGTCTCCATATTACTCATCTAAAAACAAAAATACAAAACCAAAATACAAGAATGCTGTTCAAAATCGGTTCTGGATTCAATGAGAGAAGAAAAAAAATGTTACTTACGCGAGTACTTACAATCGATATTTGATCCTCATCAATACTGCCCTGAGATTCTGTGCTGGTATTTACCGGTCTTTGCCTCAAATTCTCTCCGCTTTCTTGAGAGGCAATTAGAGGTTCAGGTTTTACAATGTTAGTAGCCACCAACGTGATTTCGTTAATCTCTTCCGGTTTGTCGCCTGAGCCAGAGGTCGAGCCTGTGGAAGATTTCCGTAATCTTTTTCTACGAAACGAGGGTGACAATGGAGACGGACTGGGTGAACAAGATTCACCGCGATCTCCTCCGCCGGTTTCGCTGCTGCCGCTTGGCCACTTGGTCAATGACGCTGTGTGCATTTCTGCGAGTCCCTTTATTTTTAAACTCTCTGCAGTCTGTTAAGTAAACAATATGTTACCAACTGATCAGATACAACAATATATTATTTTGGATTACACACCGATCATTGATTATACCTACCTTTATGATGGATGGCAGCTGATCCTGTGATATGTTTACTTCCCCGTAATACATAAAGTCCACCATAATTTTCAAATCGGAATATTTAATGTCTTTAAGTATAACGATAGGATGCTGACAGGGATTCACTGTGAACAGCGACTGAAAGTAGGTACTGCACGCCGACAGTACGACTTTGTGAGCTTGAATTTGCCTGCCCTCGGCAGCAAGGGTGACGTCCACCAAGGTTTCATTGTTCAGCAAATTGGAGAAAACTGAGATGAAATTTGGCTGATGATTGTTCCATCGTAAGCAATACTGTTGCATAGACATTGTGACCACGCTCTAGGAATCTCTTCTGCAATTTGACTATAACACACACAAAAGACAAACATGTTTATAACATTGTTTACAATTTAAATACAAATACATTTGTAATTAAATATAAATAATAAATATAAATAATAAATATAAATAATAAATAATTAAATATAAATATTACGTAGCAATATGACAAAAAATATACACAAAAATACACACTCGAGATTTATTATTGCATAAAAGTAAAAACTTGCTCCGATATATATTTTTAATAAATAACAATGTTATACATACATACATATATATATACATAAATATTTACACACACATCATCATTTGTACGTATTAATTAAGAAACAACATCGAAATGAATACTTGACAATTTCCCGTTTCGGGAGTTTTTCTTTGAAAAGAGTCGCAAAACCAACACAGAAATACAGTTAGAAAGTGTCAGCCGAGACGTGACATGTCGAGTGCCGCGGAAATACACAAACTTCGACGACGTTCTCTCGACGTCATGGAAGATGCACGACCTAATAGGTAAACATTGTACATCCTGTATTCGTCGCGAGATCTGTGCGCGAGTGTAGCTTTTGCGTGACGATAATACATAGTTATATTAACACAACACGATTATACGTGAACCGCACGAGAACGACGATTCTGGATGGAAAAGCGAGAGGAAGACGGAGGAAGTCAGCGGAGTGCTTACTCGAGTCGTGAAAGGGCTTCCTTGTCCTCGGCGAATCACCTCCGTGGCTGGGCCACGCGTTTTGCCCGTCGAGGAAAACTCGCCTTTCTCGCTCGTTCGTTCGCTCGCTCGCTCGCACCGGTCCGTCGGTTTAGAGCGCAACACACCTCGTCGCTACCACCGCGAACCCCACGAAATTTTCCACAACAGACTGAGCGATGACGCTTGTGTAATTCGCGAATGACGTCATGGACGTGGGGGAGGATTTACGCGGACGCGAATGCGTGAACGCGCGGGAGTCGCCGCGCGCGCTACCGATTATTCTTTTCTCGCGGGAGTCGCACACGCGAGTTGCCCTCGAGCGACAAACGTTTCGCACACACGGGGGGGAAAAGGATTGCGTGAAGGATCGAAAAATACGCGAGATCTTATCAAACGCGCGTCCTCTCGTGAAATCTAACTTGATCAATATAGCGGGCCCGGCCGGCGTCGCCACCTGGCGAGCGATCCGCGCGAACGCGAACGCGCACGTTTTTTCGAACGCGGGGATGCACAAACAGACGGTGTTTTTTTTTTTTTTATTACAGTGTATCATTTCTCGAACGTTTCTCTGAAACGGTCTCGTGTATTGCGGGATGTTACAAGCAATAATTGTTTTTCATATCTACATCATCTGATTTCAACTTTTAATTGATGAACGTTGATCAAAGAACATATTTCAACACGCCCATGGGCAGTTGTTGAAAAATTTACGCGAGAATCGTGTACATTGTTCTCCTATTTCTCATAAAAAAAAAAAAAGGAACAAACCTGTCAACGCGAGCCGCCGTGTTTGATGGAGTCACGCAAAAAAAACGTCTTTATTTCATCTCATCGTGTGCAAAATCCCAAATCCCGTAATGCGCCGAAGGAACGAAGTTAACACAGAGGAGAAACCGCAACGATGATTCTCGACCGGTCGATAAATCTCGAGGCGCGACTCTTCTCGACTTTCGATAACTCGCGATTATAACTCTCGATTCACCTCGTCGAGAAATTCCCTCCCTCGTCTGACAAGTGCTGCTGCTCCGTTGCTGCGAAAACTCGGTCGAAAAACAGGTGTCGTCCCCACTTTCCGGACGTCCTAACCTCGGTGTTGATCGCTCCGCTCCGCGCCGCGCCGCCTCGCGCGATGTCAGGCGTATCCTCCGCTTAGTGTGCGACGACGGGCGACATGCATGCACGCGAACTACCTCCTGCTCCTGTTTCGCCGCGCCGTTAGAGCTTCGGGTGCCAGAAGAGGGTGACAGAAGGTGCGTATCGACGAAATGGGATGTCAAGTAAATCGACCAACCGCGAGAGAAGAGCGACGAGAAAGAAAGAGAGCGCGAAACCCGCGTCGTCGTGTATAACGCGCGCGCTGCTGTATACGTCCGCAGATCTGCGTTAAGGTTCTCGCGAAAAGATCGTTCCCGTGTCTCCGACGGTCCCGGGGAACTCGACTTGGGGCATTTGGTACCGGCTGATCCGCGCGCCGTTAACGATCGCTCCTGCGTTGGGCGCGCTCGGTGTTCGAGGATTGTTTCGAGGAGAATAATCTCAGGATCCGCACGTCTTTCGCGAACAAAATTCATTCTCGCACGTGCACGCATCGCCGTAACGCGAACTTGCGTCTCGTCGCCGAGGCGTCGGGTCACAGTTGACACATACATACACACACATGCACACACACACACACACACGGGGAGTGTGTTTGAACGAGCGCCGCGGGAGATGTTCCCGGGTGGACCGCGCGGCAAGCCGGGCAAGTTCATTTCAGCGGGAAGAGATACAGGCACGATTCTCCGCGCATCGTCGTGTGTGTGTGTGTGTGTGTGTGTGTTATCGGAGGAACGTCCGCAGGAACGGTGGGAACCAACGCGGTTTTAATTCCGCGCGCGGAGCGGAAGGAGCTCCTTCGCGTATCGCGGCGAAACGTAAGTGAACGTCGATCACGTCGAGTGTATTGTGCGCGTCTTCGTGTGAGGAAAGTTTTACGGAAGCGACTGCCACGTTTAACGTCAAACGCGTGGCGCGAATCGGCCACGCGTCTTTACGTGTCCAATCTCTCTTTCTTTCGTCAGCTCCGCTCGCGCGAATGTGCGTGCGTACGTGCGTGCGTGCGCGCATTCGTCGGGACGATTTTTTACGCGCGATCGTTTATTATCAGCAGGTACGTCGGGGATTTATTTTGCAATTTCTCAAATCGCGTTTGAGCCAAGCTGAGAGAAAATTCGCGATGAATAGAACTCGCGTTCTATCGCGCTAGACACACTTTCGAAGGCGGTGAGAGAGACGCGCGTGAACGAGCACGCACGGCGCGAGAAGCGTGCGGCGCGTGTGGCTTAACGGTGCCCCGGTTGAAGTAGGTGTTGCGAATCCGCCGCGTTGCGGCGAGAGAGAGATTACGCGCGAGCGAGCAGCACCGCTCGTTTCCTCTCGCGCGAGAACCGATTCCTCTTTTCGCGAGAGAACAAAATAAAAAAAAATCCGACGGGATTTAAAATTAACTCAAATCGAGATGTATTAATAGTGTCCGCCGAATATAACTTTTATCTTCTCGCGACGCGCGACTTGGATATTTATTTTGTCGTTCGCGCGCGCGGAAAAAAGTATCAGAAAAGTCATCATCGAAAACTCTTCGTCTCCGGCGGGGCGGAATAGGTGTTTTACGCTTGAGTTCGTTTGTCTCTCTCGTTTTGTGTGTAAGGTAATTCTCTTTTATGTTTTTAATAATTTGATTGTGTGTTATTTCTTGCATACGTCGCATTGCTCGAATGGTTGTCGTTTGCGTTTTCGCAAGGACTTTACTTTCAACAACGTCAATCTCTGAATTCAATTTTTGGAGATTTCAAACGTGAATATCACGTCGGACATCGAACCTACAACGTTCACGGATTACGAATTTTGTATCGCTGAAGAGGATTGAAAAAATCCAGGATCGAAACGTTTCGATTCTCGAGGAGAATATTAACGAGGTTCGCAATGATTTCCGAGCGGTGGCCGGTATATCGGTCTTTACATTCCCTTTTGATACTTTATAAGAATAAATGTTCGTGAGATGCAAATTAAACGTCCCTAATATATAGTTGAATTTAAATTTACATCCACACGCTCATCCATACTTGGCTCCTCCATTGTCTCTTATTATTATATTTGCATAAAAAAAGTACACTCTAGAACGAAAAGTGAAATAAGAAAAAGCCAGCTAGATTTTTAAGATTAAAAATTTCAATTTCCACGAAATCTAAATAAACACACACACATACACGCGCGCGCGAAGTTCGCTTTTATCGCATTTTCCCTCGCTCCGTGAAACAAATGCGCTGACAAGAGAAGAGCGAACAAAAAAAAACAAAAAAAAAACAAAAAAAAACAAAAATGTTAAAGCCAATCCGCTAAGGATCGAAAATCCAATTAAATTGCAAAAGTTCCGCGCATTCCTTATAAATTTAGTTTCTTGCAATCGTTTGGTGTTGCGCGATCGCGGTCTTAGAAAAATAAACGCTGGAAAGAAAAAAAAATCGACTCGCTTATCTTTATCGCGTGCAGCGAAAAAAATAAACGTAAGCGAACTCTGTCTTTTTCAGATAACTCGGAAATGCAAAGCGCGGAAAACAATTTATTTTTTTATAGAAAAAGAAATATAAAAATCATTATTTTACGTTCCGCGAGAAGAATTCCGTTGCGCACCGTCGAATATTATATTTCTTCGGGGAAATTAAAGCGCGCGAGCAATTGCTATTTGCTATTGTTGTTTACGCACGGTATAAGAGAACCCCGGCATTACCTCATATATTCCCGCTCTACATTCACCTCTCTTTAAACGCCGTCATATCCGGTTTTCGCGTTTCATTCACGTAACACGTTTGATCTGAAGCGGAGAAACGGAGCCCTTGGCTGTTCACTTAGAGAGCTACTCCGGTGCAGAACTCGCGTCACTTAGACGCGACTTCTCTCTTTCTCAATGTCCGACGATTGATTCTCTCGAGCTTTCAACCGATTCCTTCTTTTGTCCCCGAGCACAAAAAAAGTGCGAAGAATAAATCTTTCTCCTCTGTTTTTTTTCCCCGTTTTTCCTGTGTGAGAAGGAGTCATCGCGGTAGTGTCGCGCGTTACTCTATTTTCACTCTCGCCTGTTGACACAACGACGAGAGAGATCGGCATCTTTCTATAATCCTATTCACGGAGATGATATCACAAGAAGAATTGGGAGCTTTGCGATAGGGTGTACGTATAATGTAATGGTTTAGAAATACGACGGGGATGCGTCAAAATCGATCGATCTATCGACGGAACCAGGTCAGCTGTGGTCCGGGGGGAGATCTTCATCTCCCACGCTGTACCGTAAACTAAAACTCAAGTTGAGCGAAACGGAAACGGGGGACTTGCGACTTATTAGACTGAATCCAAAGAGGTCGAGAGACGTGTATATAAAAAAATGTTTACCGGTTTTTGTACCGAAATCCTCGTGGTTTCTCTCCCCGCTCGGATAGTCGGTGTTGTTTCCGCAGCCTTCGTTTCGGAACGGAGATTATGGTCGATCGGGTCTTTTAACAAGGCGTTAAAATGCGCATTGTTCATGTCCGTTTGTTCACGTCGTTTCGCGAAAAATAAATCGGCCTTGATTTCGTTTCAATCCGTCGATGAAATTGAAACCGACCCCGGGGGACGAATGATAAGATAACCGATCTCGTACGCATCAGCGACTAGCGGCGACTAATCGCGAACTGAAAATTAGAAAGAGAGAGAGAGAGAGAAAGTGCAAGAGAGTGAAAACTACTCGTCCTCCTTGTATGCTCCTCGTGCTTTTTTTGCAACATGCAAATGAGCGCTATTGTATTTATTCTCGGCTCTACTGATTCCCTTTCGTTTCCCATTTTCGCGCGGTTCACGATTGAAAAAGTCGTTACAATAGTCGACCCATATTCTCTGTTTCTTTTTTTTATTTTTTTATTTTTTTTTCAAGTACCAGGAAAAGACAATCAGAGAGAATTTCAAAACTTAATCATCTCGTCGGCGTTGAAGTTAGTTTCAAATTTTTAAAAGGGATAACTTTTTAAAAGCGCGTTATTCGTGTAATTTTGCTTCGTCGTTCGATCAAAAAAGCGCCGATTTCAGTCGTTTTCCGACCGTCACGTAAAACGACGAGCATGCGAACCGACGATAGCAAATTCGACGGTCCAATCGCCCGACACATTCCGACACGTTTGCGTCCGCGGTCGTTTCGGAACGAGATTGTCGCGGCGAGTGATCCAAGTTAAAATTGTGCTCCTAGTTTCGATCTCTTTCTCTCCATCTGTCTCTCGCAAATTTTCAATCGTCCGCGGATTTCGGTGAGTTAAATCAAGACGAGAGAATTTTCCATTTAGAATTTTAATTTTAGCCACTATGTGTTTAAAACTAAGCGTTCGAACTTTATTGATAAAAAAAGAACGGTGACGTTGACCTCAGTGTTTGAACTAATCGAATGAGAGAAAAAAAATGTGTCCCGACTTGGAATATCAGTCGTTGTCTCGTTACTCGTCGTCGGAGTGCCGTTTGGAGGAATGCGGCGCACCTGTCCGTCCGTTATCCGTCTTCAAGGCTGATATAGAGCGCTTCGGGAACCTGTGCATCGCAGGGCGTTGCACAGTCCGGTCTGGTCTCTCCTCTCTCTCTTTCTCTCTTTCTCTCTTGTCAGAGAAACTTCGCCTCAAGGCCGGCGTCGTTTTGCAACGCGCGGCGTCGACAACCATCCGTCACGGCGGCCGGCATCCGGCAGGATGCACAAACCGCGAGGGGGTTGCGATAACGACGCCTCCTTAAGGGGGCCCGCGTTCTCACGTTTGGGATTTTGGAAAGCGTGGGGAAGATATTGCTGAGATTATACTCAGAGATCGTACGTCACGCGCGCGTTTCCACGATTCCTCTCGGTCCTCTTCTGATCTGTTCTGATCTCTTCCGCGCGCGCCGCGAATGAACTCGTCTACTACTCGCGTTCATGTTCCACTGATATAGTGTGAGAGCGTAAATTCGCGATGTTCCACTCAGCGAATTTCCACTTCGGGATCCAATTCCAGTTTCCTCTCGCGCGCGTTTCCGACGTTTTTCGACGTCGAAGAAAAATTACCCCCTCGCGACGACTCCACCATCAAGAAATTAAAATGAATTATCCGGCGCTCATTTGTTACTACACGGAGTCCTCCGCTGAAACAATAATCGCTCGGTATCGATTCTTCCTAGCCCGTACTCGCGCGCTCGTGTGTGTGTGTGTGTGTGTGTGTGTGTGTTTGCGGTAATTGCTTGTAGAACCAACAAAAATATGTTTGCCCTTTTGAATCGCTCGATAGCCTTTGTTACGCTGTTGCTTTTCAATTAATTCCAAGTGCGCTTCGGAGCTCGATTCAGAGCCCGGAATACTCGACATTAAACGATCAATCGAAGTGCTTCGCGACAACAAACAAAGACTCTGTGATGGAAAAACAAAAAAAAAAAAACAATAAAATAAAATAAAATGAAATAAAAAAAAAAAAAATTTCCACCGCAAAGAGAAGAGTCGCTTGCGCTTTGACGTCTGTTGTTGCACGACGACGAGTCATCGTCGTCGTCGCCCGACAACGGGCGAAAACACGAAGTGAAATCACGATCCACGACACGGGCTACATCACACGCCGCGACAGATGGTGCATCTTGATGGATGACACCCCCACTGTGATCTTCTGGCTATATACGCGCCATTTACGTCACTCCGTATCTCTCTCTCTCTCTCTCTCTCTCTTTCTTTCACTCGCGGGAGAGAGAAACGATACTTAATTAACGGCGACGCGCCTCGCTAGTGATTCACGAAACGAGTGAAAGGTGCCTCCGCCGAGCTCTCCTAGAACCTAACCGATTATTAACACGACGAGACTCTCGATCGTTTTACAAGACAAGACAACGCTCTCGATAGTGCCGGCTCCGCAAGGACGTTCGCTTCCACGGGAGACCCATTTTTCCGCGACCTTTCGCGGTGTCGTCACGTGACTTCGCTAAACGAAGACGATTAAATGTCAGAGAGATATATTCGCGAAGAGGAATATTTATGAGAAAAAATATATATAACAAGATGTCAAACGCTCATGTATATTTAAAGTCCAATTTTACGCAAGCCGGCGATGTAGATACACAGAAATCGTGTCACTCGAGATTTAAACTCGCGAAAAACTTCGCAAACTTGATTAGCGAACTCGATTTAACCGCGGAATCGTCCGATTTCACGCGGATTTCAGACTTGTTTTTTTTTTTTAACGTTTATGATTGACCATCACGACCGGTGCTATTTTCGATCGTGTGACACATATTTAAAAAATTGAAACAAACAAACGAATCAGAGTACGTGAACAAATATAGTACATTACGAGAGACGCGCAATGTGATTGCGCGAAGGTCGAGCGACTTATCTTTGTGTGTATTTGACGCCGCTGCGTCGATATGTGAATCATTCCGAGCGAAAAAATCGCGCAGATCCTCGTTAAAGAGAGGAATTAAGCTTGATAAAAGTAAATTAGCGGCGCGCGCTTCGCGTGTGTAATTAAAAAAGTTGTCGGTCACGATAGAATATGTATTTATATCTGTCTCTTCGGGGAAAAAAACTTTATCTTCTGACATTATCTTCAGATACCTAACATGCGTGACAGACACGTTGCGCGCGCGTCTCTACGTGTGTGCGAAAAATCATATCTCTAAAATCTTTTTCAAAAACCAAATTGAAAAAATAACATTAAAAAAATTTGATGCAATTCATGCACACGCATTTTTATCGCACACAAATGTCGTTCGATCGACCGGTCACTTACGCGACCTGTCAGTCGCTCCGTAACTACGGCACAGACCCATTGCTCTGTATTGCTCGTTACCTATTTAAGGTAACGAACACGGATGAACAAACGTGACATTGTACTTACACAACGAGATGTGACATTTGCAGAATGCGGGGTGCGCGAAATGCGTGCCGTACCGTACCGGCCGAGCGGTGCATCAAATGCACCGCCACGTATGTGTTTCTGCTGTTAATCCGTTCTCCATTACCCGGAAAACTTTATGCCGGTTTGTGACCCGTATAAAACGGCGCGTAATAACGGTATCCGCGTATACACGATACCGCGATCTTCATTGTACACGTATATCGCCGGCCGGCGATGTATTGTTTGCCTTCTGCCGCGGCATAATTTTAACACCGTCAGGGACACATTGTTCTCGAATTCAGTTTCGCATGTACACTTTTGAATAGGTCTCTAACGCGTGACACACATACGTATTAATTGTGTATTCTTTTTTTGTTCTTTTAATTGCAGGATCGAGCGTCATCTCGCGCGATCCTAAAATTATTGAAGCTATTTGAAATTTGAGATCTAATCTCTCGAAATAAGGTCCGGATCTAATCTCGAGAACACAGTAGGTTGTTGTGTAAGAGGTATTTTTTATGTGAGGTAATATTTTTTTTTATGTGACAGATAAAATAAAAGGTTTTTATGTAAAAGATAAAAAAATAAAAAAAAGGGCACCTTGACCTTCCCGGCCGAGGTGTCGTTTTTCTGCAACGTTTTAATTTTTATAGAGAGTAAATTGAATATTTTACACAATGATACGCAAACCAAGCATTCTGGAGTGAATTTTCGAATTGAATTTAATTCGAATTTCCATGTGTATGTAATTTGTGTTTAAACATTTGCACGTCCAACTGGCAAATATTTTATATCGATCCAGATACTTAAAATAAAAAAAATTGTAAGTTGAAATATGTTAGTAAGATTCAACGACAATAAACCGCTAATATAAAAGAAAGAAAAAGAAAAAGAGAAAGAAGAGAAAAAACGTAAAATAAAATTAGATAATATATTTGTGTAAATCTCTCTTTTTCTCTCTCTCTCTCAAAAGTGGTGATTTTTCTCTCTCGTCATAAATGTCTATCGAATCGCCGTTGCGTTCCGCGCGTGTGGGTTATTATCGGGCAAATACTTACCGTATCGCGTTTGTGTGTCATTAGTTACCCGTTTAAATAAATATATAACTTCACGCCTTTTAGATTCAGTTCGGTCGCATTATACCGTGAAACGTATAGGATATTGAGTCAGCGTTTGATTATATACCGCACGTTAGCGCTCGTTATCGATAATGTGCGCTCATTTGTAAGTAGGGTATTGTGTATCTAGAAAGGTAATTCAATATATTTTATTCGTGTAATATCGTATTATCGGGAATTCTTGTTCGAAAAATATGTTCGATTTGAAAATAAAAATTGTGCAAATTTTTCGAAGCTCTCGCGAAAAAAAGCAGCTTCACGTGATGTGAAATTTTTACAGATTTAGTTTTTTCTTTCAAGTGCGTCTAAAAATAGACACACTCTGCGATACATCTCCTCCCCCGTCGTTGCTTCGGAGACAACGTGTATGTACATGTATCAAAACCTTCGTCTTTTCGTTATCATAATATGTTACGAGGAGAAGTGTCGCCCACGTATTAAGCTCTCGCGAGAGTTATCACCTGTAATTAGACCTGTCTAATGACAGATGATATACGTTCTCTGCAAAGAGAGTCGTCTAGTTTCAAGCGTATTATTACATTGCAGTTCTTGTCTATCGCGGATTTGCTCGTGACGATACGCGCGACAATGCGACGTTATAAACTTTCGTTATTTACTTTGATATTCGATTAAGTAGCTCGCGCACGAGACGGCGAGATAGCTAACCTACTCTCTTCGGGACGTATTACAAAACCGGTTATTCGCGCATTCTTCGTCTGAGCGAAAAAATTCGCATTAGCACGGTCGAAAAAAAAAAAAAACAAAAACAAATGATTCTAATTTCCTCAGGAACCATCCAAAGTATTTTTTAGTCGATAGAATTTCAAACGTGATTTTTACAACGATTGGATACGCCTTTAGGCTAAAGAAGATGCGACGTGTACAGAGAGCTCGGGAGGGATTATATATAATTATAAGTTTCATAATTTTAGGTTGCGGTGTATTTAACGCTAATACAATCAGCTCAGACCCTTCCGGTCTTCTCCCGTGTGATTGGTTCAGTTAATTCTCCCCTGTTGAGGGCTCAGAGTTATCCCTCCAGGTGTTGTAGCGTTTAAGACATACTCTGTATATCTTAACTATATATATATATACACATACACACACACCTGTGTGTGTATATATGTGAGAGAATATAAACGTAAACCAAATGATCTGAATTCCGCTTTATAAATGTTTAAAAAAATTCGATATTATCGAATGTTTTGAATATTGTCAATTACATTTGTGTGTGGCGCGCAATAACGCTGTTTTACACACAGAAGAGAGAAAATCCGATAATACAATTTTAACATCTTTTTAATCCGATTTATCGCGTAATAAAATTTTAAAACCGAGATAGAAAATACAAAATATGCATAAATGTAAAATACTGTGTGTGAAAATAAACGAATAAAAAGAGTTTTACGTGTATTTTATCACGAAACAATTTGTCGTTACGTTTCGTTACATTTTTTTTTTCTTTTTTTAGACTTGGAAAGTCACAAGAAACGATGTGATCGATACATTGAAATGCATAAATCATTTGGGATGTGACTTCTTCGAGATTTGATTTCACATCTCACGGAAGTTATTAATACAATCTGAGCTGACTATCTGCAGGGCTTTTTGTGCCGGTTACAAGGCAGGGAGCTCGGCTTAGCTTTCATTGCTGTCTATTGTATGGGAAGACTTAATGACATTACCTTGACGTCGCATTGCGTCAATGTGATATCGGCGAGGATTTTCAAGCACTTCGATTACGACTTTCTCTAAAAGAGACACGCCGTCGATAAGATTCGAATCTAATTACGTTAGCGAGAGAAAGGGTGAAACTTTTTATTTTATTAATGACAATTAAAAAGCCTCGCGGGGTCGCCTGCGCGTCGTCGTTGTAAAGCGAGCGTATAAAAAGTTTCAATTCAGATCGTCGACACAAAAAGCAATATTTTCTGAACTTCTTCTCCTCTTTGTAATTTTCCGAAGGAAGATCTGACGGACGGAAATTGTTTTAATTGTCCCCCTGGAAGAAGATTCACGGAGAACGCGCTTGGAGTCCGCGCGTTTCGCGGAATGCGCAGTTTCCAGCGACGTTAAAACAATAGAAATAAAACGCGGGGGGAGGTTGACAACCGGACAACACACACTCGGGAGAATGTGCAAACACGCGATTCATCGCTTCGCCACCAGTAAGACCGCTTTCATGACACACGACGCGCGCGCTGTCTCGACAATATTTACGCGCTGCGGCATCGATTTATCAAGGTTCAACCGCATGCAATTTTACTAATAGTAGTGCCGTCGCCATTATCGACTCGACTATTAAGTCGATGGTTAAAAATTATTGCGGCACTATCCGACCACTTTTTCGCAAGCACTTTCAGCGCCACAAACCATTATCGCCAACACAACGCGTTTCGCGCATTGAATTTACGTCTCCTTGAGAATAAGAGTCGCGCGATGATCTCTTTCTCTCTCTCTGTAAGAAGATGATGAAGACTTAGAAACTAGGACTAAACGAATCTGTGTCATGTTCGCACTGCATATTACAACATATTGCTTGTTATAAACTGCACATCAATGTTATCGCGATTTTACTCCCTTTCCCTTCGCAATGTAAACAAGTTTTAAACATACATACACTTCTGCGCCCAAGTCTTGTGGCTGTTTCGCGCGCGGCTATAACGCACCATTTGATAGGGTTTGTTGTTCTAGGAAATAATACGCGCTCTGTTCGCACAATTACATCACATTACATGTATCTTTGTTACCGTAACGGCTATAACGCTACTACTGTGTAGTTTCACCTTCTGATGTGTGCACGTTGCAGGTTACACGTCGATAATTGGTGAAAATGTATTGCGCTTGATTTACTGAAATTTTGTGTAAAATGTAACTCTCGTACATGTTTTGCGAAATACATACGCAAATTTTCTGTGTGTGTGTGATTTTCGATTTTGTATAAAACGTGAACAAAAAATTCACAGAGAGAGAGAGAGAGAGAGAACTGTCACTGGCGTCTGTATTTTTTCACAATAGAAAGTTAACGGCAAGAGAATGTCGTTCTTTAGGTCGCGCATAGTCATCCGACATTATTACTCCCATTTCCCGCTCGTTATCGTGATGAAAGTGAATTATTTAGCAGCCGCTAATTAATTAGTACCATCGGGAGCACGGCTGTCTCATCGCAATATAATTTCCCAGCCCGGCATGACCTCTCGCTAGCTGCGTGGGATAATTACCCGTGGATCCGCACTTCCGTCATGTCTGCAAAACACGTCGCTGTTTTGCGATCGTGATTTTTTTTTTCTTTTTTGCTTTTTTTGTTGTATTTTATATAATCACACAGTTTTTATCGCACCCGACAATTGGGTGCGCTCGGCAATAACTCGAGAAATAAGAGTCAAGTGTTTTCCGTCGCGCAATTGTTTCGCGAAGGAAGCAACGATGTCCTGTCCATGGTTTTTTTGCTTCGCGTCGTCCGAACCTAGAGTTTGCTTACTCTCTTCGCGCAATTGAAAAAAAAAAAAAAACAAATCTTGGAAAAATCGTTTCGACTGCTCGCGCGGTTGTAAGTTTGATGACCTTCCGGTGAGCGATAAACGAACACGAACATCTTCGTCGCGGAGACACGAGGCGAGATAATCGCGCGTAATGTGCATCATTATATTCCCGATAAAAATCGGAGTAAATTCCGTTTTTCGCACCGGTCAAAACGGGGAGGGATGCGCGATCGCAATATAGATGCGATACAGATTGCGATCTACATCCGACGTAAAAGGCGACGGGCAAAGGTAAGGCGATAAATGTGTCGACGGTGATACATGTACGCGCGAATTTATCGCGTTTATTATAATTTATCTGACATTCGTGCGAATATCAGAAACTAACTTCCACGTGCGAACAACACGCGCGTAATGAATCGCGTGTCATTACGTTTTTATCGTTTTTTATTTATAATGAAAATCTGATGTAAAACTTCAAGCGAGATGACACGGAACGGTCGGTTTGAAATGGCATCGTTCTCTCCCCGCTACGATCGATGTGTGTCTCGCACGAATTAGTCTCGCGCTAAGTGTCGACCTGGGTGTCGCAAGCCCGTTATCCTTCGGCTAACGTATGCACTTTTCGCTCAGCGAGCTCGTGTTTCAGTTTTCAAGATCGCGAGCGCGAAACTCGAAAGGTTTTTACACGGAGTTATTTTTCAACCGTATGAAGTTGTAATCCGTGAAATTTTTTCCGAATCGTGCGAAATTTGAGAGAAATAGCTTTGTGAATCGGAACGATGTAAAAAAAAAAAAGAAAAAAAAATTACGGAAAGCACGTCAAAATGCAAAGTGACTGATTAACGTGCCGAGAAGTTCTTACGTGACTCCTACGAGATCTTGCCATTAGGTTGAGAATTTCCAACGACGACGAAAGAACACGCGCATTCTTCCTCTCTCTCTCTCTCTCTCGCGCGCGCGCGCATGAGCATATTATTATTAAAACGTGGTAATGTTAGCCTCTTTGTGTGTTGCAGCGCTGAGAAAAACCGGCTCCTCAGTCATGTAATTTCACAAAGCGGTCCAGCCAATTAGCAGAATTCGGTTTGCGAACATTTGACTCGAGTTCACGAAATTGCTGACGTGCGGAGGATTGGGTGATGAACTCGTGGTACAAGCGGAAGACTACTGCCGCAGTTGAAAGATGTTTCGCTCCAAGATTCGCATTCACACGTGTCAAGTGATACTGCTGACGTCGCTGGTATGGTTCCTGGTCGACGTTATGGTGCTCATGCTCTACTCGGATTGCATCGGAGGATCCGGATGGGGCTGTTCGGATAACAACAAGCAGCAGCAGCAGCAACAGCAGCAGCAACCGCTCCAGTCCGAGGAACCGTCGTCACAGCTCCATCCGAAGATCCAGGCCAGGGAGGCACAGCCGCTCAGGCATGAGCACAACAAGAAGCAGTATCCGCAATCGACGTTGCACCTATGGCGACCGGCGAAGGTCGTCAAGGAAAGCAAGGGCAGTCCAGGCGAGATGGGAGCGGCGGTGCATATTGCTCCGGAAAACGAGGCCAAGCAGCAGGAACTGTTCAAGCTAAATCAGTTCAATCTGATGGCCAGCGACATGATCTCCCTGAACCGATCCCTGAAGGACATCAGACTCGAGGGTTGTAAGACTAAGAAGTATCCCAAGTATCTTCCAGACACAAGTATCGTCATAGTTTTCCATAACGAAGCGTGGACCACGCTGCTGAGGACAGTCTGGTCCGTGATAAACAGGTCACCCAAGTCGCTGTTGAAGGAAATTATTCTGGTGGACGACGCGAGCGAGCGCGGTGCGTTATTCTGAGCGTTATAAATACTTATTAAGAAAAAAACCATAAAGTAAAATATAAAATATACTACGCAATACAATAAAATATAAAATTAAAATATAATAATTTTGGATATTTATAAACATTTTAGATATTTAACTGGGGTCCGAAAGAGAAATGGGCGATATTTGATTTTTTTACAGATCACTTGAAACAAGACTTGGAGGACTACATAGCCAAGCTACCCGTTCCCACGTACGTGTATCGCACAGAAAAGAGGTCAGGTCTGATAAGAGCAAGACTGTTGGGAGCGAAGCACGTAAAAGGACAAGTAATCACATTCTTAGACGCGCACTGCGAGTGTACCGAAGGTTGGCTGGAACCGTTACTTTCGCGAATCGCGAACGACAGACACACCGTCGTCTGTCCGATCATCGATGTGATCAGCGACGACACCTTCGAGTACATCCCGGCCAGCGACATGACGTGGGGCGGTTTCAACTGGAAGCTGAATTTTAGATGGTATTTGTTTTCTTCTACAACATTATCATAACTATTCTAAACGTCGCGTATATAAATGTTGACAGTATTATATTCCTATTTTACTCTCCCGCCTTCCCGAAAGGTGCAAAAGAAATTTGAGTTGCAAATGTGAAAATCTCCATATTTTGCATGCAATGAATAGATTAATATAGCCGCGTAAAATCTCTCTTTATCGATCCGCAGTGATGTATATTAATTCATAGCTTTGTCGGATTGTGATGTTCGTAAATTCGTCGTAACGGTCGATATAATAATTCAGATTTTTTGACTGCTCTATTCATAAATTCGCAAATTCGCATTCTACTTCATCGCATTTACATATAATGATAAATGTAATGAATGGCGGCTTTGTGTCCTTTCTCTTTCATACATTCACAACATCATACGTCAGCGCGCGTTGTCCCCGCGAGCTTGGAAATTTATAGTATCCATATTCACTGTGAACACGTTCATAACAGCGTATAATTTATCTTTAATGTAATTTTTAATTTTTCGACTGAAACAAAAAAAGCGCGTTAAAAATCTCTCAAGTTACCCTGTACAGTTTTTTTTTTTTTTTTTTTTTTCTGTCCTTGTTCCGTCAAAACTTTTAAAACAGATTTTACATACCGCGCCAACTTTTGTTCAATAAAGGTACAGAGTTGCGCAGAGAGAAATGGACAGAAGGAACAGCGACAGAACGTCACCATTGCGAACGCCAACGATGGCAGGTGGATTGTTCTCCATTGATAAGGACTATTTCTACGAGTTGGGCGCGTATGACGAAGGCATGGATATCTGGGGCGGTGAAAATCTCGAAATGAGTTTCCGGGTAAGCGCTTTAGAAATCCGACAAAATACTGCTAATCTGATTATTTACGAAAAACATTTGCGTAGCTACTATGGAAGTTTGTTTATTGGAGCAAAATTGTGCGCAGTATAAATAGAAATAATAAATTTATTATTTATTTACAAGCACAATAAAGAGAAACGAAATGAAATGTTTCTCTGATTTTGTGCATTATGTTGATTATATTTCACACACGTGGAAATTAATTTATTCCCGTAATGTCGATGCGCTTATTACGACAAATGAATTAATCAATAAATCATTGCCGGTTGTTATTGCGGTACTAATTAACTTTTATAGATAGCAATTGCGTGTGTACACGATTTTTTTTCTCGGACATTTAACACGAAAAAAAAAGGATTAAAGGGTTTTCGGAAGGATGTCTTTGCATGAGACCTTCGTCATTTATAAAGTCATGAGTGCCTTGTAGGTGTGGCAATGTGGCGGAACGTTAGAAATCAGTCCGTGCTCACACGTGGGACACGTATTCCGGGACAAGAGTCCGTATACATTCCCGGGCGGTGTCAGCAAGATAGTCCTGCACAATGCGGCCAGGGTGGCCGAAGTCTGGATGGATGAGTGGAGAGATTTTTACTATGCCATGAATCCAGGTTAGACCAACAAGTGTACCGTTTACATAATTAATGTTGTTGTTACCTAAATTTGCGCCTAAACGATGCCATTTTTATGCACATCGACTTTACATACCTTATATACGCAGTGTACAAAAACTTTTCAATGTGTGTTATGCATCACAAATTTATAGTTTTAGGAATTACATTCTCTCTGTATCTTACATATACGTTTATTCCTACGTAAGGATGTTGGAAAGTTTACATTTGAAAAAAAGATTCGTTTTATCAATGAAAAGCATTGTTGCAAAAGTTATTTTTAACTAGTGTTTTTCGAGTTCATTACTGAAAAAACAGCAATACACAAGCTGAATTATATCATATATTTGACGGGTATCTGATAAAAATCGTTCGGATTATCTCGTTAAAAACCTGTTGTAATTGATATAGCGTGTGTTGCAGTTGCAGTTGCAATTGTTTATGAATGCATTATCACCTTGTCGATCGAAGAGAAAATCCATTTCTTGACTAATAATTAATAATAGTCTTGCGTTAACATTATGTATGTATTTTTATACAGCGAATTTTTTAATATACTAGAACTATACAGAAACATATCGTAAATTAGCTAATCATCCTCTTTATGTGTTATGCACATTATATATATATATATATATATATATGATCTCTGTATGTGTATTTACTAATATTTCATGCGTAACATCAGTAGTTGTATACATTACATTGCTAATTTACTTGAAACTACAATTGAGACCTCTATCATAATTATGAAGATTGTCCCTGGTAGATCTTGATCGCTGCTGACAAAATACTCTATTATTATTGTTTGTGTCTTTTTTTCTTTTTTTAATTAGTTAACAAGTACGAAATTGTGTAACTAAAAACAACCGCAGGCATTTTAAACACGGACATTTATATACAGACATTTCAGAGATGTTTTGTTTCTGTGTCTCTTGTTACAAATGCTGGTGTAGTCTTAACCACTCATCCATCCAGCCGACTAACCAATTGAAAAAATTGCGCTTGTGCTTTTAATGAGATTTCCTTCATCAAATCGCTATTATAGGTGCCGCCCAGAAGAATTCTAAATCCACCGCAAGGCGCAGAATAGAAACATATATATACATTCGCCATGTTGTGTGTTCTTTTTTCCTCGTCGTTTGTTTCTTATCGTGTTATACTCTGGCTATCATTGTAATTGCTAACACACTAACAGAATTGAGTTGGTTAGATATGGATGTGTGGTGGGACGTTGGAAATTGCGACATGCTCGCACGTCGGGCACGTATTCCGTAAGTCGACTCCGTATACCTTCCCGGGTGGTACGAGCAAGATAGTCAACCACAACAATGCGAGGCTCGCAGAAGTTTGGTTGGACCAATGGAAGTACTTCTATTACAACATTAATCCAGGTAGCACTAACATTGGCGTAACTTGCAAAAAAAAAAAAAAAAAACAAAAAGAAAAAACGAAACGAAAACCTATCGCTCTGAGCTCTTCTGTGTACGTCTCTTTCACGCATTTTTATTACTTTGCATTCGCTGCCGCATGCTTCTGCGATTTAGATGGTTTTGCATGTCTCTTTTTTATCGATTATTTCTATTCACGGCATTTTACAGCTTCAAGAGCTCTAATTATCTCTATCAGATACCCGTTGACATTTATTTAAAGCGTCGTTGCTATTGTGTCAAACTCTGTGACATGGGTGTGTGTTACTATTTAATAGAACTTATAATGTAACTACTTGATACAACTTTTGTTGGAGTACAACAGATACCAATTACATAAATAAAATATTTAAAGACAAGTTTGAAGAACACGTCAGAAGATTCCATACGGTATAAAATAATTGTTGAAAGAGCATATTTTACATCGATCACAAAGTACAAGTATCTAGATTATTTTTTTAATGGAGTTTCCAATCTGAAAAAAAATTTTAACGTGCACATCTCTGCATGCTATATTTTACGGATTACACACAAGATGGTTGTTACACTTTATAAAATTTCTTTACACTTTTTTCAGATTTTCAGACAAAAGCGCTGCATAACTGCACAATTATTTATTTATTTTTTCATGGCATTAATGTATCATACAAATATCATGGCAAACTTCTTTATTTTATAGCACAAAATCCTGGCAATCTTCTTTTCCAACCAGTTTACATGCAAGCACATTCATGCAACAAAACAAAATTTTGTAAAATTCCATTTCGTAGATTACGACGGTGAAAAGACAAAAGATCGAAATTTTTCTTGTAGGAGCGCGAAGCGTCGACGTCGGTGACGTATCCGAGCGAATAAAACTCCGGGAACGACTGAAGTGCAAGAGCTTCAGATGGTACTTGGAGAACATATATCCGGAATCGCCGATGCCATTAGATTATTACTATCTCGGCGATGTGAAAAATGTTGAAACGCAAACTTGTTTGGATACTATGGGCAGAAGAACCGGGGAGAACGTTGGAATTAGTTATTGTCATGGGTTAGGTGGTAATCAGGTTTGTGTTTGTTTTTTTGGATATCTCAAAATATCTCTCACACATACACATTTGGATGAAGATTTCTATCTAGAAAGTGTAGGCACATTATTTCTGATGAAAGCTATGTCACACTCAGGTATTCGCTTACACTAAGCGGCAACAGATAATGTCCGACGATATGTGCCTTGATGCAGCTAGTCCGCAAGGTCCCGTGAAAATCGTACGATGTCATGGAATGGGTGGTAATCAAGCGTGGGTTTACAACGATGAGGTAAGAGACAAGGAAACACGGAACTGTATAAGCAAGATAATTGTATAAGAAAGATATCGGAATGTGAAACTATTTTATAAATACGTAGTTTACGACACGCGCGTGACGCATTGTCTTTTCTTTCCAGACCAAAATGATCAGACACACGAACACAGGCCACTGTTTGTCGAAACCCCATATGGGCGACGCCTCGCAGCCCGTCTTGGCGCAGTGCGACGTCAATAACATCGGCCAAAAATGGATCATGCGTAGCAAATTCAAGTGGCAAGCCAGCTAATACAAATCCATTCTAAAATCCGTGCGCGTACTCATTAATCTATTTAAAAAATGGTAATCGCGCAATGGATTGCGACAAACTGTCCAAGTGTACGTAAACAAGAAGAGAATGGAGTATTACAAGTGATGAAAAAAAACAAAAAAGAAAAACATGAAACGGTTTATTCGGTTAACCCATGATTCAAATGTGCGTCGAACGGAATTGATGGTGCGCGAAAAAAAATTAATGACTTTTGACTCGCGTGAGAAAAAAAAATTGAGATCGCGTAGTTGATTTGATCCTGTAGAATTTATTCGCGTGATCGCGCAGTGTTGAGAGAAATGACTGCCATTTTCCGTGGTGCGCGACCCTTATGCCTTGATCAATGCACAAGAGTGACGGGGATAAAGCGACTATTTAGCCGCGTATAGACACAAGTGACGTTAAAAGAGAGAGAAACAAAGTGAACTCTTTTCTTCTTTCCTGGCTAATGAGCGCGGTAAAGAAGAAAGCATATCAGACCACTGTTAAATAAATAAATAAATAAAATAGTTGTTAATGCGAAAGAGCGAAAGGGAGAGCGAGAGAAAGAGAGAGATATGTTTGATAATTTCAGAGTGCAATGACTGTCCATTAGATCGCGATAACACGAAAAAAAAAAAAACAATGTGAATACGCTAGGAATTAATTGACGAATGCTGGAAGTGCGTTAGTGAAATCGATATGACGCTACCGAGAATAATACGAAGTTTGTATTGTACAATCGATTTTAGAAGAAACTATGGCACGGGAAGAGCACGGGATCTTTTTCATATTAAATAACGTTTCCAATAGTTCCTCGTTGCATCTCGTTCGTCTAATTTCTCACCGTTGCGCGCCGTTTTCACGCAAAAAAGATGTACTTATCTGAAATTTCGCAGATCTGCATTCGTCAGGTTTTTAGTTTATAGACGCATGAATTAATTAATTAACCATCGTGTTTTTTATTACAGTAAACAACGCAATGTTAAATGTGTACAGTGTCTTCCATATTTTTCACGACAAACCTGAATATTTTTCGCGTGCGCGAACAGCCCGAACAGCGCGACACATCTCGTCACATATTTGTTAACTATTATTCCCTGAATGTTGTTTAACCCGCGTGTGTGTAACTATATATATATATATATAAAAAAAGAAAAAAAAATTATTCCGTAAGTCGCCTCAGAGCAAAACAAGTTCGCAAGCGCGAGACCGTTTTTAAGCTAGCGTCGGATTATGTGCGTATTCGCAGTCGATTCGAAGCAATTCGATTTATTGGGTGCTAATGTGGATACCTTCGATACACGTTCGTGCAACTCTTGGTTCCTCATTTATTTATATACATACATATATATATATTTACTCAATACATATTTAGTTCTACAAATGTACTTCTTTTTCGTTTATTTGCATTTTGTCGATCGACACAAATCAAATTTATAATTAATGCACATTCAACGAATACGTGCATAGTGAAGCACTAGTTTTGAAAATTAAACAATTTAATTTCGATGTTCAACAATTATAAAACGTTACATATATTTTTTGAACTAGAGAACTAATTAGTTTCGAACTAATTTATTTAATTGGACGAAAAAAAAATATTTCATTTGTTTTATATCTTTTAGCATCTTTTCTCCTTTGACATCGTAAATCGCAATTGTGTTACTCTTAAGTACCACATACACACCTATACATGGATTTGTTTGATGTCAAAGATTCTTTTGTTTTATTGCAAAAAACTAACTTCCGTATTTATTCACGCTTTTAACATCTTCTAATAACTCTATGAAATTTTTTCTTGAAACTTTATTGAGAATGATGAAACAAATATACTCATTATTCGTATGTAATCTAAAACAAAATGTTATGGTGATGGTGCAACGTTAATAGCTTGATACATTTGTCTTCTAAGACTGTGGTATTTATTTTTGTATAGAATATAAATTGATCTATATATACGTTGAAATAAGCGACGTCTTGGTTCACTTTATAAATAAGAGATTAAAAAAAAAAAAAAAGAAAAAAAAAGAAAAAAAAACTGATCGTATAAAACGCGTTATAGTCAATATAGTATCTTTCTGCGAATACATCATTCCTTAAAAATATGGTTCCAAAACCAAAAGAAAGAAAAAAAAAAACTGATTTTTGTGGGAGAAGCTACTGCGCTAATGAAATAAATTTTTAATAAACAATTTTATTCCATTTTGATCAGTTGCTCAATGAACAATAACGTCTCTAGCCTCAAAATTCAACCAATTATACGAACCAATGATGAAAAAAAAAAAAGTATATAGTTTGGATTGTATTAGAATAATCTGAACTGTATGAGCATGAGATCTTTTAAAAGACAATAAATTATTTATACCTCTGTTAGTATTTATGTAAATTCGCGTATCTACGTAAATACTAATATATACTGAGTTGAAACAATTTTTAAGTAGGTAAAGTTTGTAAAAATGAATATACATATGTATTTAAGCATTTCAATTAAACTTCTGTTTCTTTTTTTTCAGAATGTGATTAAGATTGAAAAGATGCTCTTATAAAAATAATTTATTTACAATTGTTAAATAAAATTATCTATCACATAAGTATATCCCCCCATAGAAAAATAACCATAATTAATATAATATCTTGTTAGAATAAATTAGTTTCGTTACACGCATAAAATAATGCATTGTTATTTCAATATGACTCTCCTTGTTCAATAAACAACAGTTCAATTATTCTTTTGGTAAACAAGATAACTATATCTAATATTTTGTACCTTTTCTCTCTCCAATACCAATTTTATATCATATTTATATAGCCATGATTATCTTGATCTAAATATTTACTTACAGAGAATCGCGTTTTCATTTATAAAACTATAATTTTTTAAATATTCTTGCCATTATATAATTCTTCCCAGTTGAAGCAATGTTATTATAAATGAAAATGCCATTTTCTGTATAAGTAAATTATATTGAGATATCAAGTTAATTAACAGCTGTAAAATTCATCACACAAGTAAAACAGAAATAAAAGGTTTTATTGAGTAAAATCGTCAAATTGTGAAAAGATAATTTTTATTACATACATTTACTGCTCTTTAACTTCACGTAATCGACGCACTGCTGATCTTACTGAAGCAGCAGCCGTTGTCGAATATACCCATGCGCCACCAGCAACCGTCCTCTTGCAGCGTTTGCATGACCAGATTCCAACAACGGTACGTTTCATAGCCTCCTGTTACACATAAGAATAAAACAATCGAATTTTTTCTTATAATTTATTTCTAAAAAAATCTTTTTGATTCGCAATATAATTGCAATAAATAAACATATAAAACTTTATCACATTGAAACACTGATTTCAAAGCTCTTAAGTCAAAGCGTAGAAAATAAAATTTCTAGCCACTAAAGCATCTGCTTGCAAAAATCCCATTTACCTTGCCGCAAAACGAGCACGTGTACTTGCTGTGCTGCGTAACCTCCATCTTTTTAATCATCTTTCTGAGGGAGGCACCATAGCGGGTACCGTATTTGCCGGTGATTCCGACCTTCTTTGTACGCTTAGCCTGTCAAAATTCAAGTAATTTTCATCACATGTCTCCGCAATTTCGACATTTCGAGAAGACAAACGCGAATTTTCAATCTCGCGGTAAGGTTAGATCTCTCACGCGTAAGTCGAGATTTTACGCGACGAAATATACACGTTAACAAATTGTTTCGCTACAATTGTTTTTATTCGCTATTCGACATCGTGTATATTTCAACGAGATTCCGCGTATAAATTTCAATGGAATATCTTACCATCTCGAATAAGTGATATAGACACTTCCGTAACGGAACGCAAGAAACCGCAGAAAGAACGACAGACGCTGGCAAATCAACCAAATGGCGACGGATCCGCCATTACACGAAGAGAAATCTCAGGTCGGCTCGCATTGGCCGCGTTGGGCAGAACAATTGTCGTCTTGTCAACACTCGACGTTGATTGACTGGTTTTAAGAGTAAGACCCAATCACGATTGCTCACAAACCAGCTTGTTCTACTGAACGCAGCAATTGTATTTCCTTAAGACTTATCCACGTAAGAACATTAGTCGCAGATGACTCACGAAATTGACTAATCACGTTGGTCGATTGGCCAACGTGATTGGTTAATTTCCGAGATTTGTTTTCTACATAGAAACTAGATCGTAGAAAGAACTTGGATCGTCGGTTCTGCTTCCATTTTTCGCTCACGATCCTTTACTTTGCTAGAATACTCCAATTCGGAACCAACACGTGCGAACCATGGGTTTTCAGAATATTTGGTACTCGCATCCGCGAAAATACGGTCAGGGATCCAGATCCTGGTGAGTGTGACATACTCGTTAAAGTTATCAACAATAAATTTATGCAATACGCAAAATAAGTTTAAAATACGAATGTTCTAACCTTTCACAAATATTATTGATGATGAAGAGTTTTGGTCGAGGCTCCACGTGCGTGGATTCACAAACAAAATATTTAACTTATAAATATAAATAAGGAGAGTTGTTTGATTGGATGCATATATATATATATATATACGTATATATTGAATCAAATGTGAAATTTGATCTTATTGCAGCCGTGCTTGCGCAAACAGACATGGTCTTATTAGAAAATATGGCCTGAACATTTGTCGACAGTGCTTCAGAGAATATGCTGCTGACATTGGGTTTAAGAAGGTAAATAATAATATCTTTAATATATGCACAATATATTTTGTATAACAATATTTTATAAAACCACAAAAAATTTAAAATAGGTCAGATTACACTTAACTACTTTTTTTTGTTTTACAGCTGGATTAGCATGTAACAACAAAGTATAAAATTGTTTTACCGACCAATCACATCTACAATTTCCACAGCACTAATGTTGCAGAACAAAATTCCAATAAAATTTCCCAAGTTATCAGGTGAAAATAAACATTTTTTATTGTAATAAGCGATCGACAAAGAAAATGTATGTTTAACATGTATGTCAATTAAAAAAACATGTAAAATCTATCCACGGCTTTTCTCAGACCCCTCTGTTTAAAAAATTACCACGTGTAAGACAATTTTTATATTTCCTAGTCTCTTCTCGTTAGAAACCCGACACGACGATACTACGTGTTACACGTAATATAATATACATACGTTAATATATTCAATATTTACTCAAGTTTCTAGTAATTAATTTCTAGAATTAAAATAAAAAAAAAAAAATTTACAAGAGCGCCCTTTTGAACACTTGGCGCGTAGCAATACGATCCTGGCGCGCCATGGTGGAAAAAATTTTCTCGATATTCCGTCGCCGCTCCTACTTTAGTACGTGTGTAGTTATAAAGTCTCGTCAAGAGTTTAACAGCTCACCCGTTAGATCGGCGTGTTATGCGTCAGCGTGTCAGCGGATAATAGCGCAAGCACCGCTACCGCGAGCGACCGGTTGGTGGTCGGTTACCGTTGCCAGTGGTTCCCGTCGCGTGTGTGTCTCTCGTTCGTACGTCGTCTGGTATACGTCCGGTCGCTTAATCGGAGCAGAACGTGGTGCAAGCGCGGGGAGCAGCGAGTGAGAGAAATAACAAGCACAGCCGGTGACGAGTAACCAACAATGGTCGTGAAAATCTACATATCGGGTATCAGCGGCAACAAGGAAGTGAGTGAGCAACAACTTTTCAAGCTGTATAATTCTTCCGGATTCAGATGTATTCGCGATATTCAGGATGCGTGACAACGTATGTGTGTGTTTGTGCGACACACCGAGTTGTCCGTCATCCTCGTCATCGCGATCGCTATATCAGGTTACAATATACGAAAACTTCCGTAATTTTCAAGCGCCCGATAATCAGGGACTGTCATATGGAATCGTTGTACTATATATGCACGACGCGGGCGTGTATTTTTGATCTCGTTCGGTTGCCTCAACGATGCCGTAGCGTTATGACAGTTTTATGTATTTATTATACTATACATCGCAAACTTTTTCGAATGCAGTTGAAGCGCCTATTGTTAAATTTTGTATTTTTGTAGCATTGTTGCACTCTGATAAGATAAATGCAATCATCTATAGAACTCTGTAGTGTAAATAAAAACTAATAACGGAGAGAGTTTTGACTGGCCGATTACTCGTAAATGTATTGCAGGTGAAGAAAAGACAGCAGCGTGTGTTGATGATTCTAGATAGCAAGAATGTGGAGTACGAGACCATTGATATAACAGAACCGGGCAAGGAGTTAGATAAAGAATTCATGCAAGCTAATAGCAATGCGAGGAACAACAAGTATCCATTGCCGCCGCAAATATTCAATGAGGATGATTATTGTGGGGTAATTTACCCGCTTGTAATGATGAAAAAATAAGATGTACAAGATCAGAAAATATATTACAAATTTTTTTATATACAAATTAAATACGAGAAGTGAATTTTTTCAGGATTACGAAGACTTCGATATAGCAAATGAAATAGACGAATTGGAAAAGTTCTTGAAAGTAACACCCGCAGTCAGCACGGCAGAAATCACTCTGGAATCAAAATCTCAGAGCGATGAGATACAAGAAAACGGAAATACTTCAAGTCGAGAGGTAAATTTTTAGTCTTTGTAATTTTTTGTCAGTTAGGCGATATATATATATGTATTAATGCTTTGTGAAAAAGAATTTAGAAGTACCAAAATAGAAATAGCAATTATTATAGTCATGTTTTATTGTGCGACGTATGTGAAATGTATATTTGATGTATGACAAATCGCTTTTGTTGTAACACTATTTATAAATTGTTTGTACACATCTGGCATCTGAATTCTATGTTTCAGCCTTCCGCAGACAAAGAAGCAGTACTCTCCGATAGGTAACTGACATATATGTATATTAAAAGATTCAATCACAAACAATACGGAGATAATAGACATCGCGAATTGAATGTGTAAATTGCAGTTGAATTAAATTTGTCTGCATTATCGATTTTTATGATTATCTCTGCTTCAGTTTACAAGAAAGAACAGCTCTAGAGAGCGAGAATAAAGCGTTAGACGAGTCAAAACCGACTGAAGTAGATAGCGCTGCGAAAGCCAGCGAGGAAGGTGCCGAGGATAGCGGTGATAAAAACGAAGAGAAATCCGACGATCAAGAGAAAGAGGAATAGATGCAAAAGTAACACCCATGTGAAATTATGGGATATTCCACACAGTGACATCTTTTCTTTTCCACCTCCAAGCGTATTTTGCAAAGCTACGTTTATTACAATACTAAGGCTGAACGAAGGTACTGCCAAGATTAATATTCTGTATTTGCGGAAAGTCTGTTATGAACAAGTATATAAGTGGCGCAATAGAACATACTTTTGTAAAAAAAAAAAAAAAAATTATACTTTGTATTTTAGATCGAAAAAACGCGTCTTCGCCAATGTTTTGCAACAGGTCTGATTGTAGAGGTGATATGAGACAAATATCTCTTCATATCACTTTCTCTCTTTGCACATGTCTTCACGTTTGTTATTTTGCCTCGTTTTCGCATTGCACCCCGCACCCAAAAAATATAGTACTTCCGAGACAATGAAATTTAATAATATATATATAATGTTTTTTTTTGTATTACTTTGGTTATTGTTTCCGCGTGAAAAAAAACGTGAGAATAAATATAGAATACAGCAACACACATCACTTGAGATATATGCAAAAAAACGAATATGTTTGTATAATATGTTATATATAATTCTTTTTATGTTTAAATATACTTGTGATTGTTACAAACACATGGGAGAAAATTTGAATCTTCGAACACCAAGCACAGCACACAATAAGTATTATAAAAATTGCTATTTGTGTACGGAATTTCTCTTTCGTAAATATTTAAGTTGTGTTAAGATAATCAGAAAGTCTTTCCACACAGATATGCCAAAAGAAATGATTAATTTCTTGAAAAATATATATATATATATGTAATATATAATATACATTAGGGGAGTATTAGAGAATAAAAGAGCAAGAAAAGCTTTCTAGATTTTTATAATTCGATTATATAAACGTTTTTTTAATCAACGTATATTTTTTATTTTTTATTTCTAGTTGACAAGATTATACTGGGATATGACATATGACTCACACGTTGAAATGACTTAATTTCCTCAATATGTGTGATGACTCATATTTACTCGGCACAGTGTGTTTGACAATCGAGTTTTTTTTTATCTTAAGTGATTTCTAAGTTAAAATAATGTTGTCAGGTATAACAATACAAGACTTTTACGAGCAGTATATACGAGTTATATTGTAATATAATAATATGTATACATATATGTAAGAGTTTACGGATATATAAAGAGAAGTTTTCTTTTACAATTGCTACTATTAGGACGAAACACAATAAAATGACGTGGTGTAAGACGAACAACACGATATGTAAACCGATTAAGCAAAATAATTTTCTATACAAATCCGATGGTTTCCAAAAAATCATCTGTTCTTTAATTATATGTACAATAATAAAAACGTTCGCGATAATAGCAGCAATTGTAGCAATTGAAAGGCCTATGTTATTATCAGTCGAAACGCTCCTTCCTCGATTGTGCTCAATAAGATTGAAATATCTTACATAAATCTTATGTCGCTTGTTCACATGATACCATTATCAAAAATAAAATTAAGCTTTACGCAATATTGCTTTGTTACAAATAAAAAAAAATATATATATAAAATATAAAAAAGAGAACAATTAAAGAATCTATTCCGGCTCTGTAGTTTCTAAACTAATAAATATATATTCGGTCATTGGAGCCATTCACTAGGTGTTGTGCGGAAATTATACGTGTATATATGTCCATATATACGTGTTCACATGTAAATTTTTACACGTGAAATTCGAATTGAATTCGCCGAATAGGAAAGGCGACGGCACGGAAAGCCGGAGATTCCAGGTTCGACTCCTGGCCGAGGAGTTTTTTTCGCAATATAAATTTAATTTCAATTAGGGGGGTATTTGGGATTTCTTATATAAGAGATGCAAGTATAGCATCCAATATGAATTTTAGAATTGTTAATTCAATTCGAATTTCACGTGTAAAAATTTACATGTGAACACGTATATATGGACATATATACACGTATAATTTCCGCACAACACCTAGTGAATGGCTCCAATGACCGAATATATATTTATTAATAAAAAAGAGAGTTATGTTTGCTATATTATAATTCTATTCTTTAACACTCGCGCGGCTTGAAACACAATAAAATCAATTTATAATTAATATTTCATATAACACATATATATATATATATACACACACACACATATATAATTTATACATAGCTGCGTCAAAAATGAGAACAATATCAAAGCTTTATCTGCACTTAATATGTGTCTTTCTCACACAAAGATGGAGAGAGAATTAACACAACAAAGATTGAATATACATATATATATTATTGTTAAAATAATATTTGTTGTGTCACACAACAGGTTTATATAATTTGTAGGCGTATAACCATATATATTTACAAATAAAACATTATATCATTACAAAAATATATCATTACGTATATATATATATATAGATCATGGTGATCATTGTTACACAAGCATACAAGAAAATTTACTAAAGACAAAATATATATTATTTAAACTTAAGTTTCAACTTGTTTGTATATCCTAAAACTTTTTATTTCTCTAATTTATCACAAAAAATATCCGTTTAGCATTATGTATACATTACATAATAACTATTGGAGTAATTGACTACATATTTCGTTCATTTAGTAAACTTGAATACAGATACATTAATTGTCATCTATAAATCCGCTGACTTCTCTTCTAAAAGCAATGTAAAAAAGTTTTAAATATATACACAAAATATATATGTTTCTTTTCGATATACAGTTAAAAATACTATTTTTTTATACACATCTTATCTTCAGTCAATAATATATTCTCTAATAGATTCTTACAGGGTGTTGTACTTTTAAAATAGAACGCTATCTAATTCCTTAACTATCTTTCTCTTGTATATTTGGTGTTTCCACTATGACACGAGTACAGCCTGAAAACAATAATTATCAATATGTTTTTTTTGTTATATATATTTAAAACACGTAAAAATATGTGTGAAAAAATTTTGTATTTAAAACTCTTGGCAAGAAATGTATAAACATCCTGCAATGTTTTTACACTACTAAAGTATTATTGTGTATAAATATTTTGTTTTTTTCACTAATGATACATCTTACTATCTAAACTTTGTTTAAAGAAACATTACAAGACATTTCTCATTTAAACATAGTGCATATATTTTATGAATAAAACATGGTTCATGAATCTATTTTTCACGAATCTATTTTTAATGAAACTGAGCGGATAAACAATAAAAAAAGAAAAATTTTCTAATTACGATTAAAAAGATGAGACAAATGCATTGTTATTATTATGTATGTGTAGCAAACTTTACTACAAAATATAAATAATTGCACAATGTTATGTTAACTTATATCATGTTTGTGATCATCATGATAATAAAAACATAAATATATGGATAAAATGTTCGAGCTCTCTCTGTCTCTCTAAATATACGTACACAAAGCACAAAAAATATTAAAAAAAAAAATAAAATAAAATGTAGTCCATTTTCCAAAAATTGCGTTTATTTATATTTTTTACTCTTGGGATGTATCCCAAGTAATAATTACTATGCACATTCTTGTATTTATCGATACGCATTAATACAATATGTTCATTACTATTAAACAAATTGTGTTTAAATAAACTTTTCGTTATATACACTAAAAAAGATTAAACAATACTAGTTTATAAATAAATGTAAACTAGTATATTAGGTAATCAGTGGTATGTATATATATATATGTGTATATATGTGTATGTACATGTATGTGTATATATACATACACATATATATACACATACATGTACATATACCATATTGGTATACTTTTGTCTTCAATAAGATAACGAAACTTTATCATATAAATTATTGGTCTTGCTGTAATTAAGGCATTGAATGCAGCTTTTTCATAGGCACATTATAAGGCAAATAGGTTAATAAGAATATTTTAGGCAATTTAATAAACTTGTTTAAAAAAAATTGTTTTTATGTATTTTAACTTAATAAATATATATATATATTATATTGTACAAATATTGAAAAGCTTTACAACTTTTAATAACAAACGCGAGAGAAAATGTGTAATAATTATTCTTTATTAAAAAAAAGACACATGTATATATATGTCAATTTTAATTAAAACTTGCTACATGTAAAAGCTGCATAGCCTATCCAATAGGCAATTGAATGCATTTGTCTTAAACATAGTTAAACTCGTGAAAAAATTAATTATTTATAAAAAAATTTTACTATTTTTTTCCTCTCTTCATAATTTTTCAATTATATATATTATTATTAAGCTATTTCTCCTTAATCTGCCATAAACTGCTCTATATGTATACATAAAAATATGTAGCTTACAATGTATATACAGTCTCTATTACACATTAATCGGTTTTCCTTTGCTCTTAACTGACATTAATGAAACAGTTAAAACCTATTCTCTTAATCGCATCAAATTCTTTGTGTAATTATTAAGTACATGAATAAATTATACAGTGCGTTATATACTATTCTCTTTGTAGTAAACATGTTTCCAAACCACGCAGAAAACTGCTGTATATATAATAATATTTGTACCTATTCTGACTGAAATGTGCCAAGAGAACAATACGTAGAAGTATATAGAATATACACAAATATATATTTCATGAAAAAATTACGTATAAAATTACGTATAAAAAGAACAATTGTTGAGAATGAAAGAAAATTATTGGATCTGGAAAACTCTCGTCATTATAAGAATCTCCGATCCATATGTTTCGTTTTTTTTTTTGTTTTTACATCTCATGTTTCTCTCTTTCAGAAATTTAATTTAAAAAAGGTACGCATAAACACAACCATCGAATTGTTGTATTATATTCGAGACTATTACATTTTAACAGACCATGTTTCGTATTATGCTTATAGAAATATTATATTTATGTATAAATAGATGGATTTAGTTTCTTACAATTTCTAAGATATAGCAAAAAACTAACACGTGTATAACTTAATATTTTGCAATGCTGTTATATGTAACACACAGTTTGAGGTATTTATTTCTTCAACAACACTTAAATCAAGTTGTAAAATAGCTTCCACAGAGTTACTTCCAACACACAACTTAACTATACGCACTTGTACGAGTGCTCGATCTACTGTACGCACACAGATAAAACTTCGACAGAATTATGCTTTGTTACTTGACTTAAGATCGACCGTACGTCGAGTATCGTACGAGGAGAAATGTGTTACAGATAATTTACACGTGCGAAATATGGTATATAATAAAATCTAACTCAAATATAAATGAAAAAGAAAAATAAATATGAAAAAAAATCAAAAAGAATAGTGCTCTATAAAAAAACATTTATTAATGTTTAAATAATGATGATTTAATTAACGCAATTGATAATATAAATGACGCTGTAACATACATGTTTACAGCTTTCTCTTTTTACATATATATCTAAAACTGACATTACACACGCTTTATCGTGTATACAGAACTTGGAAAATTAATGTCAGTTAAGATTCTCAATATGTTATACATATTCAGTAGCAAAAAAAAGTTCTTTACAGAACAAAATAAAAAAAAATTCGCAAATATAAGAATTGTAATTGATTGATTGTAATGTTAAGTATTGTATTCTCATTAAATATCTGATCTGTCAAGTTTTTTTCCAGGACGGTAATTCTAGTTTTTGTATTTAAGATGTCAATTACTGGTTACGTATATGTGTACATACATATGCAATATCAGAACTGTGGTGTTATCGCATATGACACCTATTAGCTTATGTTTTAATGCACGATATTTTATGCAAATATGTGGTGCGTATAATACACGAAATTCATAAATCTACAGTATCTACTATCTGTCACAAAACACTTGATATTAAAAAAGTTGAAAAATTTGTTTTCTACTGAAAAATACGTCATTGTAAAAACCAGTTATTTTACTGGTATTTAAACGATTCTAAGCACATTTTAAACAAGTGTATTACTTACAGTCTTATATCACACAAAGAGAGAAAATCAAAAGAATGTTCACAATTGGTAGTTTTGGATCTCAGATAAATTAATATATATATATAGAAAGTAAATATGTATATATACATATCACAGTATAAAAAAAATATATAAAAGTGAATTATAGTTTTTAAATTACAGTTTTTCATATAGAAACAAGAAAATTTGTAAAGAAAATATTAATATATGATTTATCACAAAACGGTTCTTCAAAACTTCTTTCAATCACTTTCTATAATATTTTATCACGTTTACACACTTTTTAAAACAAATATTACACACTTTTAAAACAAATAATAAAAACAAAATTATAGTTTAATTTGCTGTTACAGCATGTGTAATCATTCTTAATTGATTTTCTCCTAATTTTCATTATGCATTGTATATGTTGTGTCTCTCTTATAACAAATACTATACAGAAATATAATTAATCCGTACCAAAGTATTTTTGTCCAAAATGATTTGGCGCAACAGTATGGATCTCTGATGTTAAGATCTTCATCTATAAAAAGAAGCAGAATAATTTTATTTAAAAAAGTAAATCGCACATATACATAAATACTAATATAATTTTTAATTAAACCATTATATTAGTATAAACATTAAACATTATGCAAGAAATCACCTTAGGAAAGGCAGTGATTAAAGACTTGGCTGCGATTGGCGTACAAAATAAATTTGACAGTATAATATTCTCTTCAAGAACATTGTGTTCCTTTAAAACAGCTATAGCTTTTATAACAGTATTTCCCGTACCTACGTGTGTGCAATAGAGACATTAGACTTACTTTATAACTCAGAGTGCTAGCATATTCAATCAATCAGGTAAAATATGAGTAATTTGTTAAAATATTAGTTTTTTCATAAAAAAAACTTACTCATTATTGGATACATCAACAAGACTTTTCTCTCGGATATATCATCTGGGAATTTGGCATAAACCACTCTAGCTTCATGTGTGTCCATGTCACTTTCTACTAATATTTTACCAATTCTGATGCTACGACAACAATCTCTGAGACCCTAGAATATTATTCTGTGATATTCACTAATTTATTTCTATGATTTTAGTGGATTTTACAGTAGCTTTATTTAAATTATACCTGTTCCATAGCTTCTCCACTTCTCACTATAGATACACCACAGTTTCCTTTTTGATACTTCAAACCTTTGTAAGTGGCACCAGTCGGAGTTGTTACTACACATTTTGTAAAAGGCAATTGGTTCAAACTCTCTTCAATAACTAATCTGATCTAAAATATTTGAGAACATTATGATACTGCTTATTTGTAACTTTTATCTTTAAATAGTAGATGCTCTTAAAAATGTATACAACAGATAAATATCAAAAATGCGCACATATATCTTACCAAACGATCAGCATAGAATTTGAAATCACTCCTTGTGGTATTTCTATAAAAGAAATGATAAAATATGCGCATTGTTTAATTAAATTGAAAGGTGAAAAACACCTTTTTTTCTCTTAATTTAATGAAATATATAAAATATTACATTGGAGATAATTTTATGATTGTGTGTAAAAAATTTTACATGATGAATAGTTAGTTTTATTCACACATACACACACAGATACACGTGATATTAACCAGTATTCACTTACTTATCCCGCAAAATAGTTTGCAACTCTTTCACTTGATTGTTACAAGGTAAAATCTTCAAGTTCGCCCCGTACTCTTCGGCATCGTAGCTATCATTCAGCAACTTCGTCGCAACGTCCGTACTACCCATGATAGATATATTGCACCACGTGTTATCAAGAGCACCGGCGGAATCAACAGAATAGTAGTTCAATGGCTATTGAGTACATAACCAAACCAAATAGACCCTCTACGTTGACGGGAGATTGTGGGAAATGGAGGAAACGCATCTGATGCGCATGAGCAGTAAAGAAAGTTGATCGGAGGATAGTATAAAAAAGAGCTTATAAAAGCGGTCGCCAACTGGACTGTTCTTCTTTTCTTCAAACATTTCAGCTGCTGGATTGATCAACACAAAAGTGAGTATGTCATTTCATTTGCATTCGTGTTATCTTTGGTTCGTTCTTTTTCACTGAACTCTAGTTCAAAGTTTATTTTGTTCACTCTAAATAGAAGAAAAAACAAAAGATAAACTCTGTAAAAACGATAAACTCTTGACTTAGTGTAATCATTTCAGCGAAAAAAACAAACCATTTGGTGTCGAACAAGTCACTTGAATCGGTGCAGAAAAAAATATGTTTCATACTTGATATCTATACAAAATATGAAAAATATAGAAAAATTGCAAATTGGAAATAATATAAAATCTTGAAAAAAATAACATACAAATTCACAAGACAAAAGTGTTCAAAAGTCAGAACGCTTTGTTTTATATGCGAGTGCAATAGTTTTAAAGTGTCTGATAAGTTTTAAAACAATTTTCGGTCTTTAAGTATTTTTTTTTCAACTTTGAAATTTCGAATGCTGACACATAGCAGTTTTAAAGAATCAAATTTCAGAAATCATTTTACGCGAACAATGTCAACACTTCGGGTACGGTTAAAGTCTCACTGTAAATGAGGCTATAGCGCTGCGCAGTAAGTCTTTTGATCGTAAATATTTAGTAGGAGAAAAGATGAAAGAGAAATTGTACGTTTTGAGAGGTTTTACTGTACATTTATTAATCAGCGCTGCGCAGTAAGTCTTTTGATCGTAAATATTTAGTAGGAGAAGAGATGAAGGAGAAATTGTACGTTTTTTTTTTTTTTGGGAGGTTTTACTGTACATTTATTAATCAGATGATTTGTATCATAACACACAATTTTATCAGATTATTTGTGTCATAATAATTTTAATATATTTAGTATTACATATATATACATAAAAATGTTGACAATGGAAATGCCAATACAAGAACAAGTGTTGCAATCGGTTGGAGGAAATGAACAATTGTTGAATAAGTTGTCGGATAAACTTCGATTATGGCTAAAACAACAACTTCATCTTCCTCAAGGTATGTATACTTTGACCTAAAAAGATGAAAGAATATTTCAGTTTTAAATAAACAGACGTAATTATATTTTATAGTATATTTTGTATCTTTATAAACATATAAATACAAGTCTGCATAGAATGTAGTAGTCTGCACGGAGTCTTAGAATAGATCATTTTATAAAAAAAAAAACGCTATTCTCTCTTAGAAATTTCTGATCGTCGATTGAAGTACTTCATCTATTCTGCGAAATTTGATTTTGAAAAAGCCAAGAAACGTCTGGATCTCTTTTACACTATTCGTACTTTGAGTCCCAAATTATTTGGTGATTATGATCCATTGGATGCTGGTTCGATTCAACAAGACAGTTACGTGTAAGTATTCTTTTAGAGTACATTTCTACACGGAAAAAAAATGATGTTGAATCAACAGTATCAGTTTAATTGAAATATATCCTGTTGATGCAACATCAATATTGCATTATACACAGCAGATAGTTGCTTTTAGAATCTAGACATTAAATTAATCGCATTTGCAATTGAATGAATTATTTATTTTTATGGCAGCTCGTGACGTCAACTTTAATTAAAGCAACTCCATGTTTTTTCTGTGTATACAAGTTTTTATATCATAGACGAGTGTTGCAAACTTTGGCCGGCTAGCACCGAAAGCACCGAGGTGTTGGGAGCCACTGGAAGCACGCACACAAGCGAAAACCGTCGTCCGTGTGCGTGACGTCACGCTCGTCTGTCGGCTCGTAGAAGAATGCAGACATATTATGTTCCGTCTTCTTTCCGTCTTCAAACCGGCTCAACAAGATGACAGACGAGGCATGTTCACGTTACGATTATTAATCTCGGAAAAGCGTTTCACGTTGTCATACGCAAAAAGCGCGCAACGTAACGTGAACATGCCTCGTCTGTCATTATGACAAACGTTTTGACCATAAGAATGTAGTTTTTTTCGATGTCACAAAACATTAACATAAAAAAGAAGATCAAATCTTTTAGACTCTCTTTTTCTACGTAATGTTTGTGACATTGTAAATTGGAAAGGACTACATTGATATACAGATCGATATACAGGGTGTTTGACAACGAATGAATAAACCAATGTGTGTAGGTAGATCGGATAAATCTGAATAGAAAAGTTATTTACCATTTTTTTAAATTCGCAATAGTTATTGAGATATAAATTAATAAATGTGAGCCAATGAGTGCGCGGGAAGCAATGATCGGACTTTATAGAGGTGCACGATTAGCTATAAAGAAAAATGGCTTATCTTATGCAACGATAGGCGGAAATCTCATTATTTTACTGGTCTAAAAAAAAAGTGATTATAAAAAATCACGTTTACCATAACTCGCGCTTTTGAGTAAAAACTAATTGCGTAATGACAAAACCAGTTTGTATCAAATTAATTGCGTTTTTTTTCATTACAAACTATCCTTGAATTGAAATTATAATTTGAATTAAATATTATTTTTAATCTTTTTTTTTATAAGTACGTAATATCTATAAAGATTTTATATTTTATACTTTTTAATATATACTTATACTTATTCATACTTTTTACATACTTTGTTTTTAGACGATGGATACCTCTGCCAAAGTTAACGCCAGAAAAATATAGAATAATGTTTTTCCAGATACTGAACCATGATGTAGATGCGTTCGATTCTTACAAAGTTGCACAGTATGTATAATGTTTATTGAATAAACACACATCGCATACACATAACAATGGTAGATAATTGACTAAAAGCTGAAATTACTAAAATATACAAAATCAGCTCTTTATTTTTTTAAATTTTTGTTTTTTCTCTTGAACAAGTTAACACATGAGGCCGCAATAAAGAATCGCAAAAACTTGCAATAAAAAATTTCTTAAAATATTACAGACATACTTTTCGGACATTTGACCTGTGCATCGAGGAAAACATAGTAGATAATTGCGATATTCTCATTTGGGACTGCAGCAATGTACTTCTCAGTCATATATTGAAGTTTACACCAAACATAATGAAAGATATTACCATTGGCCTGGTAAAATTATTATAAATAAAAAATTATTTCCCATTCTATATTATACACATACGTATAACGTTGTGCAAACTTCTTATTTTATATTATATTTATATTTAGGAAGCATTCGGCGCAAGAGTTAAAGCAATTCACATATTCAATGCGCCCTCTTATATAAATGTCTTTTTGACAATGATGAAATCAGTAATGAGCGCAAAACTTATTAAAAGAGTAAGAATAAAACACTTAAAAAAATTACAAAATAATAAAAATTAAATACGACATTATATGTACAACATTATTATATGTATAAGTCGTACGTTATATATATTTTTTGCATTTGTAACAAAGAACTAGATTGTATTAACTTTTGTTTTTACAAAATAATTACTTTATTTAAAGTTTCACGTAGTATGACATTGCAGATATGTGTTCATAAATCTGGAGTGGAATCATTGTATGAAATTATACCAAAATCGCTTTTTCCAAAAGATTATGGCGGTGATCAACCGTCAACATGTGAAATAACAGGTATAACGCTTCTATATTTAATATATCTATCGTCTAATATACATACATCCTCGCAATGTTGTATTATTCTAATATAATTATAATATAAATATTATTCTAAATAATATTATTCTAATATAATTGTTATATTATTTAAGCAATAATTATATTATTCTAGAAATGTGGCGTGCGAACTTGATTAAAAAAAGAGACTGGTTCTTGGAACAGAACAAACTCAAAACCAACGAATCTCTGCGATCTAATTCCGTAATAAATCTGGACGATCTATTCGGAGTTTCGGGAACATTCCAAAAACTGGACATTGACTAATGCAGAATAAAGTATATGGAACGTAAAAAGTAAAAACTTTGGCAACTGTGAGAAACACGATGAAACTTATACGTGTGTGTGTATTAATTATATGTATTAATACGAGGGATATTTTGTATCAACTTCGCAACTATCTATTCTCGAGTTTAAATCATGTACTAATGCTAGATTTTATTCACCTCTACCGAGATTGCATAGAATTTGGAACCAAGTATTGAATGAAACATTGGAAATGGAATCCATTAGTAATTATAAGCGTAAAGTACATTAGTTGATTTATTCTGAAAACTTTGTTAGCGAATGGTAGCACTCGCGAACTTTGTCTTTGCATTGTATTACTTTGTATAAAAGACTATAACCCGTTTAAATAAATAAATATTTGTTAAAAAAATAAAACACGCGACTTTATAATTTTTTGTACTGGTATATAAATATATCTATTTTTAAGTGTGTATTATATTTTAAAACTTACGTTATCTTTCACTTTTGTATTGATTATATTTAATATTTTTTAAGAATTACCTGTAAATATTATGTCCAAACTGTTAATGGCCTTTTTAATCCTTTCACTACTGTTGATCTTAAGATAGATTACATACACTAAACGTGTACATGTGTTAGTTGTGTACATGCACAGTTTTGCAAATGGCGTCCAACCTATTAACCGTAAAAACCTTTTCCCTTGAGCAGATTCCCTCCCAATGAACCGTAAAAATCGGAACTACTTTTGTATCACGGAGTTCGATCTCCTTACTTTTACTTCGTGCGCGCAACGCTCTCCCCACTCTGCCCACTATTCCACTTCTATGCGCAGACTGCGGACCTTTCTCACATCGAAAAGACAGTAATTCGGTCTGTTAACGCGAAAGGTGTTTATAGGCGTCCATTTCAAATTGCTCGGAGCGAACTGGAAGCGCTTATAAACACCCACCAAATCTTATCAACAATAGTTGCAATAAGCTTCACTTAAATCAAATTATAAATCGCGTTGAACTTCTACCTACCTACTGTATGCTACGCGCTGTATATATCACAGTCTGTCGTAGCAAAGGGGTCAATCTGCAATTTTGTGGAAAAATAAAAAAACGCATAACTTTTTAAAAATACTTCGTTAGAGCATTTTATTAGATATAATGTACAATTACCTACATTTTCGTAATATAAGAAAGCTCTATTAGACTAATTCGTTGACTTTACACAGGAATTAAATTCGAGCATTACTTTTAACAAATCCTCCACTGACTAGAGAAAATAATACAGAAAAGATATGTATAAAAGGAAGAAGACAGAGTCGAATTGTTTATTTTCTAGCAAGTACACAATAGAAGCGAACCATCACCTTAAATAATAATATATATATTGTGACTCGTAACATAAAACAGTTAAGTTGTTGTTTGAACCCTCGAGAAAAGAGAATACAAAAGAGACAAGGTGACAGTCACTGGAGGAGTTGTGTATAGAAATACAAAACCGACCAAAATAAGACGAATGGTCTGAGATGCATTCCGTCAAAATTATTTAAAAAAGAATTATGTTATTTATAAAATATTAATTATTCTAATGGACTTATGATAGGTGATAGTCAGGAGAAGGTTCAGCTACAGATTCAGTAGTGAACAGAGGATTTGGGAACTCTGGTGGGTGTGGCAGTGGTCCAGCAGTCTTTGGCTGACGTCGATACGCCATAAGCCAGCATGACACAGCGATAGCTACGGCAACCAGTGCCAAGAGTGCCGTAATTATCAATGCTATGATAAAGCCGACCATAGAAACACAGATATCTTCTACTCTTTGCGCTGAAGGAGCTGAAAAATACAAAATATAAATTACTCTTCTCTTGTTCTCACAAAATATAAATTACTTCATGTTGTAAACGCAATAGCTTCTCTTTTCCTGTGTATATCAAGTTCTTACCTTCAGCTGGATCTGCTGTATACCTCTCCTCTCTCCTTTCCAGAGTAAATATTAAATTAGACTGAATTGTTATTTCTTCACGAAGTTGACCTTCGTATCCGTCAGATATACTTAAAGACGTATCGTTCATTTCGGAAGCGACGTCTCTTCGGCGACGGCCGAAAGCGTTGTAACCTCGACAGTTTACCTGTTGCAAAAGACAAAAGAGAAACGCATTTAATTTGTAATTATCTTAACACTGTCTTCCGACATCTCGAAATAGCAAAATTACAATATAAATTCTACGCTCGTTAATAACTCACAGGTTGGCAGCGTCCAAAGCACACGCGTATATTGCATTGGAATCTTATATTGTCACTACTGGGGAATTTGAACGCGTTAAAGCTAGCCATTAAAGATTGCGTCTCGGGATTCTGTTCCCATTCTCCGAATATCGTAGGATCTGTCGCACAGCCATTCTCATCTGTCACGACATATTCGTTCTCCAAATTATCTTCCATGGTTTTGGCAACGCAATTTCGCGCGAATCCGCCGTAAATAGCTACAACATGTCATCGATTAAACTCGTATTTTAACAAATAAAAAATAAAACTCTTTATTGAAGATATAAAAAAAATATATCTGATTCTTACATGAAGGTTGAACTTCCACTTGTAACATCAGATTGTCTCCGATTTCAGCTGAGTTAATTTCGTTCCCGTTCTGAGCGACTATTTTCATTACACATACAGGTGGTGGACCAGTATTAGCGATCGTTCCGGCGGTAGTGAGCATAGAGACGTTGAAGCCGAGAGTGACATTTTGCTCGCCAGTTTGATATATACACTTGATGTGATAAGCTTGTGCTTTGTAAGTCATCAGCTTCGGGTGTTTCTGTATGACAAGCACGAAGCTAGCTTGTCCCTGAAGAAAGAATCACATGAAGATTATTCTCAAAGATCTATCAGCGCGAAATATAAATTATATGATGCGTGTACTAACATTCACGTGTATCAGACCGCAATTGCCAAATGCAACTTTGAACGTTTCCGTTTTACGTTGAGTTTCAGCCGGTATCGAAACAACTCGTCTGCACTGTTCGTCCTTGCTGCGGCCTTTAACGTACAAAACTCCGTCGAAATCTTGATCCTGCAAGTGTATCACAACTTGCACTCCGTCCGACAAACAGCTCACGTCCATTTCCGGTCTGGGGAAGTCTGTCCGGCCGTCTTTTTTGTCGACTGAAAACAAAAACAAATCGAAAATATTCACAACAGGAAGACTCTTTTTGCGAAGGATCTTTTGCCAGTCTCTTTATGTTCTTCTTCTTTACTTACAGCATTGCGTATATGGATTGCCTAAGTAGCCGTTAACGCAGATGCAGATGGCCTGGTGTCTGGTGGCGTTGCAGAGCGCGTGTATACCGCACTCTTGATTTCTGCAAGGATTTTCGCAAGTTCGAGTAATCGTGTCGCAGTATCTATCGTCGGCGCAGTCGTCGTCGCGTGTGCACTCTATTATACCAACTAAAAAAGAAAACAAAAACGATATTATTGTAGGTTTCAGCAATTTTCGAAAACGTTCTTCGGATTAAACGTGAAATCAAACACAGCCGACTTACTCTGCCTGCAATATCCGCTGGTGTCTATTCTGTATCCGTAGCGCGTTGGACACACGCAATTACCGTATTCGTCTATACTGAATCCCTTTTCGAGATCGCACACGCAAAAGCCCTCCTCGTTTATCACCATATTGGACTGTCTGCGGCAAGGTATGCAATCGTCGTTCTCATCCTTACCGAACCCAGGTGGGCAGACGCAATTGCCGTGTTCGTCGCGAATCTGACCTCTTCCGACCGGGCATACTGAAACAAAGTGTGTGATTATAACAAAATAAATTAATCAGTTTTTAATATTTCTTCCTCACACAATGATTCCAAGTTTTTTCTCGTGTATTTTGCCAATTATACTTACCCTTGTCACAACGAACAACTGCGTTTCCACGATATCCTGGAAGACATTCGCATATCATGGTTCTAACCGGACTGGTGTCCAGAACTTTGCACTCGGCATTGATGCCGCAAGGTTCGATCTTAGTGCACGGATTGATGCACTGTCCGTTGAAGCAGGCGGTCTGAGACGGACATTCGTTGTCCGCCTTGCACTTTTCTGTAACTGCAAAACAATTGAAAGATCAAAATAGGTTCTTGAACCCATACGATTCGCACTTATCTATGTTGAAGACGAAGTGAACTTTTACCTTTGGCGCATCCTGATTTAACATCACCGACATAACCAGGCGGACACGCGCATTCCACAACGTGATTGTAAACGTTGCAGTCCGTGTTGCCGGTACATGGGTTCTGCGCGCAGGGATTTTCACAGCGATTGTTGATGCACGCCTTGTTCGTCGGGCAGTCCGAGTTGCTTCTGCATCCGAGCAGCACGCAGGAAACCCTCGGATTGCCGCCGAAACCAGGTGGGCACTCGCAGATGGCCTTGTGATTTATACCATGGCAGACCGCGTTCTTGCCGCACGTAGGCAGAGATGGCGAGCACACCGGCACGCAATTGTGTTGGACGCACACGTGCGAACCGCTGCAATCGCCATCCGTTCTGCATCCCGCAACTAGAGCAACCAGACCAACGTTAGAATGATATGATCTCAACGCGAAGAATAGAAAAAATAGATTTCCCTTACGTCAAAGTATCGTGTGTCTTACCCTTTCTGCAAATAATGTCCGGATTGCCGTCGTATCCCTGCGTACACGAGCATATCGGTTTGTGATTGATGACATTGCAAACGGCGTTGGGCCCGCACGCGCAAGGATCTCTGCAGACGGCGTTGATGCAGGACCTCTCGGACGAACAGTCGTCGTCCTTGCTGCACTCGATCTTGACGATCGGCGTAGTGGCGCGGCAGGTACCGCTGCCGCTGCTCACGTATCCGCTGGGACACACGCAGACCATAGTGCGGATCGGATGCGTCGGCAGGACGCGACATTCGGACGGTTCCGTGCACGGCTGTATGATCGGGCACGGGCTCTGACACTTGCTGTTTAGGCAGGCGAAGGAGTCCGGACAGTCGCTGTCCTCCCTGCACTCCGGTCTGACTTCAGGTCGGCAGTTGATATATGGGTTTCCGGTGAAGTGCGGCGGGCACCGGCATATTGGCAGATGATTCAACACCCTGCATTCCGCGAGCGGTGAGCACGGATTGTCGTGCACGCAGGGATTGACGCACTGCATGTTGATGCACGAGTGATCCCCGGGACAATCGCCGTTGCTGTAGCAGCCGATCACGCGGCAGCGATCTAACGGATTGCCGTGATAGCCGTTACGGCAACGACAGTCCGCGACGTGATTATTCGGGAAACATTCGGCATTGACACCGCACGAGTCCGCGATCAGGCACGGATTTACGCAGTTGTTGTTCTTACAGGCTTTATCGAGCGTGCACTGACTGTCATGTCGGCACTCGACTGAGTGACACGCGATATCGGGATTGCCCTGGTAGCCTCGCTCGCACGAGCAGATCGGTTTGTGGTTGCTCACGTGACAGACGGCGTTGGGACCGCAGTTGCAGGGATTGCGACATTGCCTGTTGATGCAGGTCTCGCGATCGCTGCAATCGTCGTTCGTCGTGCACGTTCCGATGACCGTCAGTTGTACTACGGAATAATTTTTGAAATTTATTAAAAAATAATGTCTTTAAAAAAATTTTAACTTCTCTTAGTGATTTTGTTTTACTTACTTGGCCTACATGCGCCATCGATGTCGGTGATCCATCCCTCTGGACACGTGCAAATCATGGTTCTCACTGGCATGGTGTTGAGAAGATCGCAACGAGCATTTGCCAGGCAGGGTTTGATAACCGGGCAAGGATCGATGCACTTCTCACGAATGCACACCGACTTGTCCGCGCAATCGACGTCGACTCTGCACTCGGGCTCCTCGATTTCATCCGGCAGACGTCGTTCGCAGTAGGAGAATGGATTTCCGAGCGGTATGTTTTCGGGACAGCGACAGTACGGCACGTGATCCTGCACGTAGCAGACGGCGTTCTGGGCGCAGGGCGATTTCTCAACGCACGGATTCACGCAGCGACCGCCGTCGCACGCCAGATTGTACGGACAGTCGTGATCGGTGTTGCACTCGATCCTCTCGCAATGGATCTGGGGATTGCCGTAGTAGCCCGCACCGCAGCGGCAGGCCGCTTGATGATTCTTGCCGTAGCATTCCGCGTTGATGGCGCACTTGTTGTCAAGAATACAAGGATTCACGCACTGGCCGTTGTAGCAAGTGGCTGCGTGATCGCACTCGCTATCAGATTCGCAGTCAACTGAAATGGACAATCACGATAAAATACAATTGAAAATAACTAGTTTCATCGAGCCCAAAGAAAAAAAATACAAAGAAGTGATACACAGACACGTGCGACGATGGTTCTCGATACTTACGCTTGAAACATCCCAGTTGGGGATTGCCGGAGTAGCCCGGCGGACACACGCAGGAAGGATAATGGTTGACAACGTTGCACTTAGCATTGGGTCCGCAGTTGCACGGATTAATACACGCGCCATTAACGCACGCGTAGTTTCCTGCGCATTCGCTGTTCGTCACACACTCGGGCACGATCTCCGCTGAAACGAGAAATAACAAAATGTACAAAAAATACGTGTTACGCACGCGGAGATTTTCAAGACATGATCAAGTAACGAGTTCTTACGCGGTATGCACTTGATCGTGGGATCGCCGATGTAGCCAATCGGACACTTGCAGACCGGATTGTGATTGTCAACGTGGCACAGAGAGCTCCTGCCGCAGGGATCACCGATCACGCACGGATTCACGCAGAGCGAATTTATGCACTGCTTGTCGTGCGCGCATTCGCTGTTCGTGTAGCATTCCGGTCGAATTCCCGGCAGCGGAGAGACTGGAACTGGAATAAGAATTGCGCAGGTCAGTTTCCGTGAAAAAACAAACGATGTTTACAAAAAACTCTTTGAGAGAATTTTTTTACGCACCTCTTATACACTCTATGTATGCATTGCCCGTAAAGTCCTGGGAGCAGAAGCAGATTCCAGTGTGAGACGAAGATTTGCACTGAGCATTGAAGCCGCATTGGGTGGTCAGGCAAGCGTCATCGCATCTTCCGTCCACGCACTTCTCGTAGTTGGCGCAATCTTGATCCAGATGACATTGCACGTCGCCTAACACTGAACACACACACGCAAACAAAAATAAAATAGATACAAGAAATCGTAAATGACAATACGTAGATTATTATAACGCATTTTCTGAAATCAATGCATACCGATTGGCTTGCACTGGCCGTTTACGTCAGTAATGGTGTTTGGCGGACACAGGCAGATCATGGTGCGAAGCGGCAGCGTGTTCAGGATCTTGCATTCCTGTTCGCTGGTGCACATATCGGTCGACAGGCACGGATCTTGACATCTGGCGTTGATGCAAGCGAAATTCGCTGCACATTCGCTGTCATGTGTGCATTCCGGCTCGATCGGAGTGCCTGAAAGACAAATCGTGTTGTCTCATTATTACAATTTTCATTTATAAAATATGGCGAATGATATTTCAAGAGATGGTCACGTACCAACGCATGTTATGTACGGGTTTCCAGTGGTGCCCGCGGGACACGTGCATCTCGGCTGATGATCGCGCGCGATGCAGGTCGCGGTTTCGGCACAGGTGTCCTCCTCACAAACTCGTCTGCAAACTCGGTTCAGTCTGTCACAGGCTTCGTAATCGGCGCAGTCTTCGTTGTAATGGCAGATCGTGGAGATGCACGCGACGCGCGGATCGCCCTGAGTACCCGGCGGACAGACGCACTGAGCTCGATGGGACACCGCGCTGCACTCGGCACCGCGACCGCATACGATGTCGCCGCCGAGACAGGGAGTGACGCAGTTGTCGTTGCGGCAGGTCTTGTCGTAAGGACAATCGTCATCCGTCTTACATTCGGCTACAGATGAGAAGATTGTTTCCACGTGTAGTTTTTAGAAGTATAGTAAAAACAAAGTAAAAACAATTATTTTGTTATAAAAAGCTTACGTTTGAAGCATTGAATTTGCGGATTGCCGGCTAGACCGCGTTGGCAATGACATGAGGGATGATGATTTATCGTGATACACTCCGCGTTCAGGCCGCAGAGGCTGCCCAAGCACGGATCTTGACAGAATTGATTTATGCACGCCTTGTCGGATGGACACTCCGTGTTCGTTCTGCATTCCGGAAGAATTACATCTTCTGCGAAAGAAAGAATAGCAATATTAGAAACAATTACCTACAATTATTCAAAAACTAAAAAACACTAGAAAAAATAACATTAAAAAGTAATATTGTATAAAAAATTTAGAAAACTGATACAATAGGACAAACAGAAAATAAGAAAGAATAATAAGGATACCTTTGTAACAGTTTATAAACGGATCACCGGCGTATCCGCGAGGACACAGACACGCGCGACGATGGTTCTCGATGTGGCACTCCGCGTTCGGAGCGCACGGATTGACGGTGCACGGATTGATACATCGGCGATTTAGACAAGCCAAGTCTGGCGTGCATTGCGAATCACTCTCGCATATCGCAGCAATTTGTTTGTCCACTGAAAATTCATTTGTTTAATTGCAATTCAATTTGAGAAATTCAGTTTTAAATATGTTTTGAACGAAAAGTTTTATATCTTCGATCTCTCTGAAATGAAATTTTACCTGGCACGCAAGCAACGGTGGCGTCGCCAGCGAAGTTCGGAAGGCACTCGCAAATCATTGTTCTCATTGGTAAAGTGTCCACGACGCTGCATTTAGCACTGGCAATGCACGGTTTTGTTTTCGTGCACGGATCTTCGCAAATGCCGCTGAAGCACGCTAATTTACTGGGACAGTCGGCGTCGACTTGACATCCAGTGTTTCTGTCTATTGGTTCTAAAGTAAGAATAAGTCCGAAAGTTTAATAACATATGCTAATTATATTCTTTTTTTTTATAAACTTTAAAAAAATAATATTTACCCAAAAGACACGAAGTGTACGGATTGCCTACGTAGCCAGGTGGACATTTACAAAGTGGTCGATGATTGACAACATTGCACAGTGCCGATGACGGGCAGTCGCAAGGATTGACACATTTGAGATTGCGACAAGCTAAAGATGGGGCGCAGTTGCTGTCGCTGGTACATTCGGGTCTCTCGCATATTTCGTAAGGATTGCCAATGTAGCCATCGGGACAGTAGCATCGAGTTTTGTGATATCCGTCAGCGGTGCATAACGCGTTGATACCACATTGGGTGACCAAGCAGGTATTGACGCATTCGTTGTTGATGCAAGATTGAATCAATGGACACTCGGTATCGTGACGACAACCAACTAGAAAAAAAAATTAAGTAATGACACAAAGTTACAAACTTACTTGCAGAGAAAAATTTGTTAAACGTATACATTCGTTCAATACACACTTTGATGGCAATATTGTTGGGCATTTCCGCTGTAGCCCTCGTTGCAGACGCACGTAGCTCTGTGCATTATCACGTAGCAACGACTGTTGGGACCGCAAGAATTGAGAGTGCAGGGGTCAACGCACTTTTGATTGAAGCAAGTTTTGTCGTTCGAACATTCCGAGTTCTGAGTACACTCTGAGATCGGTTCTGTGAACATACAAATTAAGATTAATTAAATTAGTTTAATTTAGTAATTTAGTCTGTATAAAATATACGTAATGTAATATAAAACATTACCGTTGAGGGTCGGAATTGTGCACTGCACTCGCGCGTTACCCGTGAATCCGGCTGGACAAGAACACACCGGTTTGTGATTAACGGTTTCACAGAGAGAATTGATGCCGCACGCGCCGATGCAGGGATCTCGGCATTTTTGCGAGAAACAGGTCTTGTCACGTGGGCAATCTGAATTAATAATGCACTCGGGATAGATGCAAATTGCGACGCCATTTCTCACTCTGCATTCGCCATTGTAATTGCAAGGTGAAGGACTACAAGGATTAGTTTCTGAAATGAAGAAATATTTATATTTTTAGATCAACAGATAACATTTGGAAATTAACATAAAATATATAATTCGCATTAAAAATATTTCCATGCCTACCTATCTTTGTGTAACATTCCTCGAAGGGATTGCCGATTAACGGAGATGGGCAACTACATAACGGACTGTGATTGATCGTCTTGCACACGGATTTGCTGCCGCACACATTTTGAGAACAAGGATCTCTGCATTTGTTCTGTATGCAGGCTTTGTCACCTGGACAATCCGAACTGAGCACGCATTCCGGATGACAACCCGTCACACTCGTTGGAACGCCTTCCAAGCCAGGCAAACATTTGCAAACCGCTCTGTTGTTAACTTTTTCACAAACGGTGTTTGGACCGCAGGGTGAAGGATAGCATGGGTCCGTTTCTTTAGTATCTGAACAAAGACATTAACTGTAGTTTTGAATATGTCCTACATTTTTCAAAATATTGGGCTTCTTTTATAGCAAATGTAAACGTATAATTAAATTATAAAATAATGAAGAACGTAGATAAAGAGTGAATTACCATCTACAGGTACTCGGCATAGAGTGAAGGCATCTCCAATCGTAGGCAGTGGGCAAGAACAAATGGGAACGTGATTGGAGACGGTGCAGATTGCGCCAACGCCACAAGTACCGGGACAAGGATCTTGACACCTTGTTTTTATGCAAGCTTGCGATTTCGGACAGTCGGTGTTCACGAGACACTCGGGCTGGCAGCCTTGGTACGGGTTGCCTCTGTAGTTCGGTACGCACTCACAAATGGCCGTGTCGAATCTCTCGTGGCAGTATGCGTTTATTCCGCACGGCGACGGACTGCACGGTCTGGAAGGTACCGACGGCGGTGGAGTTGCTAAAATAAAAAACAGCAAAAACCACGCGATTAACATTACAGTCATAATTATTGTTCAATTTGCATGCAACGTATATTCTAATATATATACACATAAAAATTAACACGTATAAATTAACAGGTTTAAAAATTGTAACGAGATTTTTGCACTTAAGTAGTACAGTGAACAAATGTACATTTTGTGCATGCATAATGTCTTGCATATCATAAATGCTTCCTATACAAGTGAAGAAGTGCGCAACGTGTATGATATATGATACATATAGAATTACATCAAAGAGTACGATAAGTGTAAAAACGAATGTAATATTGTTTAAAATGCTGCGCGGATAATCAGCGTGCGACGAACTGCGAAGAGATCGATATGCAGTTTTTGTTTTTGGAATAAGTTTGTTATATACAATATATAAAATATTTACAGAGATTTTAATTAAGAGAAACCAAGGTTTTTTGAAGAAGATGCTAATTAAATAAGTTGTGGCAAGATAATATATCCATTAGATTTCGATGTGATAGAAGTAGCGAGGATTGTTTTCTTACATAGTATTTCAGAGCAAATTGTGAATGGGTCTCCAGTGTATGATTCAGGACATGTGCATCGGGCTTGGTGCAAAGTGACTTGGCATAGTGCGTTGACTCCGCATAATCCAACGCACGGGTCGGTACATTTCTGCTTAATGCATGCTCGATTGTTGGGACAGTCGCTGTTTACACGGCAATCGGGTCTACAATTGGGTGAAGATCCTATGAAGGTGGGTAAGCAAGAGCAGGAGGGTTTGTTATCAGAGGATACCGCGCATTGCGAGTTTGGTCCACACGGTGAGGGGTAGCACGGGTTCCTGGCAGGTTCCGATGCTGCTGGCGATAAAAAAAATTCATTATCAAGGAGAAAAACACAAACGCAATTTCCACACAAACGCAAAAGACCAAAGTTTTACAAGAAACGTCAAAACACATCTAAGATGCTTCCGTAACATGTGTCTCGAGTCTTTTGTGTTGTGGGGTATCTTAAGTATCGGCTACTTACTTATAGGGAAACAGTTAACGAATGGGTCGCCGGAATATTGAGCGGGACACCTGCAAATGGGATTGTGATTTCGTACTGTGCACAATGCGTTCTGACCGCAAGTGTTTTCACATGGGTTGCGACATCTCATGTTCACGCAAGCCTTGGTCTGTTCGCAATCAGTGCTAACGAGGCATTCAAATCTGCAGCTCGGCGGGACTCCGAGATAACCAGGCAAACAAGAACAGGAAGCCTGATCGCCGAATTCGCGACAGATGCTGTTGGGTCCACAGGGTGAGGGCTCGCAGGGTTTGACGCGCGCTACCAAGAGGCAAAATAACAAAATTAACAACGTTTTTCTGCACAAAAAAATCTTTTTTTGACAGGAATAAAGCAAAGAAAGGAATAAAGCAGAAAAAAGTTAACTCACGTTGCACACGTGTGCAAAGAGTGAACGGATCGCCCTCGTAATTCTGAACGCAACTACAAGTGGCAACGTGATTGACGACCGTGCATTCTGCGTTTTGACCGCAGATTCTGATGCAGGGATTCACGCATTTGTTATTCGCGCAAGCTTTGTCGTACGGACACTCGGAATTCTGCACGCACTCTGGCCGGCATTCCCGATACGGGTCGCCACGGTATTCGGGTATACAACTACAGACTCCGTTACGGCATTCGGCATTGAGTCCGCAGGGCGACGGATTGCATGGATCTGTTATTACTGGAGGAACGTCTGTATCAGGAAACGCAAATGCAAAGTTAATAATAGTTGTTTCGCATCATTGGTTTGTAAAACTTAACGATATATGCATTTAACAATAACAGTGAAGGTTCTTACGCATGGGTGCCAGGTAACAACTGCTGAAGGGATCGCCTGTGTATCCATCGAGACACGTACAGGCCGGGGTATGGTTGATTACAGTACACAAGGCATTGATGCCACAGGATCCGGGACAAGGGTCTTTGCATTTCTCTCTGATGCAAGCCTTGTCGCTGGTACAATCAGAGTCAACGGAACACTCGACACGGCAATAAGGTGGTGATCCAATGTAATTGGGCAAGCACGTGCAAGACGGATAGCCTCCTCTGTCTTGACACGTAGCAAACGGACCGCAAGGCGAGGGAATGCAAGGGTTCACTTGTTGCGGTAACGTAGGCATCACTGGAATAAAGTCAAGCAATATTTTCTGTGCGTCTCAAAGAACACGTCCTACAACAATGTGACAGTCTCGCGGACAAGTTCGGACTTACAAGGCATATCAAAACACTTGACGAAGGGATCTCCGATCTGTCCGGGTCCACAACTGCAGAACGGACTGTGAGATAGTGTGTCGCATTTTGCGTTGATGCCGCACACACCTGGACACGGATTCACGCATTTCTGATTGATGCATGCGCGATTTGTGGGACATTCCGTGCTGATAACACATTCAGCTCTGCAGTTTGGAACAGTTCCTTGGTAATTGGGCAAGCACGAACAACTGGCTTTTCCGTTTACATTAAGGCATTGACTATTTGGACCGCATGGTGACGGCTGGCAAGGATCGCTTGTAGGTGTCGGAGCTGAGGGAGATTGTTCATGAGACAAAACGTTTCTGTGCACATCGTAAACAAGCGAACATATGTTATCATCCACTTACAGATATCTTGTATGGGCTGGCAATAGCGGAACGGATCTCCAGTGTATCTCAATTGGCAGCTACATGTCGGTATGTGATTGATGACTTCGCAGATGGCATTAACGCCACATGTTCCTGGACAAGGATCTTGACATTTGTTCCTTATGCAAGCTCGATTGGAGGTGCAATCGGAGCTAATAACGCACTCGGGTCTACAACCTTCGTACGGATTTCCGTAGAAATCAGGCAGACAAATGCAAGACGCCGAGCCGAAAACTTCCCGACACATAGCGTTCGCGCCACACGGCGACGGCTGGCAGGGATTTAATGGGACAGGCGATACGTCTACTAGAATAGGGAAGTGATAGGATAAATAAAAAAAAAGAATTACGTTTTTCGTGATACTCGTTTTGCCTCTTCCAAACTTACTTGGTTGCGGATTGCACTGGATAAATGGGTCTCCGGTAAAGTCGTTGACACAAATACATATTGGGGTGTGACTGACAGTTTTGCATTCCGCGTTTCTACCACACGAACCCGGACAAGGATCCCGACATTTTTGGTTAATGCAAGCTTGATGACTGGGACATTCGCCATTACTGATACACTCTGGTTTACATCCAGGGGGAACCCCAATAAACTCGGGCAAGCACGAGCACGACGGGGCGTCATTGATAACTCGGCATACAGCGTTTGGTCCGCAAGGTGAAGGTTGGCAGGGGTTTGCAGGTGGTTGTGGCGGTTCTTTTGCTGCAATCGATAAGAAAAGCGTGCTTATCTCAACATAAGTAAATATCACAGCTTGTAACAGCAAATCTGCGTTTGAGTCGAGTTCTTACGTTGCGGAAGACATTGAACAAACGGGTCTCCCGTGTAGAGAAGCGGGCAGCTGCATATCGGATTGTGATTTACAACGGTGCACTGTGCGGTTAATCCACACGCACCGAGGCACGGATCAATGCACTTCTGGTTGCTGCAGGCTCGATTACGAGCGCAATCGGCGCTTATCAGACATTCCGGCCTGCAAGACGGCGGAACGCCTCTGAAACCGGCGATACACGCGCAAATTGCCTGACCGTTCGACACGCGGCAATGGCTGTTCGGACCGCACGGGGATGGATTGCACGGTTGTTGATCCACGATGATCGTATCTACATAATAATAATCATATTGCATTCGTATTAAAAAATACTTAAGATCACATTTTGAGCGTATACGAACCTTGAATAGGTGTGCACGAAATAAACGCGTTACCGGTCATGTTTCTCGGGCAACTGCACATAGGCAAGTGATTAACGACGTTACACTCCGCGTTAATGCCGCAAGTACCGACACACGGATCGCGACATTTGTGAAGCACGCACGCTCTATCGCGCGGACAATCGGTATTGATAACGCATTCCGGTCGACAACCAACGTACGGATTGCCGAAATACTCGAGTATGCATGTACAAGTTCCATCGTCGCATTGGGCGTTTTGGCCGCAAGGTGACGGATTACATCGGTCTGGAGCTGGTACTAAAACGCATACATTAAATTACAGCGATTTGAAATACTTGCCAATTGTGATAATATAATACAATTAAAAAAATATATAATTCTTACAAGGCGCTTGAGGGAGGACGTTGCAACTGACAAAGGGATCGCCAGTGTATCCTTCGGGACAAGTGCAAGACGGCGTGTGATTAATAACCGAACAACGCGCCAAGAGACCACATGATCCCGGACAAGGATCTCTGCATTTTTCTCGAATGCAAGCTCTGTCGGCGGGACAATCCGAATTGATCGAACACTCGGGTCGACAATTGGGCGGGACACCGATGTAATTCTGCAGGCAGCTGCAAGCTGGCGCATCACCGATAGCTCTGCATAAAGAGTTAGGTCCGCAGGGTGACGGCAAACATGGATCTTTCGGATATTTGTCTTCCAAATCCGAAACTGTGGAAAAGTATCAATATGTGTTGATATTGTTTGTTTTTAAATATAAAACTAAAATACAACTTGAATGCATCAAGTATAATGGGTCTTTGTTTCTAAACATACTTGGTGCTGCAAAACAATAGATGAAAGGATCGCCTGTAAAGCCATTTGTGCAAACACAAATAGGACTGTGATGTACGACTTTGCATTGGGCGTCACGGCCGCAAGTGCCGATACATGGGTCTACACATTTTTGGTTCACACACGCTCGGTTCGAGCCGCATTCCGAATTTACTAGACATTCCGGTCGACAATTTGGCGGAGTTCCTATAAATTGGGGCAAGCAAGAGCAGACAGCTTGGCCGTTGTTGTTAGTGCATTGACTGTTGGGGCCACAAGGAGATGGTTTGCATGGTTCACGTTCTGGTTCGGGAACTAAAACAGCAATGTTGTATTTTAAGTGCGGCTCGGTATGTAATCTTTTATTGTTCTGCTCGATTTTTTCTGTTTTACACTGCACGCGTGTGTAACATTACTTACTGTTAAGAGCCTGATAAATACAGCTTGTGTACGGATTGCCTGTGTAACCGGGAATGCAAGTACAAACAGGAATGTTGTTGACTACTTGGCAATCGGTATTGGTGCCGCACGAACCGACACATGGGTTTCGACACTTGGACCCAATGCAAGCTAAATTGGCGGGACAGTCTGAAGAAATGGTACATTCGGGACGACATCCTTGATAGGGATTTCCAACATATTCGGGCAAGCATGTGCAAGAACCAACGCCGTTTTGTTCTCTGCACACGGCGTTCGTTCCGCAAGGGGATGGTTGACAGGGCTGGCTTGGTTGCGGCGGTTCGCCTAAAACAAATACAGCTTCATGCTCTGTTCGTAACGTCAGTATGAGGTATTTGTAAAATGGGAGATCTCAAAGTTAGCTTATTACAAACTTACGAGGCTTAATTGTACATTGAACAAACGGATCGCCTGTGTAGCCAGTGCGACATGTGCAAGTTGGTACGTGATTAACTACATGGCAATCAGCCAGAACGCCACAAGATCCAGGACACGGATCTCTGCATTTGCGATTAATACACGCCATTTGGTTGGGACATTCACTGTTACTGACGCACTCCGGTCTGCAGTTTGGTGGCGTTCCAATGAATTCTGCTAAGCAAGAACACGAGGGTGTATCATTGACAACTTGACATTGAGCGTTGGGGCCACAAGGTGACGGTTGGCATGGGTTTGTCGGTTTTGGTACGTCCTCCGCTTTAAAATAGAAATACATATGGCTATTATAACCATCGGACACGGAAATGTATTCATAAATATTTGCAATAATTGAGAGAACACCTACGTCTCGGTATACAACGTATGAATGGGTCGCCGGTGAACACGGGAGGGCAGCTGCAGACTGGATTGTGATTCAGTACTTGGCAACGAGCGGATATACCACACGCACCGAGGCAAGGATTGCCGCATTTCATGTTGATGCAAGCTTCGTTCAGCGCGCAATCGGTGTTAACTATGCATTCTGGCCGGCACGCGGGCGGATTTCCTATAAATCCAGGTATACACGTGCACACTGCTTGGTTATTGAAGCTCTGACAGCGACTGTTCGGACCGCAGGGTGACGGATTGCATGGATTCTCAATCATAATATCTGTGAAAATGACATTTCTCCGTATTTATGTCTTTTGAAAGAGCGGATTATAAATTATCTCTCGAACGAACGAACATGCGAGTCTTTACCTTGAATCGGATAACACGCCGCGAATGCGTTTCCGGACATACCGTCCAGGCAACTGCACATCGGGGTGTGATTTATAACAGTGCACTTTGCGTTTTGTCCGCAAACCCCGACGCAGGGATCGAAACATTTGTTACGAATACAGGCTTTGTCTAACGCGCAATCCGGATTCTGCACGCATTCCGGCCGACATTCGGAGTAAGGATCACCGCGATATTCGGACAGACAGGTACAAGCACCATCGCGACACACCGCGTTGGATCCACACGGAGATGGATTGCAAAGATCTTGTGGCACGGGTGGAGCTAGAAATATTATCGCATCTTGAACGAGACTGTTCTGAAGAGATATTCTAATATGTTAAAAATTAGAAGCAACGCAAAAGAAGCTTACGAGAAGGTTCTAAGAAACAACGAGTAAAGGCATCGCCGGTGTAACCGTTTGAACAGACACAGACGGCCATGTGATTGACCACAAGACACTGCGCTCCGATACCGCAAGAGCCTGGGCACGGGTCTCTGCATTTTTGTCTCAAACACGCTCTGTTGCTACCGCACTCGGAATCCACGGTACATTCTGGCCGACAATTTGGAGGGCTGCCAATGTAATTTTCCAGACACGTACAAGTCGGCACGCCGGAATAGCCACTGTCGCGACAAGTGGCGAATGGACCGCAAGGAGACGGAACGCACGGATTTGTTGGCGGTTGAGGGGTTTCTTGATCTATCTCTGCAAGGAACAATTTTCATTCAATCATACTCTTTAAAATTGCGCAAAATTTTGTTCTTACAATTCAAAAAAAAAAAATTTTTTTAATTTGTTTTAATTGAAAATATTTTTTTAACAACACATATCAAATAGAGAATATACTCACGTAGTTGGAAGCATGTTACAAAGGGATCACCAGTAAAACCTTGGTTACAACTGCAAATTGGGCTGTGATTAATCATTTCGCATCTCGCGTTAATGCCGCATATACCCGGACACGGATCGACGCATTTGCGGTTCTTGCACGCACGATTCACCGGGCAATCGGAGCTAACGGTGCACTCGGCGCGACAATTCGGCGGGCTACCGATAAATGTTGATAAACAGGAGCACACCGCTTGATAGTTCAATTCGCGGCATTGACTGTTAAGTCCGCAGGGATTAGGATTGCACGGATTGTATTCTAGCGCTAAAATAAAATATTAAATCAAGTATTAAATAAAATATTAAATCAAGTAAGAAAAAAAATTAAATATTAAAAAAATATTAAAATAAAATATTAAATCAAGTAAGAGACGACAATTTTGAAATGTATAAAAACATTTAAAAAAAACACGTTACTTACTCGTATTTTGCACTATTCTGATACAAGAGACGAATGCATTGCCGGTATATCCGGGTTGACATGAACACAACGGCACATGATTCACTACTTGGCAAATCGCATTGTATCCGCAGAAACCTAAACAGGGATTCTGACACTTCGATCCGATACACGCTCGATTTGCGGTACAATCAGAGTTTATCGTGCATTCAGGTCGACAGCCTTCGTACGGATTGCCTATGTAATCTGGCAGACACGTGCAAGAGCCGACGCCGTTTTGCTCGCGACATACAGCGTTGAAGCCGCACGGCGACGGAACGCAGGGTGTTGGTTTTACGCCACTTACAACGTCGCCTACAAAGATCTCACATATACTTCCAAAGAATGTGAACTACATTTATAATTAAAAGATAAAAACTTTGAAAATTTGAACATTTCTTCGATTTTGACCAATAGACTTACTTTGTTTGGGATTGCACATTACGAAAGGATCTCCCTCGAATCCAGTAAGGCAAACGCACATAGGAGTATGACTTATTACTCTACAGTCAGAGTTAATTCCGCAAGAGCCTGGACAAGGGTCACGGCACTTCTGATTGATACACGCCAAATGCGTGGAGCATTCGCTGTTACTAATACATTCTGGCCTACAATTCGGCGGATCACCGATGAAATCTGGCAAGCAGGAACACGAAGGTGCATCATTTATCACTTGGCATCTACTATTAAGTCCACACGGAGAGGGAACGCAAGGGTTTACTGGTCTTGGAGGTTCTGCCGCTGTTGATAAAATAAAGAATGCAATTTTCCAACAAAATAAAAAAAATATCATTCAACACGCTCTCTTTTGTGAATTACTCACGTTTTACGTAGCACTGAGTGAAAGGATCACCCGTCAGTTCGGAGGGACAAGAGCAAATTGGATTGTGATTAACTACGGTACACTGAGCTCTGATGCCACAGGTTCCGGGGCAGGGGTCTATGCATTTCTGATTGTTGCAGGCCATGTTGGCAGAACAATCGGAACTGATAATACACTCAGCTCGGCAATTAGGTGGAGCGTCCAAATAATTAGGAATGCACGAGCAGACAGCTTGCTCGTTTATCTTTCTACATATGCTATTCGGTCCGCACGGTGACGGGTTGCATGGATCTTTCGGTATGAGGACTGTGCAAATGTTAAAAATAGAAAAATTAAAAGAAACATAAACAGCTGAGAGATCAATCAATCTTCCTCGACACAAATTAAAAGTCATGAAATAAATACCATCCAGTGGGGAGCACATTACGAACGCGTTGCCTGACATTCTTTCTGCGCAACTACAGGTCGGTATGTGGTTTACGACCGAACACAAGGCGTTTTGGCCGCAGATTTGGCCGGAACGACACGGATCTTGACACTTGTTCTTAATGCAAGCTCGATCTCTCGGACAATCCGAATTTAGGATACATTCTGGACGGCAACCTAAGAACGGATCTCCCTGATATTCAGGAAGGCAGACGCATACGCCGTTAACACACTGTGTATTCGCGCCACAATTCAAGCACGGATCCGTCGGCTTAATTGTTGTATCTAAATTTCGAAATTAAATACGAAAAAAAGTTTTAATAAAAAAAACCTATTTTCCAAATTTAAATATTCCATAATAACGCGATTAACCGAATTTTTATCGATCTTACCTTGTTCGGGTGCTGGTCTACACGCTACGAATGGGTCTCCAGTGAATCCACTTAGACAAGAACACGTAGGCAAATGATTAATAACATTACAAGTTGCTTCCAGTCCACATACTCCGTCGCACGGATTACGGCACTTTCTTTGTATACACGCTTGGTTGCTCAAGCATTCTGAATTAATTGAACATTCGGGTCTGCAATTGGGTGGCGTTCCTATATAAGTTGACAAGCAAGCACACGATGCTTGACCGTTAATATCCCGACACTCCGAGAAGGGTCCGCAGGGTGAGGGCGCGCAGGGGTTTACTACCTGGATCTCATTTTTTGCTATAGACATACAAATGTATACACAATTATACAAATTCATTCGCTCTCAAATGTTTTTGGTAGTATTAATATATCGTTTTTCATTCTTACGTGGCATTTCGAAACAGGCAACGAATGGATCGCCGGTAAAATCGATTCGGCACGAACATATAGGATTGTGATTAATTGTCTCGCATCTTGTATTAGAACCGCATAATCCGTGACAAGGATTGCTACACTTGTTATTGATGCACGCCTGATTAAAGGCACATTCCGAACTAACGCTACATTCAGGACGGCAGTTCGGCGGACTGCCCAGGAAGGTGGGCAAACAAGTACAAACGCTCGTGTTATCCACCACGCGACACTTGCTATTGGGTCCACAGGGTGATGGTTCGCAGGGACGACTGACGGCATTTTCTCCTTCTAAAAATAATATTGTGCATTTTGTGGTCACGATTGCGCTTTGCGGTCAACCAAAAACAACAACGCAATTTAAGTTTCAAAATGTTATACCTATTTCTACGGGGCTGCAATACAAGAAAGCGTTGCCTGTGTATCTGGGGTAACAATTACACACTGGCAAGTGATTGACCACCTGACACAATGCATTTCGTCCGCACGATCCCGGACATGGGTCTCTACACTTCATATTTATGCAAGCCAAATTAGCGGGACAATCTGAGTTCAAAATACATTCCGGCCTGCATCCTTCGTACGGATTGCCAATGTAATTCGGCAAACATGTACACGAACCGGCGCCGTTAAATTCCTTGCATACCGCATTGGAACCGCAAGGTGAGGGAGTACAGGGGTCAACAGGTGTTGACGGCAATGGTGTGGCTGAAAGGTTCAAGATGGTTTACATGATACTACGATAATGATTCGACTATTCAAAATTCCACTGGTTTTGGCGTTTAAAAGATACTTACGTTCTCGAAAAACGCATTGTGTGAATGGATCACCGGTGTATCCACTCAAACAAGAACACATTGGTGTGTGACTGACAACGTGACAATTAGCATTCGCACCGCAGGAACCGACACATGGATCTTGACATTTCTGATTGATACAAGCTAGGTAATTGGCACACTCGCTATTACTGACGCACTCCGCCCTGCAATTAGGCGGATTGCCAATAAAACCGGGTAAGCACGTGCATTCGGATCTGTCGTCGCGGGGTTGACAAAGTGAGTTGGGGCCACAGGGGTCTGGTTTGCACGGTGAAGAAGGCACTACCGGTGCTACTGGAGCTAAAACGGCAAAATGATAATGTAGAATAAGAAGAAAGTAGGAAAGAGATTTCTTTAACACGCGTTACTGGGAGTTGCATTTTCCGCGAATATATGACGTAATAAACGCTACTTACGTGGTTGGTAACATCTAACAAAAGGATCGCCCGACTGAGAAGGAGGACAAACACAAATAGGATTGTGATTCACCACGTGACAGAGGGCTCCTAATCCGCAACTTCCCGGGCAAGGGTTCGTACACTTCTGGTTGCTACAGGCCTCGTTCTGCGAACAATCCGTACTAACTATACACTCGGGTCTGCAAGTCGGGGGACTACCGAGATATCCTTTTATGCAAGAGCAGACTGCTTGGTTGTTAATAACACGGCATTCGCTGTTGGGTCCACAGGGTGAAGGGACGCATGGATTAGCAGGTGGCATGTCTGATACACAAAAATAGTAAATATTTAATCTCCGGAAAATTGTTCGCAAAAAAGCACATATGATCTTTTTGCAGATCAATGACGCATGATGTACCTAGCAGAGGAGTGCATTGGCTGAATGCGTTTCCGGTCATGTTTCCAGGACAACTGCACATGGGAACATGATTGATCACGGTGCACAGTGCATTAATCGCGCAAGCTCCGGGACATGGGTCCATACACTTGTTACGTATACACGCTCTATCGCGGGGACAGTCGTCGTTTAGGACGCATTCTGGTCGACAACCTACGTATGGATCTCCTCGGAATTCCGGAATGCAGTTACAAATACCGTTAAAGCATTCCGCGTTGGGGCCGCAGGGTGACGGGACGCAGGGATCTTCAACTGGAGACGGAGTCGCTGCAAAACATAACTGATGTACTGACTATACAGGAATTAAAGATTTTGAACCACGCAGAATAAATCATTTTTTAATAGGCCATACTGAATAGACTTGTAACGCTTACGTGTCACTGGTAACAATGTACAAAGGATAAATGTATTTCCGGTATATCCTTCTGGGCACCTGCACGAGGGAATGTGGTTAATGACTGAACAAAAGGCATTGATGCCACACGAGCCGGGACATGGATCCGCGCACTTCATGTTGATGCAAGCTCTGTCGCTCGCACATTCCGAGTTTATGGTACACTCGGGTCTGCAATTGGGCGGCTGACCTATGTAATTCTCCAAACAAGTACATGCGGGGGAGCCACCGATATTTCTACACTGTGAGAAACTACCGCACGGGGATGGGACGCAAGGATCTCTTTCTACCGGGCTTGGTGGCAATGCAGCTAAAATACATTCGAAGATATGGTTGATGATAATCGTATGACATCGAACGGTACATGTGTTAGGGTAAACAAATTTTACTCTTCATTCAATGAAGAAAATTTGTTCATTTGGTCTTACGTGGAATTGATGTACATATGGTGAATGGATCTCCGCTGTAACCGGGCATGCAACTGCAGATGGGGCTGTGATTAACAACGACGCAATTGGTATTGAGTCCGCATGGGCTTGGGCAGGGATTCACACATTTGTAGTCTTTGCACGCTAACTGCGGAGGGCACTCTGAACTAGCGACACATTCGGGTCTACACGCAGGTGGAGTTCCAATATATGACGGTAGGCATGAACAGACGGCCTGTCCGGATACTTCTTTGCATTTGCTGTTGGGTCCACAGGGTGATGGGGCACAAACGTTCTCGTCTGGGACTATTTCTGGGAAAAATTTGATGTATTAATATAATGTGTAGATACATATAAGTACATATTTATTCATATCTTTGATAAAGTGTATGATTTTTAATAAAAGAATTTTGAAATAAAAATATTATTTTAATAAAATTTAACTTTATCGAACTTACTTTAACTTTAAATTGTAAAATAAAATTTTTTATATAATTTTTTAATATAATTTTTATATAATTTTTTTAATACAATTTTTTTATATAATTGTAAAAAACTAATTAAAAAGTTAAAAAACTATATCTGAAAAATTATAAATTATTACATAAAAATTTTTTTCTACAAGTCAAATAATATTTTAAAAACTTTTAAATTGTTTTTAGAAGATATTTAATAGAATAATAAAAAGCATGTAAAATTTATGCTAAACAGAGAAAATTAGACTCTTTGTGACTTACTCTCTATTGAACAAGTTACGAAGGGATCACCGGTATATCCAGGGAGGCAAGTACACATTGGTTGGTGATTTACAACCGAACATTCAGCATTTTGACCGCACATGCCGGCACAGGGATTGACGCATTTATTTTTTACGCACATCAAGTTGGGCAAACAGTCGGGATTAATGACGCATTCGGGTCGACACGCTAGATATGGATTGCCAATGTAATTAGAAGTGCATTGACAAACTGCAACATCGTCACGTTCTCTACATATAGCGTTTGTGCCACATTCAAAGTTCGCGCAGGGTGATAGTTCTGGTTCCGGTGGTTCTTGTACTAAAACAATGTAAGAGTAGAATTGATTAAGCAACATCGCAGAAACTTGCAAGATCATTTAATTTTGAGGTTGTTCCTTACGTATTATGGAACAGCGCGTGTACGGATCGCCGGTAAAACCAGAGGAACAGACGCAATGAGGTACGTGCTGCACCATGTGGCATTCCGCACTTTCTCCGCATAAACTTGGACAGGGATCTATACACTTTTGTCGTACGCAACTTTGATGGCTAGGACACTCAGGATTGGAGACGCACTCGGGTCGGCAATAAGGGGGCGAGCCTTTGTATTCGAGCAGGCACGAGCAAGATGGCAAATCGTTAACAACTTGGCACTGAGCGTACGGACCGCAAGGTGACGGTTGGCAGGGGTTTACGGGTTCTACAGGTTCTAAAATAGGGCAACAACACGTCTCAGGTTTAATTAGTGGCTAGGACATATATAATATACTTCTCAAACTGAGTTTTTCTTACTCATAATATCACATCTGATGAATGGATCGCCCGTGTATCGTTCGGGACACGAGCAGATAGGATTGTGATTAACAACTACACATTGCGCCTGAATTCCGCATGTGCCGGGACAAGGATTCTTGCATTTTTGATTGGAACAGGCTTCGTTTGGCCGGCAGTCGGAGCTAAGAGTACACTCGGGTCTGCAAAGTGGTGGTGCTCCGAGAAATTCTGGCGCACAGGTGCACACGGCTTGTCCATTTAATTCTCGACATATGCTGTTCGGACCGCAGGGATTTGGATTGCATGGTCTTGTTATGGATGGAACTAATAAATAACATACGTTACCGTAATAAACATGTTCTCGAATGCGATAGTCAGATTTTGTTTCTTGATGTCATACCTTTCATCACATCGCAAGAAATAAATGCGTTTCCAATGGTACCGGCGGGACAACTGCACATTGGTGTATGATTCAATACGTTACATAAACTGTTTTGTCCACAAGTACCTGGGCAAGGATCTACACATTTATTTCGTATACACGCTTTGTTGGTCGGACAATCAGCGCTAAGTACACATTCCGGTCTACAGCCGATATATGGATCGCCAAAATATTCAGGTAAACAAGTGCAAATGCCGTTGTTACATCGAGTATTGGAACCGCAAGGTGATATGCTGCACGGATCAGACTGCTGCACTGGTTCTTCTACGTAAAGGCAATAGCGATGTAGATCAAATTGTGCGTGTGTGCAAAAATATAACTGTAATAGACCATGAAAAGATTTTGCAATAACTTACTGATTGGTACAAATTGACAACCGACAAACGGATCACCCGTATAACTTTCTATACATCTGCAGACTGGAATGTGATTGTGAACAGTGCAATCAGCATTCAGACCACAAGATCCTGGACAGGGATCTTGGCATCTTTCGCGAATGCAAGCCTGATTGCTCGGACAATCGGCAGGAATAACACATTCGGGACGACAGTTCGGTGCTGTACCAATGTAATTAGTCAAACAGGTACAAGATGGATAGCCATTGACATTGCGACATTCCGAATTAGGTCCGCACGGAGAGGGTATGCAAGGGTCCAAGGGTGGACTTGGTAAAGGAGCAGCTACAATAAGCAAGAAATAAAATTTCTGAGTCTTACAGAAAAAAACTATTATTACAAATAAATAAAAGAACATTAATTAGTAGGAATTTTAATTAAAAAAAAAAAGAGTGTATAAAACAATTTTAAAATAAAAGTCGATGTGAAATTTATTCTGCTTACGTGGCACGTATGAGCAGCGTATAAATGGATCGCCACTGAATCCAGGCTTGCACATGCATATTGGGCTATGATTCACAACTCTACATGTTGTTCCCTGACCGCACGAGTTGGGACAAGGATCGACACATTTGTTGTTTTCACAAGCGCGATTTGTCGCGCACTCTGTGCTAACTGTGCATTCGGGTCTACAACCAGGCGGCGCGCCAATGTAAGTTGGCAGACAAGAGCAAACCGCTTGGCCATTGCTCGGCTTACATTGACTGTACGGCCCGCAAGGAGACGGTTGGCAAGGATTGATATTATCGGATACAACCGCTGTAAGAAAATCGGTATTAGCTGTACGTTTAAACGGTCAACACAAAGCTTAAGTGAATTCTTACGAGCTTCGATGATGGGACTGCAATATATAAATGGATTTCCTGTATATCGTTCGAAGCACGTGCAAGTTGGTGAATGATTGATCACGTAGCATTGCGCGTTCTGGCCGCATGTTCCTGGGCACGGATCTTTGCATTTCAAACCGATACACGCCTGATTAGATGGGCAGTCAGAACTGAGTGTACACTCGGGTCTGCATCCCTCGTAGGGATTGCCCAGATAATCAGGCGAGCATGTGCAAGAACCAGCATTTTGTTGAACTCTACATATTGCATTCGCGCCGCATGGGGACGGTGTGCACGGCGTAGATACACTAGGCTGTATGTCGACTAAAATGAAAGAAGTTTCTTTATGTAAATTCGTAAAGAATAAAATTTTAATTTAGAAAATCCGTGCGCGGAGTAAAAAAATTTATGACTTTTATCACGTAACATTTGAATTGCGCGTGTATACTCATTGATTCTCTTACATTGCTGAGGTGAACATTGCGTAAATGGATCGCCGGTGTAACCGCTGGTACACGCGCACATTGGCGTGTGACTAACGACATTACAAACGGCATTGACTCCGCATGCGTTGATACACGGATCGCGACATTTTTGATTGATACAGGCCAGTTTGTTTGAGCACTCGCTGTTGCTAACACATTCGTAGCGACAATTCGGCGGTGATCCGATAAATTCTTGCAGGCACGAGCAAGAAGGTTGATCGTTAACCACTTGGCATTGCGCGTTTGGTCCACATGGCGACGGCTGACATGGATTGAGCACGGGCAATGGTTCCGCAGCTTTAAGAATAATCGCGATTAGTTAATCAAAATTTGCGTATAAAAAAAAAACTAAATAAAATGCGCGAGATATTTTGAGAGAATAAAAAAATTTAAAATATTGTTTTAAAAAAGTTTTTTCTTACGAAGTGGGAAGCAATTGATAAACGGATCGCCAGTCATGCCAGGGCGGCAGATGCAAACGGGATTGTGATTAATGACGTTGCAGACTGCATTGCGTCCGCAACTTCCCGGACAAGGATCCCGACATTTTTGATTGGTGCACGCTTCGTTCCTCGGGCAATCTGAGCTAATGACACATTCGGGTCTGCATGTCGGAGGTGCTCCGATAAATCCGCTTATGCAACTACATACTGCCTGCATGTTATTCTGTCGACATTGACTGTTCGGTCCACACGGAGACGGATTACACGGATTGCTAATAGAAGGTGCTACAACACGATTGGAGACAAATTTTAATTGCAAAATGAAAGCTCAATGTACTCAAAGATTTTCAAATTGAACCGGGATTATATACTGATATTAAATGAATCTAATTGTAACATTTGGAACTTTGAAAACAATACCTGCAACGGGAGAACACAAGACGAAAGCGTTTCCATCCATTCCCGTGGGGCAACTGCACATGGGAACGTGATTGTATACGTTGCATATGGCATTTTGTCCGCAAACGCCTGGACAAGGATCTATGCACTTATTTCGCACGCATGCCTGCGTGTTCGGGCAATCAGTATTCAATACACACTCCGGCCGACAGCCGGTGTAAGGGTCTCCGAAATATTCTGCTATACAAGTACAAATTCCTCCGTTGCACTGCGCATTGGAACCGCAAGGTGTAGGTGTGCACGGATCCGGCTTGGGCAATGCAACTGTAATGTTGCATAAAAAGACGAAATAGAAGTTTATTAACAAAAAGGAGGGAAAAAAATTTAATTAGAATGTATTCTTGAAGAAAGAGATCTTACGTGATATTACGGAACACTGCGTAAAAGGATCGCCGGTATGATCCGGCAGACATGAACAGATCGGTATATGATTTGTGACACTGCATTCGGCCAAAATGCCACATAAACCTGGACAGGGATCTCTACACTTTTGCTGCATACAAGCCATATTGGCTGGACATTCTGTACTGATCGTACATTCTGGTCTGCAATTCGGCGGACTGCCTTTGTATGTTGGTAAGCAAGAACATGACGGCACGCCTCCTATGTCACGACATTCAGAGAATGCGCCACAAGGTGACGGTATGCAAGGATCTGTTACAACGTCACTTACAATGGGTGGACTCACTGCAATTACGAGGACAAAGAGTAAAAAAAAAGTCATCAATTCTAATTAAAAATTATGTCCATTATTCAGTTACCGTCGTGTAAATTAAGTTTTTTTTTTAAATATCAAATATTATTTTGAGGAAAACAAATTCGTACCAGGTGTTTCGAAGCAAACGGTAAACGGATCGCCGGTATAGCCATTCTTGCAAGAGCAAATTGGATTGTGCTTAATGACTCTGCAATTTGAATTTCTGCCACATGAACCCGGACATGGATCCTGACACTTTTGATTCACACAAGCGAGCGTGAGCGGACACTCTGAACTTGTTACACATTCGGGACGACACGCGGGTGCGCTGCCGATAAACGTCGGAAGACAAGAACAGACTGCTTGATTGTTGTTAACGCGACATTGGCTATTAGGTCCGCAAGGAGACGGATTACAAACGTTCTTCGGGATTTCAACTAAAATAATATAGAATGATAGAGATATGTGTGTGTATGTGTATGTGTGATTTATGAGATGTAAAAATTGAAATTTATATAACCGAAAAGTTTAATATCAATATTTAAGAAAATATTCGTACCGATATCGCGAATTATTGAACAGTATTGGAAGGGATTGCCGCTGTAACCCGGAATACACGTGCAAGACGGTCGATGGTTGATGACCTGACACTCGGCAAATTGTCCGCATACGCCAGGACATGGATCTTTGCACTTAGACTGTACACAAGCGAGAGAAGACACGCAATCGGTATCGACAACGCATTCCGGTCGGCATCCTTCGTAAGGATTACCGACATAATCTGGCAGACAAGAACAAGATCCGGCACCGTGCTGTTCTTTGCAAATAGCGTTAAAACCGCAGGGTGAAGGTTTACAAGGTGAAACTGGAAGTGGCGTAGCTAAAAAGATTGTAAAAATATAAGTACAAACTAGAAACTATTTAAAAAAAACCAAATAAATTGATCTCTTATGAAATTGTCAACATAGTTAAAATTAAATTGCTTATTTGAAGGTCGATGCTTACGTGGCTTTATTATACACTGTGTGAACGGATCGCCAGTAAAGTCGGTTGGACAAACACACATGGGTGTGTGGCTCACTACGCGACACTCGGCGTTCGCGCCACACGAACCTTCGCAAGGATCTCTGCATTTCTGATTCATACACGCCAAGTGGGAAGGACATTCGCTGTTGCTAACGCATTCCGGCCTACAATTCGGTGGCAAACCCAAGAAACCGGGTAAACACGAGCAGGAAGATGTGTCGCCTACAACCCGACACTCAGCGTTTGCACCGCAAGGTGACGGCACACAAGGATTGGTTTGCGCCACAGGTAGTTCGGGTGCTAATAGAAAAGGAGAAAGTATCGTCAAATAATGTCACACACTCAGGAAATCATCAGGAGATTGAACATTGTGGCCGGATTATCTTACGTCGTGGAACGCATCGAACGAACGGGTCGCCCGTGAGTTCTCCGCAGCTACAGATGGGGTTGTGATTGATTACTTGACACGTGGCTCGAATTCCGCACGTTCCGAGACAAGGGTTTATGCACTTCTGATTGCTGCAAGCTTCCGTCAGCGGACACTCGGAACTGATAGTACACTCCGGCCTGCACGCAGGCGGAACACCGAGGAATCCCGTCACGCACGAGCACACCGGTTGCCCGTTGTTTTCTCGGCAAATGCTGTTGGGTCCGCACGGCGAGGGCAAGCAAGGATTTCCTTTCGGAACATCTACATTCGACACGGAATGACGAATCTTGTAATTCGTGTGTAAAATCATGCGGAAAATGAAATGATTGGTGATTTGCATTGATAAACTGTACCTGCTTGGACGGAACACTGGACAAACGCATTGCCAATCATTCCGGACGGACAGGTGCACACAGGCACGTGATTGTACACGGAACATAGCGCGTTTAGACCGCATGTGCCCGGACACGGATCCGCGCATTTGTTGCGAATGCACGCGCGATTGTGGACGCAGTCATTGTTTGTGATACACTCGGGACGACATCCTATGTAAGGATCACCCTGGTATTCGGGCAGACATACGCAAATGCCGTTGTTGCATCGTGAATTCGGTCCGCAGGGATTCAAATCACAGGGATCGATAACCGTGGGAACAGCTATAAAAAAATACAGATTTAAAATACTGATTGTTAAACACACGGTGCAATAAAATTTCACGAAGTGTAACGCGTAAGTTTCTTTCGTCTATGAGTCAGTTGACGCGTGAGAAACGAAAAAGACTTCAGAACACTTTCAAGAAAAATGTATCTACAAATTAATTTTTGAAGAAGAAACACGCGTTATAGTTCACGAAGTTTTCTTCCAACAATCTTTCGGCTGCAAAGAGTCTCTTACTTGTCGGTCTGGGGTAACAATTACTGAAAGGATCGCCGGTGTATCCCTCGGGACAGGTGCACACGGATACGTGATTGTGAACTGTGCACAACGAAGTGACGCCACAAGAGCCTAAGCAGGGATCCCTGCATTTCTCTCGGCTGCACGCGAGATTCATCGGACAGTCGGAATTAATTCGGCATTCGGGACGACAGTTCGGCGGTGATCCTCTGTAATTCGGCAAGCAGGAGCATGATGCCGTACCACCGATATTTCTGCATTCCGCGTACGTACCGCACGGAGACGGCATGCACGGGTCTCTGGGGGCTATAGGAAAATCTAGCTGCTCTGAAATCGAATAGTAAAAAGTGGTGTAACAAATTACGCGCTAAATTTTGGAAGCTAAGCCGTGAACGAGATTATGAAAGATCGAAGACTGGGGGTGATCGTGACTCATGGCGTGATGCGATAAAGCTAATGAGAGAGAGAGAAACACAAAGTTCTTACGTGGAGCGGGGAAGCATCTCATGAAAGGATCCCCGGTGTAACCGAGGTTGCAGACGCAGATGGGGCTGTGATTGATCACTTTGCACTGGGTGTTTATTCCACACGGGTCTGGACAGGGCGACACGCATTTCTGATTAATACACGCGAGATCTGGTGAGCACTGACTGTTCACTACACATTCGGCTCGGCAATTGGGAGGATTGCCGATGAAGTTTGGGAGACAAGTACAAACAGCAAGATTGTTCACACTTCGACAGTTACTGTTCGGTCCGCAGGGCGATGGACTGCACGGATTTGTTTCCGGAAGGGCTGCGTGTGAAAGAAAAATTGTTATTACTTACAAACTTGATTTGTGGATGTCTGTGCACTACTACGTGTCACTACGAAAAAAACGCAAGAAGTGCAATATCTGATACAAAAATGAGTCTTACAGGCTTCGGCTATCGGGGAACAATAGGTGAAGGGATTGCCAGTGTAACCGGGAATGCAGGTACAGACTGGCAGATGATTAACCGACTGACATTGGGCATTCACTCCGCACGTTCCTGGACAGGGGTCTTTGCACTTCAGATTTACGCACGCCATTCTGGTCAGGCAGTCAGAATTTTGCGTGCACTCGGGTCTGCATTCTTCATAGGGATCGCCTGTGTAGTCCGGCAAACAGGCGCACGAGCCGACGCCATTGTTCTCGCGGCAAACAGCATTGACGCCGCACGGGGAGGGTTCGCATGGTTTTCTAACGTCTAGGGGCGTATCTGATGGAAAGAAGTCTTGTTTAAACTTAATCGAACATGCAGCATTCTATTCCAAAGCTGGTGCTGAGGTAAGGAATTTTTTCTTATATCTTTTTCACTTTCAAACTCTCGCTCTAATTCTTGTAGTTAAATCAACTTCCTAACAAGCAACAAGCTTTTGATGGTGCGATAGCTTTGCGTGGTTGTAATGCGAATTACATCGTCGTTGCCAAATATTTAACGAATCTGATAATCCGTCAGTAGGCGATGTATTCTATCAGCAATCGTTGGAAGCGTATTTGATCTTCAATCAAATCCATTAATTGAGTTAATTACAAGGCGGCAAAACTTAGGATAGGGTCTCTGGTAACTAATTAACGTTTTATTTCTTTGGGAACGGGATTGCTATTCTATTTCTGGTCTGTATTAATATAGGCAGTATTATTTTGTTGGATCTGTATGGTTATTTGTTTAATTATTATCTTAATTAAGGATTTGCTTTGCTTTGGTTTATTCAAGAACATGTTTGTGCGACACAATTATTGGGAAGTCCACAGCATATGTCAAGGATCAAAGTGCTCCGATGTGTGAGTGAGGTCTTTCTTCACGGGTTTATTTTGAGGGGTCAGTGCAATAAACATCTTAACAATTAATCGCTTAGGCAAAATCTATCGCTTAATTGCTCGGTGTTCATTAGAGGTGAGTGCAGCTGAGAGCCTATGGGTATATAGGCCCCGCCACCGGTTTTCTTATTGTTGTTTTCTCTTATATTAGGGTTTTAGGGTCAGTACGCTCAGGCATTGGTGTGAGTGCGTGCCACATTGTTGCTTCTTTGTTAAGTGTACGGACGCGTATTGTCCTGTGTTATTCACTTTTAATCGGGCATAAGTGCTAATCGGGATTAAGAGCCTAATTCACTTATAGGCGCCAACACCTAACTTCTGCGTTAAGATTTCTTTGCGACTGCGTCGCGCGCATATTCTCGCATTAATCTTGTACGACTGTTTGTTTTTGTTAAGACACGATTTAGCCTGAGACTAGCTTTCTTTAGCTACGGAAGTACATGTCTAATAATAATAGAGTAGGACGGTGGTACTTATTAACAATTTTCGAATCTTCTCTCAATCAAAAATGTATTTTAATATCAAAGACGAGAAATATCATTGAATTTTAGACAAGAAGATTTTTTTTGTCTTTAAGACAACACGAAGTAAATGACAAGTTACTTGTTATGCCTTAAGAAACTTTCGTAAAACGAAATGTAATTAGTAGAAAACTCTCGAGCTACCGTCTTGATTTATTATCATTAGTCACATTTGTCATTTGGGACGAAAGCACTTACCTGCTGCGCCAGCATGCAAGTAGCGATATTTGCGGGAGAAACAAACAGAAACAAAAAGCTTGCAAACGTGTACTCACCCTCCGGCAGCAATTCGCAAGCGCTGAATGGATTTCCGGTGTATCCGGTTACGCACGCACAAACCGCATGGTGATTCACTACTGAACACTGAGCATTCAGACCGCACAGACCGATACACGGATCGCGACACTTCTGTTGCATACACGCTAATTGCGACGGACACTCGGGATTGATCGTGCACTCCGGTCTACAGTTAGGCGGCAAACCGATGTAATTTTCGATGCACGAACACGCGGGACTGTCACCTCTCACTTGGCACTCGGCGTTGGGACCGCAAGGCGAAGGCAGACACGGATTCGTCGGCGCGGGCGGTATTTCTGCAAACGAGCGAGCGTAAAGAAACACAGTTTGTATTTAATTATGAAAACACAGTTCAATGAAGAATCTTAAGAAAAAAAATCAACTTACTCGGTTGAGGGTAACAGATGGTGAACGGATCGCCGGTGTAAGATTCAGAGCAACTGCATATCGGATTGTGATTGACCACTTGACAGTTCGTATTCTGTCCGCACGTGCCTGGACACGGGTCTTGGCATTTGTTATTCAGACACGCCTGTGTCAACGGACAGTCGGCACTGACCACGCATTCCGGCCTACACGCTGGTGGATTGCCGATCAATCCGGGTTGGCACGAGCACACAGCGTGACCGTTCACCACTTTGCAAATGCTGTTCGGTCCACAAGGTGAAGGTGTGCAAGGTTGCTTGATAGTGTCTACAAATAAATAAATCATGACTTGATATTTAATATCTGCGTGTATTTAAATAAATGATTATTTTCTAATAATCGTATTTTCATTCTTTCTTGAGATAATAAAAAAAAAACCTGAAAACGTAAAATATATTTGTGTAAACCTACCATCCGGTATATATGGTCGACATAGAAGGAACGGATTTCCGGTGTATCCAGGCGGACAACTGCACATAGGGATGTGGTTGACAACGTCGCAACGTGCGTCACGACCACACGTGCCCGGACAGGGATCCACGCAGTTTTGGTTGATGCACGTCTTGACGCGGGGACAATCGGAATTCATAGTGCATTCCGGCCGACAATAAGAATACGCATCGCCGAAATAGTTGGGCAGACAGGTGCATACACCCTCGTTACATTCTGCATTAGGTCCACAAGGTGACGGGTTACACAAATCTTCGGGAACTTTTGGTTGCTCTAAAAAGTGGCAAAGTGCGTTTCCTCTGTGTATTTAATGCACTTGAAATAGACACGACTACTTAAGTGATTTATGAGAACACATCTGTAAATACCTTTAAGTAATGTGCACAAAGAGAAGGGATCTCCGGAATATGCGGGTTGACACAAACAAACCGGTATGTGATTTTGAACTCGACAATCAGCATTCTGGCCGCAGGAACCGATGCAAGGGTCGCGACACTTCTCCGAGATGCAAGCCTGATTGGACGGACAATCTGTATTAACCACGCACTCCGCACGGCAATTTGGCGGGATTCCTATATAATTCTTTAGGCAAGAACACGCAGCTTGATTGTTGACAACTTTGCACTCCGCGTAGAGACCACACGGGCTGGGGGAGCAAGGATCCACCGGTGGTAGCGGCACAACTAAAACACAAAAGAATAAATAATTTTCAGAAACTTCCTAAATTTATTTTCGTCTATATAAAAGCAAAAAAACAGTTTATAATTAAATATACTCACCGGGTTCGGGGAAACATCTGGAGAAAGGATCACCTGTTTTTCCTTGGGGACAACTACAGAGCGGATTGTGATTGATAACACGGCAATTAGCTTCAACTCCGCAAGTGCCGGGACACGGATCTGTACACTTGTACTTGTGGCACGCCTTGTTCTGCGGACATTCCGAATTGACGACGCACTCCGGCTTGCAGTTTGGCGGAGCACCTACAAAAGATTCTTGACACGTGCACACGGCTTGGTTGTTCACGGCACGACACAAGCTGTTAGGTCCGCAAGGTGACGGCGAGCACGGATCCCTAACAGTAGGCTCGGTGTCTAGTTCCGGTTGAAGAATGCAAATTGTGAACGGATCTCCGATGTATCCTGGCTCGCAAGTGCATGTAGGAATGTGATTGATGACCGAACACTGAGCCCGAACTCCGCACACACCCGGACAGGGATCCTTGCATTTGTTGCGAATACAAGCCTTGTTCGTGGGACAATCTGCGCTCAAGACGCACTCCGGTTGACAACCTTCGTAGGGATTTCCTTGATAGTCATCGATGCATATGCACGCGCCCGCGTTATCCCGTTGCTGACAAATCGCGTTGGCTCCGCACGGCGAAGGCTCGCATGGATTTATTGTTTCCTCTTAAAAAAACGGTCAGTATTTGATTTTTGTTATGTAATTTTACAATTTTGCACAGTATCTAGAGTTCAAAGATATGAATATAACCCACCTTCCAACACACATTGCACGAATGGATTGCCTGTGTATCCGATCTTGCACGAACACGTTACTGCGTGATTCACTACTTTGCACTCGGCATTGTCTCCGCAAGATCCCGGGCACGGATCTTTGCATTTCATGTTTATGCAGGATTTTTCGTGAGGACAGTCAGGATTAATCAAACATTCCGGTCGACATGCGGGTGGAGTACCAATGTACGTGGGTAAACACGAGCATGACGGTTGTCCGTTTGAGTTTTGACAAAGCGCGTTTGGCCCGCATGGTGAGGGATTGCAAGGATCGCCCTGATCCTTTGGCTCTGGTGGCACTGAAACGTCAACATATAATAATAAACAATTAAAATTATATTGATATCATGAAATTGACATAATTATATATTTCTCGTTTCCCTTACGTGGAATGTCATAACAACTTCTAAAGGGATCTCCAGTCTGTCCGGGCAGACAACTGCATATAGGCGAATGATTAATGACTTCGCATCTTGCGTTCAAGCCGCAGGAACCCAAGCACGGATCTGTACACTTTTTGTTTACGCAAGCTCTAGTTGGTGGACACTCAGAGCTGACGACACATTCGGGCCTGCACGATGGTGGAGAACCAAGATAGCCTTGAAGACAAGAACATACAGCGTGATTCTCGATGTTACGACACTGACTGTTCGGTCCGCAAGGCGAGGGTGTGCACGGATCTTTTTGAGAATCCGGTACCACAGGTTGAACTCGACAACTGACAAACGGATCGCCTACGTATCCGGTTGGACAAGAGCAAACGGGAATGTGATTAACCACGTCGCATCGCGCGTTTTGACCGCATATTCCGGGACAAGGATCTTTGCATTTGTTTTTCAGGCAAGTTTTGTCGCGAGGACACTCGGAATTGAGAATGCACTCGGGACGGCAACCTTCGTAAGGATTGCCGAGATATTCGGGCAAGCATTTGCATTCGCCATTTTCACATATTGCGTTCGAACCGCATGGGGATAAAGCACAGGCGTCCACAGGTGTTGGCTCTGTAACTAAAAAATTCGAAACACATTAATTTTTCCCGAAAAAGTTTTTCAGATCAGTGTTTTCAGTTTTCTACAAACTAAGTTTCACATTTTTTAAGACGTTGTTTTTATTTATTTTTATTCACCTCGCGGAATAACACTGCATTGCGTAAACGGATCTCCGGTGAAATCTTCCATGCATGTGCAGACTGGTAAGTGGTTTAGCACATGACACTGAGCGTTTACTCCGCACGAACCTGGACATGGATCTGCGCACTTTTGATTTACGCATGCGAGATTACTCTTACATTCGGAGCTCAAGATGCATTCCGGTCTGCATTGCGGTGGTACGCCAATGTAATTTGGTAGACAAGAACAAGCGGGATTGCCGGATATTATCTGACACAACGAGTTTGGACCGCAAGGCGACGGAGTGCAAGACGGCGGCCGTTCAGTTGTCGGAAAATCGTGAGGAACTAAAAGAGTACATATTTTTTATATATAGAAGAACCTCTCAAGATAACATCGAATAAAATTATTTTAAGAAAATAATAAAATCATACAGGATGCTAATAATTAAAATTATTTTAATAATCTACTTATTTACTTTTTGTTTTGTAACAATGAAAAATACAAGATAAAATTTGTGTAAAACTTACGTGGCGAGCACAAAGTGAACGGATCTCCTGTGAAACCGGAAGGACAAGTGCAAATCGGATTGTGATTCTTGGTGGTGCATTGCGCTCTCAAACCGCATGTGTTTGGGCAAGGATCGGCACACTTCTTATTTACACACGCCAGATGCGGTGGGCACTCGGCATTAACAATGCATTCCGGTCTGCATGACGGAGGAATGCCCGAGTATTCTGGTAAACAGGTGCATACAGCTTGACCATTAACGACGCGACATTTGCTGTTAGGTCCGCAAGGCGAAGGAGAACATGGTTCTATCGTTTCTGTAGAGAATAATATCGTAGTAGTGTTTAATTTTTTTTCTTGATACATTGATATGTAAATAAAGCAAAGTGTAAAATGCTTACTCGTCATTTCCTCGACGTCGCAAGCGAAGTACGGATCTCCCGTGTACCCCGGTGGACACAGACAGACGGGAACGTGATTTTGCACGTTACATATGGACAAAGTTCCACACGTGTTGGGACATGGATCTGTGCACTTGAAGCCAACGCAAGACATTTGCGGGGCACAGTCGTTGTTTGATTCGCATTCTCTGTGACATCCTTTGACAACGTCGTAAGGATCACCTATCAGATCTGATGGACATACGCAGGCACCCGCTCCATTTCTTTCGCGACATTGCGCATTGGGACCGCAAGGATTTGGCGAGCACGGATTGGACACAGGCACATCCGTCGCTACAAATATAACAAAAATGTTTGATTTCGTTGTATGAATGTATTATATTCAATTTTGTTTGTTAAAACTATGATTCGTTGAACATGTGAATTTTCACTCACCTGGCGGAGGCGCCAGGACGCAACGCACAGTGGCGTCACCCTCGTATCCTTCAGGACAAGTGCAAATTGGAACGTGATTCTGCACCATGCATCGGGCGAGCTCACCGCAAGCACCGGGGCAAGGATTTTTGCATCTCTGATTGATACACGCCGCACTGTTGATGCATTCCGAATTATCGGTGCATTCCGGTCTGCAGTTCGGCGGACGGCCGATGTAGTTTTGCAAGCAGGAACACGCCGGATGTGAACCTATTACTTTGCACTGCGAGTTGGGGCCGCACGGATTAGGCAAACATGGATCTTCTTCTCCTTTCGGCAATGGCGACGTAGTGCTGATCTTGGTGCAGTGCACGAACGGATCGCCAGCGTATCCGCTCGCACAACTACAGATGGGATTGTGATTCACTGTAAGACAGTTCGTGTTCTGTCCGCACGAACCCGGGCACGGGTCCGCGCATTTGTTATTGATGCACGCCTTGTTCTGCGGACACTCCGAACTGACGATACAGCCCGGTCGACACGTTGGGGGAATGCCGGAGAATCCCGGTTGGCACAGGCACACCGCGTGTCCGTTGTGAACCCTGCAGTTGCTGTTGGGTCCGCAAGGTGATGGATCGCAAGGATCGATCGGCGACGGTAATGGTGTCACGATGTCTATGAGAGTGCAACCATTCACTGGGTCACCAGTGTAACCTGGTAGACAGAAACATGTTGGGGCGTGATTGACCACACGGCATGTGGCATCCTGACCGCAAGTACCGGGACACGGATTGATGCATTTGTTGTTCAGACAGGCCTTGCTGCGATCGCAGTCGGCGTTGGTGACACATTCGGGTCTGCAGGCGATATACGGATCGCCGAAGTACTGAGGTAGACAGGTGCACGATCCGACTCCGTTTCGCTCGTTGCACACGGCGTTGGCACCGCACGGTGACGGATTACAGGGTGTACGAGGTTGTTCCGTTGTAATGGGTGCTAGAAATAATTGATATCGTTGAGTATTGACAATTGTAGAATAAGACTGAATGAAGATTATGTCAAAACGTACTTTCTACGATAGGCGTGCATTCTGTGAACGGATTGCCCGTGTAGCCGTCGTTGCAAATGCAGACAGGATTGTGTTTCACGACGTTGCAATATGTATTCACACCACAAGATCCCGGGCATGGATCCACGCATTGTTCGTTGATGCACGCCATATTTCCGGGACATCCCTCGTTTATTACGCATTCCGGACGACAGTTCGGCGCGCGACCCACGTAATTTGGTAAACACGAACAGGCCGGGAAGCCGTCGATCACTCGGCACTGGGAATTAGAACCGCAGGGAGAAGGAACGCACGGATTGTCGCTGGGTCTTGGTGACGTTACTTCCACTATTAAACATTAAATAGTGTCGTATAAAAATTTGTACGTATTTCTCATTCGATTTGGATCTCTCTGAAACAACGACAGATTTGAAACTTGCCTTCCTTAACACATCCAAAGAACGGATCTCCGCTGTAGCCAATCGCGCAGATGCAGACTGGATTGTGATTGATCACTCGACAGTCCGCATTCACGCCGCACGTGCCTGGACATGGATCTTTGCATCTCTGATTAATGCATGCCGCGTTTGGACTACAATCAGTACTAACCACACACTCCGGTCTACACGACGGAGGACTGCCGATGTAATTAGGTTGGCACGAGCACACTGCGTGATTATCGATAACCCGACAATTGCTATATGGTCCACAGGGAGATGGTGTGCATGTGTCACCAGGTACTGGAGGTTCTATCAAAAAATAAACAACGTTATAAATGTTATTCCACTAAATCGGTCGAAAGAAGATTCAGAAAAGAAAGAAAAAATCGCTGCGAACGGGTTACCTCTTGGTAGATGACAAGACGTAAGCGGATCTCCAGTGTAACCGGAAAGACAACTGCAAGATGGCTGATGATTGTAAACTTGACATTGCGCGTTAATTCCACACGAACCTACGCACGGATCTTTGCACTTGTTGTTAATGCAAGCCTTTGTGTGCACGCAATCCGAGTTCTGAACGCATTCCGGCCTGCAACCCTCATATGGATCACCAGTGTAGTCGGGTAAACAAGTGCACGACCCCGCGCCGTTACGCTCTTTGCACACGGCGTTTGCGCCGCACGGTGACGGATCGCATGGCAGTTGCACTGGGAAGACAACTGTTTAAAAATAATATATTTAAGATATTATATTCAAATTACGAGAAATAACATACATAAAGTCAGTCAAAATCTTGTCGAAACACTTCACCTTTGGCACAGCCGGAGAAGGGATCACCTTCGTAACCTTCGTAACATTGGCAGATGGGTCGATGATTTTGCACAGTGCAATTTGTGTTGAATCCGCACGATCCAACGCACGGATCCAGACACTTCTTTTGTATGCAAGCTAAGGAACTAATGCAATCTTGATCGATCACACACTCCGGTCTGCAATTCGGCGGTGCCCCAAACATACCGCTGATGCATGTGCATATGGGATGGTCCTCTTGAACGCGACAATCAGCGTTGGCTCCACAAGGCGACGGCAGGCAAGGATTTGTGGTCGGTGGCAAAGGTTCTACAGAAAAAAATAATTTAATTTTATATTATGGACATCTTCTTGCAGAGAAAAGTTCTTTATATAAATAAACTGTTAAATAATTTTTGTAACATACCTTCTTTAGCACATTGTGTGAACGGATCGCCGACGTATTGACGAGGACAGCTGCAGATAGGATTGTGATTGATAACCTGGCAATCGGCGTTCAAGCCGCACAAGCCCGGACATGGATCATCGCACTTTTGATTTATGCAAGCCAGATGTGACGGACATTCTGTACTGACGTAACACTCAGGGCGGCAGTGTGGCGGAGTACCTTGATAACCAGGACTGCACGAACAAACCGCGCGATCGTTCATCACACGACAGATACTGTGTGGACCGCACGGCGATGGCATGCACGGATTCTGATCTAGAACTACATAAAATAATACATTTAATAGCTGCTGTATAAAATAGTGCATTTGATGAAACAGAAAATATTAAAAAATAAATAAACTAAAACTGAAAATAAATGTTCACATACAAGGTCTCTCCACTTTGCAGGCTCTGAACGGATCTCCAGTATATCCCGGTAAGCAGGAGCATATTGGAAGATGATCAACAACTTCGCAACGAGCATTCGCGCCGCATACACCTGCACATGGATCTCTGCAATGCTGATTGAAACACGCCAAGTGACTCTCGCAATCCTGATTAATGATGCATTCCGCTTCGCAACCGTCTATATAAGGATTGCCAACGAACGGTGGTATACACGTGCACTTGGCCACACCATTGACCGCTGTGCAAATAGCATTTTTGCCGCAAGGTGATAACAAACAGGGATCATATGGTTCCGATGGTCGTGCTATATATGTGTGTAAATAATAAAACATTATTTAATTTTATGATAAAATCTATTTTTGAATTTATACAATTTGATAAAATAATTACCTCCGCAACTCTTGTACGGATTTCCGATCATAAGATCCGGACAATAACAAGGTGGTATTCTCGTGCTGTTGCACATCGCTCCGGATCCACATGGATTAAATTCGCATTGGTCAGCTTTCGGTACGCATCCTCTGATAGTGTTGGGACTTTCGATGTATCCAGGCAAACACGTACACTTGGCAAAGCCGTTGCTCAACACGGTACAGCGAGTGTTGGGACCGCATGGAGAAGGTTCGCAGGAATTTCTGGGAAGCGCGCAAGTCGAATGCGGCGGATCTCCCTCGTAGCCTGGCAAACAGAAGCACTTTACCTGTCCGTTTATCACTCGGCAGCCTGAGTTAGCGCCGCAAGGATTGCCCTCGCACTGATCACCTTCGGGAACTGGAAACACATTAAAAGAAGAATCGATTCATCAGAAAAGTTTAATCCTCACTCGTTCTAGATGTTGTTACAACTTCTCCACAAATGTACACGTACTGCATTGCTCGAACGGACTTCCCGTCAAACCTTTCGGACAGAAACAGACAGGATTTCCGTTATCGTTCTCACACAACGCGTTTAGACCGCAAGGATTTGGCACGCAAGGATCTGAAGTCAGTATCTCATGGCAGCCAACTTCCGGATTTCCTTGATATCCCGGAAGACACGTACACTGCGCTTGATGGTTACTAGAGATGCACTTCGCGTTTTCTCCACAGTCATATTCGATGCAAGGATTGATACACTGTCTGTTAAGTCGATCGCAGTACTTATGCGGAGGACAGTCCTCGTTGTATTGACAAATATTCTTAGCTTCTTCTTCTAAAATTGTAAGATTCATTGATATTTTGTGATTTTAATATGAATAGTTTTATTTACTTTGTATATTATTTTTAATAATAATATTATATTTGTTGCAAAACTCACCCTCATCGCAATAGGAGAATCCGTTACCGTGATAACCCTCTTCACAGCTGCAGTCTGTTCCGTGATTCGTATTAATACAAATAGCATGTTCCGCACAGGGATTTCGTACTAGACACGGCTCCTGGCAAGTATGCCCGATGCACGCTTCTGTCAGAGGGCAATCCCTGTTGCTAGTGCAACCCGCTAGAGAAAGAGTGAGAAAGCCCGTATAGCCCCAGAAAGTGTAGTGCACGAGTATAGGATTTGGAGATAAGAATTTTTGTTGCGTACAGCAAGTGTAATTTTGTTTACATTGCAGTGTGTCTTTGAATTGTGTATGCGCGAGAAGTATATGTGACTTCAGGTCGAGAGAAGAAACTTTTTTTTGAATTAAAAAATATGTTCAGAAAGACGTACGAATTTTTGAGAGATCATTTCTCATGATCATGCACAGGAATTTGCATTGAATTTTCTGTGTTTTTTTATAAACAAGAGTATGTAATTTACAAAACTGTACTCTTTGTAAAAAAATATATATGTACAATAATATACATACATATTTACAACTTCATCGAGATGCCTATAAAAAAATCGGAAATAAAATTGTGTGTGAATTGATGTACAGTGCTGGCGTATCGTACAAACCTTTAACGCATGTGTTTGTTGAGGAGTCGCACTGCATGCCAGGTGGACAATACGGGCATTCTGTTTCGTTAGTATCCACTAAAAAGTTATCAAAAAAAATGTGATTTTAAATTAAGTTAAATTAAGTTAAATGTTAGTAATGTGTTAAATGTGTTATTTAATTGGAAGGAAAAGAAAAATATACCTTTAACGCAGACTGGCCTATGATAATGGACGTGGCAGTCCTCAACGAAGTCACACGGATTGCCCAAAGTGCACGGGTTCAAACACTGATGGTTTATGCAAGCCAGTTGGATGGGGCAGTCGTTGTGCGTTGTGCATTTCACGTCTAATGGAACAAACGCACATTAGACAAATGGAAATTAATATCTCGAAACGACGAAAGCAACGTCGTGAAAAATGTTAATGTACATAAAATCCCAACAAAAAGTCTATTCAACCTTAAGTTTAACTACCATCAAAAATCGATAGTTATTAAACAATATATTTAATTTACTTAGATTTATCACATAGATATTTCCAGTGCAATAAACATAAATATGAATATACATGAGGACGATATATATATATATATATGTATAAGTGTATATATACTCATTTACTTATGAGACATATAGTGATATTTGTGTTACATGTGTCAAGTATAATAAAGAGACATTGATGCGTCCACTCTCAAGCAAAAGTTTAAAAGTTTATAAGTGTTTCAAACTTATTTTACTTTGTTCACAATGATACTAATTTTTGGACTACAGTTTTTTCTCGAGAGTAGATAACTGAGAAATCGCAGCTTATTAGATATGTTACATACTCAAAAAGCGATAAGGAAAAAATCATGCATAAGCAAGTAATGTACATTGTCATGCCAAGAGCGCTAATGCAGCAGTCCTTTGTCTGCATTTTTACAAAGGCAGTGTCTGACTGCCGGTTGATATAATAAATGTCGAATAACGATCGTCACATGGGACAGATAGGTGTTCGATTTATAGATCGCCCTTTTATGGTACATCGATGACATTTTCATCTATAGATTTTGCTTAGATGAACCATTCCGTGAGATAGAACCGATCGTACGGTAAAAGTAGTCCGTACTCTCCAGAATTGGTTGCTTCCAATTTTCGTCTGGATACAACAACGGGCTTTATACCGAAGGAAGCTTTGAAGAGAATATCGATTATGATATAGCGAACATGAAATGACGTCACAATTACACGCGAAATACTCCCGACAAAAAAGATTTTTACCTGGGAGTATGCTACAATTAGACGTACTCTGCTCGGTACTTGAGTTCAAGCACACAGGCCGGTGATTTATAACGTCGCACGAATCGTTTTCTCCACAAGTATTATTGACTTTGCACGGGTTTCGACATAGACGATCGAAGCACATCTCGCATTTTGTACAATCTGTGTCAAAGTTGCAAGTCACAACTGTTTTATTTTCAGTAACTTCAGGTGTGGTAGATTGTTCTGTCGTAGAATATTGCTCAGTTGCATTTTGTACTGTTGTAAAATATTCTGTTGTAATGTGATGCTCAGGAGTCCTGTATTGTTTTGTGATCGAATATTGATCGGTAGACGTAGTGTACTCTTGCGTAGGGTATTGAGTCGTACTATGTTCTGTTGTAGCAAAGGAAGATTGCGTAAATTCTGTAGTTGGAGTGAATTTTTCTGTAGTAGAAAGTTCTTTTGTCGAATAAAAAGTACTGTATTGTTCCGTAGTCGAAATTTCGGTCGGGTGTGTAGATGTAGTGTAATACATTGTTGTTGATTCTGATGTCTGAGGCTGCTCTGTAGAATGCTGTTCTGTAGACAATTCTGATGTGCTATATTGTTCCGTAGTAGAAATCTGTTCTGTAGTAGAAATTGTAGTGTATTGTTCAGGAGTAGTAAACTGTTCCGTAGTCTGTTGTGATGTTTTGAGTTGTTCTGTCGTAGAATAACCTTGTGTAAAGTATTCTGGAGTACTGTATTGTTTTGTAGTTGAAATTTGTTCTGTACTTTGTTCAGATGTAGTATATTGTTCTGTGGACTGTTGTGACGTTGTGTGTCCTGTTGTAGAATATGTTGTAGAGTATTCTGTAGTCAACATTTGTTTTGTGGTTTGCTCAGGTGTAATATATTGTTCCGTAGACTGTCCTGTAGTCAAATATTGTTTTGTGGTTTGCTCTAGTGTAGTATATTGTTCTGTAGGCTGTCGTGACGTTGTGTGTTGTTCTGTTGTAGAATATGTTTCTGTAGAGTATTCCGTAGTCAAAATTTGTTTTGTGGTTTGTTTAGGTGTAGTATATTGTTCGGTTGGCTGTTCTGTAGTCAAAGTTTGTTTTGTGGTTTGTTCAGGTGTAGTATATTGTTCCGTGGATTGTTGCGACGTAGTAAACTGTTCTGTAACAAGATTAGATGTAGTATATTGTTCAGTCGTAGATGATTGTTCTGTTGTCAAGATGTTAGTAATCGATTCATTTGTCGTAAGTGTGGGAAGTTCAGACGTCATTGCATATAACGGAGTAGTATCTTCTACATGTGTTTCAGTTGTGCGTAGCAATGTTGTTTCTGCGGTGCTTGATTCTTGTGTTATTTCTTTCGCAGTGTCACGTTCAATACTTGTTGTAGACATTTCGGTATGTTCTAAAATAGTCGGAAATGACACTGTATAATTTGTTTGCGTAAGCAATGTTGTAGTCGTGTTAATAGTGCTTTCCGTATTTTGTTCAGTGGTTGTTCCTAACGGCTTTACTGTTAATTCTTGTGATTCTGTAGTAGAATATTGTTGTGTAGTTGTTGCTATTGTTGGCATTTCTTCAACAGTTATATTAGGAACTTTTGTAGTAGGAACTATAGTAATATTCTCAGGAACTTCCGTGATACTACTTACTTCCGTCGATGTAGACATTGTTTCAGTAGTTTTATTAGAGTCTGTGATGCCGACCGAACTCTCAGTACTAATATCAGTATGATTATACGGAAATGACGAAGAGGTCATAGTGGTAATCGGAACAGTTTTTAGTATTTCGGTTGTTGTAGCAATTTCTTCATAACCAGTAGTAGACTTTGGTATTGAAGTTACAGTAGGAGAAGATAAATTTTCTGTAACCGTTTCTCCCGTACTATGTGTCGTTGGAATAGTAGTAAAAGTTGTGAATTTCATACCGGAAGTAATTGTACGCGCTGTAGTATATTCTGTCGAAGTAGATTCGGTAAAGTCGGTTCCAGAAATTGGAGTTGTAAAACGACTAGATTCGTTTGTCGTTGGAATCAGAGTATTATCTAAATGATTAATCTCAGTAGTGCTCAATGTCGAAACAACTGTTGTTGCTTTTGGAGATTCGGTGACAATTTCTGTCGTTTCAGTGGTAATACGTTCTAAATTTTCAGTGACTTGGTCCGAAGGAATTGTATGTTCCTCCGTGTATATCATAATTGGCATCTCTGTAGTAGAAATCGACAGTGTGGGTGTTAAAATGCCGGTTTGTGTTGTTTGTAATGTGGTTTCGAGAGTGCGATCTACGGAAGATATTGTCGTTGTAGTGTTAGCTAAACTACATTCGTCTTTCGAGTCGCAACAAATAGGCCTGTGCGCTTCAACCCGACACTGAACCGCTTGTTGACACTCGTTGATACAAGGATCAACACAGGAACTTTCGACACAGGCTTCTACATCGCTGCAGTCATCGTCAGACTCGCAAATTGGCTTGGGGTGAAGAACTGCTGCGGATACAATATAACATAAACATAATAACTGATAAAAGTGGCACAAAAACTGAAATCAGGAAGCGACTCTGATTAGGCTACGCTACAGATATAAGTTTATTTCAATTACTACAAAATTAAGATTTAACATGCATAATAGATAAGCTGATTATGAGAAACATTATTAGGTCTTTACAGAGACAGATGTAACGGAAAAAATCTTCCTGAAAACAGAGTGAGGAGATTGACAGAGTAGAGCGGGAAATGAGGATTCGGGAGATTTGTATCTGTAACACACTCTTTTGTTTGGAAAAACCCTGAAACACTCGTCCAGACAACGGAACAAGAAAATATCCGATTGCAATATCATAAAAACTAATTTCTCGTATCGAATTTTGTGTGAGTTTTGTTAAACTTTTAGTTCAAGCGACCGAGTGAAAAAGCATATATTCTGTTATCTGGACAATCAAAAACCTGAAAAAAGTAAGAAATTTGTATGTCTCGTGTAAGGCCAGGCAATGTAAAGACGTGATAAAACGGCTACGAGAAATGACAAGACTGAGATAGTGTTCTGAGAAATGGTGTTTACCTTTCATGCATCCGTATTTAGTATCTGGCACAAAGCCGGGGGGACAGAACTTGCAGATAGGCTTGTGCTCCTCCACGTAACAGGGGGCATCAGCCGGACAGGTAGAGTTTCTGCATGGATCCACGCAGCGATAGTTGCGGCACGCCAAGTCTGGAGAGCAGCCACTGTCTCGCAGGCAAATGGAGAGGGAGGGATTGCAGTTTTTGGTGCAAATACACACGGGACGGTGGTCCAGGACTTCGCAGGTTTTATCGCCCGTACACGGTCTTTTGTTACGCACATTACAGGGATTCTGACATTTCCCGTTGACGCACGCGGCGTTCGAGGGGCAATCGTAATCCCTCGAGCAGGTGAGCGTGTCGGGGGCGCAGGTCAACTCCCCGATCTCGTTGACCACGAAGCCGTATTTGCAAACGCACATGGGTTTGTGATTCCGCACCTGACATCTCTTGTTGACCTCGCAGGTATACCGAGAACTCAAACACGGGTCGCGGCATTCGCCTGTCTGAGAGTGGCAGGATAGACTCTCCGGACAGTCGTGGTCGGAGGAACAACCGATGCTCGGCGTAGGTTTGGGATTGAGCGTGTCGCATTTGGAATCTGGATGGCAGGCCGTGTGGGGCATACCGATATAACACTGCGGGCACGAGCAACGCGGCTTGTGCAGAACCACTCGGCACAGGGCATTGATCCCACAGGCACCGCGTAGCGCGCACGGGTCCAGACATTGTAGATTTATGCAGGCTTTTTCATTGGGGCACTCTAAGTCGCTGGTGCATTCGCGCTCTATTGTCGCGGATAGTGATGGTGTTCAAGTCGGTGTAGAGTCGGTGGGTGGTCGGTGGTGGGTGGGACAGGAAAAAAAAAGAAAAAAGCATTTATAAGAACTGTGAAAAGAAACTTTCTCACAAATAACATAAACCACATGCTTTGTATTTATAATGAGAGTAAGGGTAGGCTCTGTGAAGAAGTATAGAGAACGACTTTACAAACTTTTCCAAAAATATCATCAGACGTCTTCTCTCAGAGAAAATTACACAACGGCAAGCAGCGATATTTACAACACAAGCCCCCACAGATTTCAAGAAACAAAGAGGAAATAAACAAACCGTGAATATCAGCAAATAACAAGCATGGGTATATGAGAATGTCCCTTTCGCAGTTCCCAATCTGTACCAATCCTAAAACTAAAAAGAATGGTGTCGATTGTAAATGTGTACCTCCTTGTACTTCAAGTGGCACTAATCAAAGGCAATCGAGTGTCTCTTATTCAATTAAATCCTCAAGACAGATTGGATACTGAAATAAACATTCTACATATGAAGTTATGTGTGAGACATGTGTGAACTGTGTTCTTTCTCTCTCTCTGTCTCATCAAGTATGTACAGTATGTCCTACATATCGTATATATGTACAGGTATATTGTATATATGTACTATTTGCTGTGGACAAATATGTCAAATATATAATCGGTGTGTCGTGGCGATATATACTGCTCCAATCACATCTGTCTCTCTCGATGTTAACGATTTCACTCGATTAATAATACATCTATTGTATTACTCAAAAGTCCTACTAGACGATACATAGTTATTCTACTCGGACCAGGTTCCTGTGATTGTCAGTATTGCTCGCTAGTCACAAATGCTGTACATAAAATTAATCAAATCTGCTGTTAAATAGTTAGTAGGCTGTATTTCCCTACCTGTCGTGCACTCGATATCCGGCGAGCCGCTTGTGCCTGGTGGACATCGGCAGACGAATATAGCCCCGTCCCTGATGCATTCGGCGTTCTTTCCGCATCCGTTAGTGCGACAGTCTCCTAAATCTCTATCTGCGCTACCTGTACGTATTAATTAATTTTCGTGATATTGCGTAACTCACTCCCGTTTCTATATTCACTTTGTAAAGTTACGTTAGTACGGAAAGAAGAATACGCACATGCGTGTATCGGATCACCCGACGGATAATTCGGCGGGCAGTAGCATTGCGGTTGGTTCTTGTAAATTCGACAAGCTGCATTGACGCCGCAACGAGTGTCTTTGCAGAGATCGCCGTCGCAGAGACACACCTGGTGCGGATCACCGTGGCATCCCGGATCGCACGTACATTCAAAGCCGTCCAGAGTTTCTCGACACTTCGCGTTGACGCCACAAGATCTTCGCAGACATTCATCTCCGCCTGAAAGCGATTAAATGTGAATATTAGTACGTTCACGTTTTCTTCGGATATATTCCCGTGCAAAGAAACAAACGGCTTACCCTTCTTGCAATTGATCTTCGGGTTGCCGAAGTGTCCAGGTGGGCACGAGCACTGAGCCTTTCTGTTGATGACTCGACACTGCGCGTTGAAGCCGCATACACCATGCTGTAAGCACGGATTCGTACAGACCCCGTACTCGCTGCAACGTTTGTTTGGTTCGCAGTCGTCGTCGTGATGGCACTCGAGCTGGTAGCACTCTTGGCTCGGCTCGCCTTGGTAACCTTCCGGACACAAACAGACCGCACGATGACTTGACACGCGACAAAGAGCGTTTATTCCGCAAGGTGATCCGTGAGCGGAACATGGGTTCTCACACTGGCCGTTGGTGCACGACAACGACGACGGGCAGTCGGAATGAGTGCGACAGCCGACTAGGCACAAACCACCGTCGCACACGTAGCCCTGCAGTTGACAAAAAATATACGCACACAGTTTAACATCAACGATAGCTTAAAGATGATTGAAAAAAACAGAAGGTAAGTTCCTCAAAATGTTTTGTACTCACCTTTGGACATGCGTTGTTGACATCGCACTTGATGCGACACTTTCCATTGTGACAGACCTCACCGCAGGAACAGTCGTTCTGACCGTGACAGCTGGTGGTGCAGAAGCCGATTTCGTCGCACTCACATGAACCGTCGCAAGGAATCATGGTCTTGGCGCAGTTAATTAACGCGTTGCCGTAATAATTAGCGGGACAGCTGCACTGAGCCACGTGATTGACCACGCGGCAACCAGCGCATTCTCCGCATGCTTTGCCACCTTCGCACGGGCCTGATGATAAAATCGCGTCATTCGAGAGATCAAATTTCGATACAAGATATGATGTGCATGCAACACACTTCGTACTCACTTTTGCATTGATTATTGATACAAGACTCGTCGCTGGGACACGCATTGTCGCTACGACATCCGATATCGCACAAGCGATTGTAACATATTTGATTCGAGACGCAGTGATCGTCGCTGTTACATATCGCCTTGCAAATGCCGCCATCGCACCGTTCGTCGCTCAAGCAATTTGCATCGCTGAAAAAAAAAAAAAAAAAACAATATCGCTTGTTAGAAAAAATACACAGATAACTTTTATAAATTTATTTCGCGCTTGCATAGTCTTCGTTACCTTCTGCACGTGGAGTAACACGATCTGCCGTAGCATGTTTGTCCCGGTTGACAGTCATGATCGGACGAGCACGGAAGGAAGGCCTGCTTGCATCCAATGCGCGCGTCTCCCACCAAAGGTGAGGGACACGTGCATAATCGTTGGTGATTGATAGTCGTGCATTTAGCGTTTACGCCGCAAGCGTCAGCTAACTCGCACGGATCTATAAACAAATAATAAATAAATTTAATTTTCTATTTTTTTAAATAAAAAATGCACAGATACAAAAGTAGCAGAAACTCTTACCTCTACACTGATTGTTTATGCACGCGTAATTGTCCTGACACTCGATATCAGCCCGACAACCAGAGACGCACATCAGTCCTTCGCAGATCTCGCCGCTTCTGCAGTCCTCGTCTCTTCTGCACAGGGACTTGCAGATGCCAGAACTGTCGCATCTCTCGTTGCTCAGGCAGTTTGCGTTAGACGAGCAGACGGGCGTGCAAGCACCGGCGATGCAGGCCGTGCCCACGGCGCAGTCCCGATTGGCTTGGCAGATCGGACCGGGTGATCTCAGGCACGCGACCTTTGCCGTCGGGTTCGGAATGAAACCGCGAGGACAGGAACACGTGGCGCGCTGGTTGAAGACGATGCATTTGGCGTTCGGTCCGCACGGCGTAGCCTCGCACGGGTTCACGCACTTGTTGCCCAAGCACGCTTCGTTCGCGTTACAGTCCTCGTCGGCGCGGCAGCCGAACAAGCACATATTATTCAGACATATGTGGCCCAGGAAGCAGTCGTTGTCCAACCGGCAGGTCAGCAGACAATTGCCGCGGACACACTTTTCGTTTAGCGCGCACTCGTCGTCAATCGTGCAAATCGGCAAGCAGACGTTCTCGCGACAGGTGTTGCCTTCGTTGCAATCCCCACTGCCCAGACAAGACACCGGCACTGCGAACAAATGCAAATGTTAGTTTCTAACATGTGTGCAAATTCACAAATGAGACGAGAAATTGTTTAAATACAAAACTTATATGTCTGCACACTTACGTCTCACACATTCGACTTCGGAGTTGCCAGTGAAGCCTGGCGGACAGCTGCACTGTTTGATGTGACTCTTCACTTTGCACTCGGCGTTTATGCCGCAGGATCCTCGCACATCGCACGGATCCAGGCACTGTCCGTTTAAGCAAACGTCGGACAAGTTGCATTCCTCATCCGATTGGCAAGATGCTACAATAACAAAATTATTCATAGGTGCAACAGTAGATTTGTTTGTTTTCGAACAAGTTTGGAATTCGTTTGCACTTACGTCGACAAATGCCTTCGTAACAGTAAGTGTTGACCGCACAGTCGACGTGCGACGTGCAGATCACCGGCTTCGGACGACATCCCACGCTCAGACTGTTGGGATCGCCCTCGTAATCGGTGCGGCACTGACAACTCGCGGCGTGATTGTTCGCGATACATTCCGCGTTCGGACCACATCGGATGCGCGCACAAGCATCTGAACAAAGAAAATGCAATAAAGTTTATGCGCGCGATTGTCTTTTACAAAGAAATGAGAAATTGACTTTGGCACACGTACCAAAGCATTTTGGCACGTTGTTAATATTGACGCATTTGGCAGTTAGCGGACAATCCGCGTCCTGAAGACACTCTACTGGCGGCTGGCAGCCACTGTTGTAAGGATCTCCGACGGTCTCGGGCTGACAGTGACACTTGAAGTGTCCCCGTGAATTTTCGCACAACGCGCCTGGCGCGCAAGGTGCGTCCGCGCAGTAATCTATCGGTCGGCAACCAAGTGTCGGATCTCCCGTGTATCCCGGCAGACAAATACAAATCTAGAAGCGCGTATAAGCGTATTTAGATCGGTATAAAAATATTAGCAAACAGTTTTCGACGACGAAATAATTACTTGAACGTGGTTCTCCGTTTTGCAAATGGCGTTCACGCCACAGGGATTTTTCACGATGCAGCTGATCTTGCACAAGTTCTCATCGCAGATCTTGTCGTCGGCGCACTCATCGTTGCTCCTGCACTCGATCAGTTGACAGCCGATTTTGTCGTCTCTTGCATTTCCGAAGAAACCGGGATTGCAGGTACACGTCGCGATGTGATTGTCAGTCTTGCAGGCGGCGTTTCGGCCGCACAGTATCAAGTCGCAAGCTTTACGACATTCCGCCTTTAAAAAAATTAATTAATAAATCACATAAAAAAACACTTTTACTTGTGTTCAAACGTTTTCCACGTAATAGGATCGTTAGCTCACCTGACCGATGTTATTCTTGACGCATTTCTCGTCGTATCCGCAGTCGCTGTCCGAGGTACAACGTAATTCTTGAACACATATATTGTTATGGCAGTATTGATATTCCGGGCAGCTTGAGTTACTTCTGCATGTAGGCTGGCAAAGACCGTTGATGCAAAGCTGATCTCCGATGCAGTCTCTCGTACTTCCACACAGCGCTTATGATAACAAGATAAAAAAACATTGTATAGTGCATTTGAATGGTCAGTTTTTTTTGCTGTTTTCGACGCGATTGTCTCGATTGAGACTTACCTGTGCATATACCCCCATTGCAAGCCGATCCAGTTGCGCACTGCGAGTCGCTCTTGCAATACTGAACTGGAGTGCATCCCAGATTCGGGTCACCTGTGCCGCCAGGCTGACAGGTGCACACCGCGCTGTGATTAAGCGACGAGCAATCGGCCCCGTGGCCGCAAACGTTAGCAAGGGAGCAGGGATCGACGCACTTGTGATCAAAGCACGCATCCGAGGGACTGCAGTCGCTGTGATAGTTGCACTCCAAATGAACACACTCGGTCTAAAGATAACAAGTGGTAAGAAAATTAATTGTCACACCGCGTGCGTAAGTCGCAAGATTGGTTTTTGAGAAAACACACTGAAGAGAGAGAGAGAGAGAGAGAGAGAGAGAGAGAGAGAGAGAAAGAGAGAGAAAGAAAAAGAGAGAGAGTAAACTCACTGCTGGGTTTCCTACAGTTTGTCCAGGACATCTACAAATTGGAACGTGATCGCGCGCGAGACATTCCGCGTTTCTGCCGCAAATGCCGGGTGTGTCGCACGGATTGGTGCACTTATTGTCGACGCACGCGGCCGAATTCGGACAGTCTGAATCCGTGAAGCAATCGCCGGGCTGCTTGCAACCTGTTTTGAACGGATCACCTACCAAACCGTGCGGACACACGCAAGCAAACGATCCCTCTGTGTTTTGGCATCTGAAAGATTTTTTGATAATTTTTAGCAACCACATCTAACGCTGTTTTATGTTTCTCGGTGATTTTAATATGAAAAAAAAATACGAAAGAGTTTTACTCACATGGCCGTAGAATGGCAAGGATCTTGTAAGCACTCGTTGACATCGGCGCAAATGTCTCCTGCGAGAACGAAACCAGGATAACATTTGCACACGCTGACATGGTCGATAGCTACGCAACTGCCGTATCCGCAATTCACTTGATTGCAAGGACCTGAGAGAAAATAACATTTCAAAAATTGTAACGTGTGATCACACGCGATCAGTTGACCATGTTTTGACACACGCGAGCGCGCAGTGCAACTTACTGCTACACTTGTTGGTCTCCTGATTGCAGTATTTATCGGTCGGGCAATCACTGTTGGAGAGACATTCCACTTTGAAGCAGCCAGAAGCGTCTCCGATGTAACCAGGTTGGCACTGACATCCCGCCACGTGATCCAAAACGGAGCAAACGGTGTTCAACCCGCAGTCGACGAATGAGCACGGATCCGAACAGTTGTGTTGAATGCAGGCCTGCACGTCCGGACAGTCTGTGTGAGCGGTGCACTGGTGCGGCAGGACGCAACCCGATCCTACAGGATCGCCTGCGGTGCCCTGGGGACACGCGCAACGATAAGATCCGTGGAGATTGATGCACTCGGCGCTCGGGTGACACGGATGATCCTCACACTCGTTGATGTCCAGACAGTGTTCGGGGCCAGCGATAAATCCGTGGCTGCATCTTCAAAAAAAACGCGTTGTCGTGTAGATTCTTTTGTCATTATGAGATCGAGCGAGCCATTTAAAAACGAATACGTACCTGCACTTGTTGTTAATGCACACTTCGTCACGCTTGCATCCGACGTCGGAGGTGCAGCCGGCCTCGCACGTGCCATCGATGCACAATTCGCCGGGCAGACAGTTGCTGTCGCTGTAACATATCTTCACGCAAATGCCGTTCTTGCAGCGTTCGCCCTGGGCGCAGTTGTTCTGTTCCGAGCACTGGCACTGGCACAATCCGGAAACGCACAGGTGCTGACTGGGACAGTCGTGCGAGGTTTGGCACGCGTTCGGCACTCGGACGCAGCCTTGCTGCGGGGTGGGATTGCCGTGGAAGCCGAGAGGACACGTGCACGTGACCGCGTGATTCGTACAGCTGCAAATCGCATTTGGTCCGCACACGTCTTTTCTGCTGCAAGGATCTGAAATCACATGAAAAAGATTTTCTCCTCACATGCTCAAGTATTATGCATTTTCCCTCGTCAGTCCGTCGTCCGACAAACAAATATTTTTACTTTATGTAATTATTTTATGACGTAATATAATTTAATGAACTTACCTTGACACTTGTTGTTGATACACGATTCGGTAGTCGGACAGTTTTTGTTACTGCGACAACCGAGAATACATCCACTGCTAACGCATGCCTGATCCACTTGACACTGCGAGTGCGTAATGCACGATACCATGCACTTGTTGTTGATGCACTTTTCTCCGTCCGAACAATCGGCGACTGTACGACACACGGCTGCAACAACAAGCAGATTTTTTATTTCCATTGATTAAACATGTTCGAGGTGTTCTGTAAGTAAGTTTGTCGCTTCCCTAATTTTATAAATAAGAGAGATAAGTCAATAAAACAAATATATTTACCTCTGCACTGCCCATCAAGGCACACGCTGTCCTCGCACTCGGCATCCACCGTGCAGTAGTTACTACCCCGTATACATCCGTGCTCTGGTCCCTTCGAGGACGGCACGAATCTGTGAACGCACTTGCAACTCGGTCGACCGTTCACGATCTCGCATATTGCGTTGGGTCCGCAAGCGTTCTCGCACGGGTTCACACAGCGATGCTCGTGGCAGATGGAGTGCACCGGACAGTCCTTGGGACCGGAGCAATATCCCTCCGGTTGGCAACCGGTCACGTAAGGATCGCCCACGTGATTGGGCGGACATTGGCACACCGGGTTGTTGGTCGGGCCGGTAACGCAAATCGCCGTCGGGTGACAGGAGTCCGGACGACACGCCTCCACGGCGACGCACTCAACGTCGGGCACCGGATTCGGACGAAGTCCGGGCGGACATTGACAGATCGCTTTGTGATCGTCCGCGATGCAGACTGCGTTCACGCCACAGGCGTTCTCGTCGCAGGCGTCGTAGCAGGTGTGCGTCAGTCGGTTGCAGAGCTGCGTCGACGGACAGTCGATGTTGTATACGCAAGGCACGGCGCGACAACCGGCTGCCGGGTCGTTCGGATCACCGGCGTACAGACCGGGCGGGCACTCGCAGTTCGCCACGTGATTGTTAACGACGCAGAGCGCGTTCGGGCCGCAAGAGACGAAGTCGCAGACTAACTGGCAGGCGAGCGGACCGTCGGAAGTGCCGCGACACGTCTGATCCTCCGCGCATTCGCTGTCTGTGGTGCAGCGATTCTCGCGCGGACTGTGACAGCCACGGCGGTCGTTCGGATTGCCCGTGTAACCGGGCAGACACTCGCAACGGCCCTCGTGGTTCTCCGCCAGGCAGCGGGAATTCGTGGGGCACGTGAAGCCGCTGCAGAGCGATACGCACTTGAGCACGCCGAGCGCGTCCGGTCTGCAACCTTCGCTCGAGCGACAGTCGTTGTCGGTTATGCAGTCGGGCACCGAGGGTTTCTCGCAGGACGACAGTACCGGATTCCACTCGTATCCGTCCTGACACTTGCAAGTGGCATGACCGGGTACGACATCAGGCTCGCACTTCTGATAAGCGCCGCACACAACTTTGCTGCAGGGATTCACGCAGTCGCGCACGCCGCCGTCCAGGATGACGCAGAAGGAACCCGGTTGGCAGTCCGAATCGTGAGTACATCCAGGTAATATGGTCTTAGATGGTTGACAACCCTCGATCAGATTGCTTGGATTGCCCTGATAACCGTCGATACACAGGCAGGAGGACACGTGGTTCTGAGTAACGCACAGCGCGTTGGGCCCGCATTGCAGTTTGCTGCACGCGTCGACGCATTTGCGAACCCCCTTGCCGATCTGGAAGCAAATCTCCTGGGGCGCGCATTCGAGATCGTTCGAGCAGTGACCGTGCAAATGGCAGCCTTTGTGCAGATCGTTGGGATTGCCGCTGTAACCCGGCGGGCACACGCACGCTCCGTTCTGACAGACGGATCTGGGACCGCACTTGATGTCGCTGCATTGATTTATGCACTTGTGATCGACGCAGGTGTAATCGAAGGGACACGGCACGTTGTCGCTGCAGACGCAGGTCGAGGGATCGGCGCACGGTCCCACCTGCACCTGCTGACACCCGACGAAGGGATTGCCGAAGAAGCCGTCCTTGCAGCGACAGTCGTAGCTTCCGATGGTGTTGATGCACACCGCGTTGCCGCCGCACGCGTTTCCGTTGCACTCGTTGATGTCTAAAATATAACGACATTTAAAAAAACATTAATTAACAGAAGTAATAAGAATTTTAACTTAAATATATAAAGCCATTTGCGCATTTTTATCATTAACTGCAACTATGACATTTGTACAATGTAAAAAAATAAAAATATAATAAAATGGTGAGAAATTCTACGAACCGAAACATTGAATGTATGGATTGCCGGCGAAGCCAGGTGGACAGAGACATTCGACGACGTTGGGACCCGCGTTGCAGAGCGCGTCCTTTCCGCAGACCGCGGTGGAACAATCGGATTTCTGTTGAACGCCGCAGCCGTGATAAGGATTTCCACTTGTACCCGGATTGCAAACGCATTTGGATTCCTGCAGGCCGTACTCGCAGTGCGCGTTCTTTCCGCAAAGTGGATCGCAGTGAGGTGGTTGAATCGCTGTGAAGAAACGCATTTATCTCGTTTTGTTTTTTATTTCTCTTCACAAAGTTTGGGGAAAACAGAATGTGAATGTGACTCACGTGGCATGCAGAGTAGATCGGGGTTGCCGACAAAATAGGGATTGCAGACGCACTTATTCGTCAACGGATCGCACATTGCGCCGATACCGCAAACCACACCTTCGCAGCGTCGTTTGCAACGTCCGCTGATGCAAACGCTCGGCTGAGCGCACGGGATTTCGGGCGAGCAAACATCCGGAACGCACTGTCCACCGGGGAAAGGATTGCCGATGAAGCCTTCGATGCACTTGCAAGTCGGCCCGTCGTAGCTGACGATACACTGGGCCCCGGCGCCGCAAACAAATCCGTCACATTCTGCAACGTAAGTTTTACGCACATTTAAATTTTTTTTACGTAAATTATTTACATTTAAATTATTTAAAGTTTTTAATTATTTACTAGTAATTTTTTAATACGTGTAAAATTCACACTCACGTGAAACACATTCGTTGTTCTTGCCCTCCGTGAATCCGATTACGCATCTGCACCAAGCCGCGTGCTTGTCGGGCTCGCAGTACGCGTTCGGACCGCAAGGGATGTTGTCGCAAGGATTTACGCAACTTCCCTGAACGCACGCCAGATAATTCTCGCAGTCGTCGTTTGACGAGCACTCGCTTTTGCTGGTCGGGACTCCCGTGCAACCGGCGCCGTAGGGATCGCCGATCATCCCCTTCGGACACTCGCACACGTGATCGCCTTTCGTGTTGATGCAGTACGCGCCGTGACCGCAGGGGTTGTTCGCGCATTCGTTCACGTCGACGCAACCGTGCTGCGGATCGCCCTCGAAACCGGCCTCGCACATGCATCGCGGCGGATCGCTCGGCGTGCATTTCGCGTTAATGCCGCACGGGAAACGATCGCAAGGATCTGCGGATGTTTTTGTAAGAATATTACGTCGCACGAAGATGAGATACAAAATTCATAAGTTGCACCGCACGAGATATCTGTGAGATACTTACTCTTGCACAGGTTTCCGTCCAAGGGGTCCGTGTAGAATGGCGGCGGACACACGCACTCACCGGGTTGCACGCACTTCTCGTTGGCTTTGCACTCGTTGTCGTTGGTGCATCTCTTTTGCGCCGGAGAGCAAAGACCGTTGTACGGATCGCCGCCGTATCCGTGCGGACAGACGCACTGATGCGAACCCGGCAGGTTGATGCACTCGGCACCGTAGCCGCAGACTTGGTGTCCAACGATGCACTCGTTTATATCTGCGGATTATCAATCATTGTTCGCTGATCATGCATCAATTCTGTTGTTAATTGAACATGTCTCAAGATAACTGTTCTGTCGAGTAACGTACCTTCGCAAGTTCCATCGGATTTGGTTGCGTAACCCTTCGGACAGGCACAGTAGCTGACACCACCGGCAATCGTTATGCACTCGGCGCCACTTGGACACTTCTCGCCCTTTGAACAGCCGGCCAACATGCATTTACCACTGACGATCTTGTATGGCGGTTGACACTGGCATTCGATGCTGTTGCACTCTGCAAATATTTCGATTGTTCATATTTCAATACATGTGAGAAAATTAACAAACATAAAAATTTATATTTATAATTAATATAAATTTATCAACTGTTTTTGTTAATTTATTAGTAAGAATAAATAATAAACTTGAAGATTTTACCTTCGCAAAGCGAGAAAGGATTTCCATTGAAGCCCGGCGGGCACTGACACTCGTAACTGCCCGGGAGATTTTTGCAGATCGCGTTTACGCCGCAGGCGGACTTTTCTCTTAGCTCCATGCATTCGTTAATGTCTCTGCACTTGCCGGTCTCGCGATCGCGCATGTAACCGCGTTGGCAGATGCACACGCTGCTGCCCACGAATTCGTCCTTGATGCATTGTTCTCCGGCGGGACAGGGCGAGCTCGGTCCGCACACGTGCGGCGTCTTCGACTCCTGGCAACCTCCGGTGTAAGGATCGCCCGTCATGCCGCTCGGACACTGACACGAGAAGGAGCCGGGCTCGTTGTTGCAGATCGCGCCCGGAGGGCAGGGATTCATCGCGCACTCGTCGATGTCCCGGCAACCGTCCTTCACCCCCGGTCTGCCGGTATAACCGTTGCTGCAGAGACACGTCGCTACGTCGTTCAGGAGCATGCAGTGAGCGTTGGGTCCGCAGGACAGATCTTCGCACGGATCTGATTGAAAAAAAAAAAAAAAAAAACAGATTATGTAAATTGTAATCTTCATACGAGATGAAATATCTTATCGAGATATCGCTCGTGCTTACGCCTGCAATCGTTTCCGACGTTAGGCTCGGGACAGAGACATCTCTTTTGCGGGTCGCAAATGGCATTTCCCGGACAGTCGTCGTCGATCTCGCATCTGACTATGGCAACGCACTTGATGTAGGGATCGGGGTCGGGTATGGTTTCTTCCGGACAGGTGCACGTGTAAGAACCCACGGTGTTGGTGCACGTCGCTCCGTGACCGCATACGTCGGGTTTCGCGCATTCGTCTATATCTGCGCATTTATGTAAATATTTCAAGAATTGTACACACATGACTCACATCTGTTATTAATCGATTCTCTGTTAACTTACTTACCAATACACTGTTTGAAGGCGTTTCCCGAATATCCGGGTTTACACTGACAACTGAAACCGCCAAGCGTGTTCGTGCAAATGGCGTTTCTGCCGCATCTTCCCGAAGGTCCGTTTATTGCATCGCATTCATTTATGTCTAGTCGAAGCAAAACAACAATCAGAAAAAACTGTTTTTTATTTTCTTATTTTTATTTAAAGAATTCCGATTTCTTACCGACACATCCAGCCGCTATGTCGTTCGGATTGAACGTCCAGCCGTCTTCGCAGATGCAATAGGCCTCGTGGCCGTCGGCCTTACAGAAAGCGTGTTCGCCGCAAGTTACCTCATCACACGGTGCTTCAAGGCATAAGATTACGTTAAATAAATTGCAGCTGAATTCAATTCGCGAAGTTTTTGGTCTTCTACTTAAAAGAAGATTCTCTTAACGAGAATATAAAATACCTTTGCACGGTATGTGAGGTGGCGTGCCAACGAATCCAGACTCGCACTCGCAACGATAGCTTCCCCGAGTGTTCGTGCAGATCGACGCAGGTCCGCAAGGATTTTTGAGAGCGAGATCCACGCACTCGTCGAGATCCGCACACTCCGCACCGACGGCTTTGAAACCGTCCTTGCAGAAGCACTGTCCCTCAATGCACTCGGCATTGTTGACGCAATCGAAATTTGACTTGCAGAGAGTCGTCACGTCGGTCTGCAAACCAACACACACGGTCGACGTTCGACTTCCACTAGCTTTTCATATTTATGACGTTTGTCGCGCTTATAAATATCGAGACATTTATTTCATTTTTATAAGACATTTTATATATTCGGAAAAAACCGGTCTTCTTGCCGATGTCTATTTTCTGAATGCGGGAATAAGAAACACGTGTGTCCAAATGAAAAATGAAAAGTTACCTGTCGCGCGTTTACCTTTGACTTTACAAACATAACGAATAGAGCGTGGCTTTGGAAAAGAGTTAAAACGGTCACAAAACCGGTCTGTACATTCGTTTTGGTCTGTTTGCTTTCTTTTATCCGTCACCTATGTGGCAAGGAAACGGACCGGTCCTGTTCGGGGGTGGCGCGATTCTATTTCGAGATGTTTGTCACGGCACATATTTCTCTCGCGCTTTTTTTTTTATGGATCTTGCCCATATATGCTCGAGGTGACTCAAGAGTGCGACGGGGGGTAGAGAGGGGGAGTTATTACCTGATCGCACGCGACTGCCGAGCTGGGGTTGGCACTGTACCCCGGCGGACAGACGCAGTTGTAGCCTGGCTCTTCGTTCTTGCAAATCGCATTTCTGCCACAAGGATTTTCCAGAGCCGTGCACTCGTTGATGTCTACAAAAATCCATATAAGGCATTCTTCCGGCTTGCAAATTTTAGAGAAGAGATTAAAAAAAAAATAAAATGTAAATATGAAATAAGCGCAAAAGTTAATTATTGATGAACAAAACCGATTGACAACTTGACAAAAATATCTCCACAAGGGAGAAATTCGTAAGAAATGGAATGGCGTGTCGCTAACCGCTGCACTCCTTGAAGGGGTCGCCGGTGTAATCTGCCTTGCAGCTGCAGACGAAGCTACCTATCGTGTCGGTGCACTCGGCGTTCTCGCCGCAGGGGTTGCGCTCGCATTCGTTCACGTCTGTTAATCAACATGGTTAATCGCAAGATGAGTATTATTAATCGTTAGACCATTGATGGAAGGATCTGAGTGTGTGGCATGCAAACGATAAATGAGAGTATTATGTGAGCATCTCGTGAGACTGACTTTCGCAGAGAGTTAGTCCTTGGCCGACGAAGCCCGGCGGGCAGATGCACTTGTACGAGCCCGGCACGTTGATGCATCTCGCGTTAGCGGCGCATACGTCCGCGCCGCTGCACTCGTTCATGTCGACGCAACCGTGCACGGGGTCCATCTGATAGCCGGCGTGACATCTGCACTCAAAGCTACCCTCGGTGTTCACGCACTCCGAGTCCGCTCCGCAAGGTGTACCCTCCTCGCACTCGTTTACATCTGTTGTTAGTGACGATTGGTTAATTCGTTCGGACATTTTATGTAAAACCGGGGAAGAAGTTCATGAGTTTTCAAGCGAGTCAGTTATGTTACACACAAATACACAAGAGTCCTGCAAAATCGTGTAAAATTCTGATCATATTCGCTGTAAAGTCAATTTTTTCAGACTCACCGTGACAACCTGTCAACGGGTCGCCGTCCATTCCCTCGGGACAGGAACACCGGAAGCTACCGTGCACGTTGGTGCAAAGTGCGGAACGTCCGCAGGGACTTCTCAGGCATTCGTCTATATCCCTGCATTCGTCCTCGGGACTGCCGTTGTAACCCTCGGGACATTCGCACTTGTGCGCGCCCGGTAGGTTCACGCACAGCGCACCCCTTCCGCAAGCATTCTCGTATTCGCATTCGTTAATATCGACGCACTGTGTTAAAGAAACACGTGCGATGTTATATTCTTTAAATCTGACATTTTATTTCTTATTTTTTATGCGCGCGCGATACTCGTTTTACTTGATATATTGAGAGTTCGCTCGTTTAAATCTTAATCTTATAATAAAACGCGGATTCTACATCGTTCTCATGTTACCGCTATCATAATCGAAGTTATTCGCACGTATATTTTTTTAGGGGGAATATAATATACTTCGCAATTAGTTTACGGCAATCTCCCGAGAGAGAGTCCATCACGACGTAACAAACAACGATTATCGAGATGAAATATCTTTATCGTAAATATTCTGAAAAAAATTCGCGATAAGGCGATTGACTCTCACGCAAAAGCGTGTTATTATCCATTTTATGAGCTTCGACGTTTTATCGACGTTTTTCTCTTCTACTTTTCGCATTCCTGTTTTTCTACGACGATATGTACTCACACTGTCGTACGGGTCTCCCGTGAATCCGTCCTGACACGCGCAGGTGTAATTGCCGGGTATGTTGTGACACAGGGTATTGTCGCCGCATGCACCCGGTATCGTGCATTCGTCCACGTCATCGCAGCGCACCTCGCCGTTGCCGATGTAGCCGGGCTTGCACTTGCAGAGGAAGTTCGACGGGAGATTGCAGCACTCGGCGTTCTCGACGCAACGCCCAGCGAGCACGGGATCGTCGCACTCGTTGATATCTAATACAGGTATGGACGATCTTGTCAAATAAAAACAAATGCGTGGCTGGAACGACAGAACGAGAAAAAGATATAATAGAGATATCGTCGTACCCTCGCAATGAAAGCCATCGCCTCGATATCCAGGAAAACAGGAACATTGAAAACTGCCAAGAGTATTTGTACAGTGGGCAAATATATCACAGGGCCGATATTTACACTCGTTCTCGTCTGCAATTGGTTTTAGACAAATATTGGTTTTATTGTGTAAATTAAATAAATTATTGTTTTATTAAATATTACGTATAAAAAAATTAGAGAGAAACATGAACAAATATGTGGTAGGTACATACTTGCGTCGAACTGTTTTCCAAAACTGTTTTTGCATGACAATAGAATGCGCGTTTATTAAATATTTTAATAACTTATGTATAAATATTCTGTGTATTTAAATGATTAAAAAAATTGATCAAACTGCACAAACCTGGAACCTGACAATTACATCCTCCGAACCCGTCGTTACAGTGACAGACTGAATCGAGACAGACACCGTTCTGACATTTGGTGCCGTCCTCTTTTGTACAATCGTCTGTAAGCAACATTTTTACAATATAATTCACTTGTCATTTATTCTTTTTGACCAGCGAATACTTTCTTACAAAAAAAAGACTTTCTTACTTATCAAACAAATTTCACTACTTCTATCTGTTGCAAGCTCTAAATAGTTATTAGTTTTAGTCGAAGGGGAATTAGAAGATATACAATCATCTATAAAGAAACATCCTGTGCGAGATAAGGACCATTTTAGCCGGTCATTAAGTAACATTATCCAAGAAAGAGATAAATTGCGACTGTACGCTGCGGCCTATCGGCTAATCGTGCAATTTTCTCCCGGACTAATCATTGGCTCGAGTTTTTCTCTCAAGAGCCACACGAGGACCAATATATATACGTTTGGCGGAACTACCACAGGTAACATGATTCCCGCTCATCGGCACGGACTGGCGCGTCAATTACGCCTCTATCAAGAGAAGATAGCGTTCGCGATAAATAAGAATAAAACTTGGCGACGCTAATTGCAACATGTAGGCATGACTCGCGGTACATTGTGATATAATGACGCGAGAAAGAGATCTTCCTAATTGATGTGACAAGATGCGATTGTTATGAGCGTGCGAAAAGAATTACTTTGGTCGTCCTAATGATAATCAGAAATGATGGGGAATAGCGTAAAAAGAAGCGAAACGACAGTGTCGCGGTCGTGTCATGCGACACACGTCGCCCTCTTTCTTTCTCCTCTTCTCCTTTCGTGAGTTGCAATTCTGCGCGCGAGAATTCCTCGAATAAATTTTAAATTAGTCCAAGGAAAACAAAGTGTTTGATTTTTTTTCGAGATAACTTACCTGTGCACTTCAACTTGTCGCGCTGCTCGTCCGCGCCTTGATAACAATCGGCGCGATGATCGCAGAGCTTCGAAAGCTCGAGCAGCTGAAGAATGTCCGTTGACTCGTTGACTTGACAGCCGAAGTAGCCGTCTTCGAGGTTCAGAAAGAATACTTCTCGCCTCAATCCGTGACCGAGTCCTTTGCGAGATTCGGCCTGAAGTCGGAAACGAACGAATTTTTATTTCTTGCACATCAACTTTTTTTTTCCTATTCGCGAACGCGAAGCAATATTAGAACTTACCGGATATGAGGATAGAAGTATCCACGCCAGCAACGGCCAAAGATGTTTCATCTTTGCTGCAAGAAAAAAATCAAAAACCACATCGTGGAATTAGTCACAATCTGTCGAGTCAATTTATTGATAATAATGTGACGCGCGAACATTTTTAGCGGTGATTGTACAAACACGCGCGTGTCATCTTGCCTCTTCTATGTAATAGTACGGAAGAAATTTTAAATAGATGTCCAAACACGTGCGTAATCGCGACGGTGACTTCACGCGGAAGGTATCATTGCCGCGGCAATTGCATCATCGTAAATTCGCAACAAGTGGTTTGCGAGAAGCCAAACGCGACACCCTGGGAACGATTTTTTACAACTTGGCGTCGCCGAGAAGAAGAGGCGGGCGAGAAGGAGGCACTTGACATTCCCCACGAATGTTCACGGCGTATAAATCACGCGGGGAAAGCACCGCAGGAAATCATTGGAAAATCAAGCGTGGAAACGCGAAACCGCAGGAAACCGCCGCGGCCGTTTTTCAGTCGCAGCGGGTAAACCCACACTAGACGGAACACCTGTTCGGCAAATAAACTGCCGCCGCCGCCGCCGTCGACTGTTCCAACGTGTGGCTAATTTACGAATGGGCGCCGAGCGGCTGGAACCATCAACTCCAACATGTGGGTCGTGTGTGACGTGTAAAAAAAAAAACTACCAACTTCTGATACGCGACGAGAGATGTTCGGTGTTTTCTCAACACAACAGAGATATCATTCGAATGCGTTTCCGCGCGACGAGCGTAAACTCAAATACGCATAAATCATTCCGTATGACAAGTATTTGAATAATAATGATAATGTGACATTAATAATGACCGCTCAATAAACGTAAAACGTATATTACGAGGCTTTACATTAGCGAGGAGAGTTTATGGAAGGTCATCACATTGATCGTCTATATTGAAAGATGATGCGTGTGTGATGCAATGTGCATGTGCGTGCGTAATTACGATATTAAAATACCAACTCGTCTATACATTGTGGGAAAACGCGCGTTTCGGGTGGAAGAGCGACCGTGGTGGATCGTTCAGTGCCGCATGCGAACAGGAACTCGTTCCAGAAAAACGCGGAATTCTCGAGAGTATCCCTCGGAGTAGATGCGTGAGCGTTTTTTTTTTTTTTGTTTTCTGTTATATTGCTCTTCTTCGTTGCGAATCCCCGACTCCGGACGTCGAACTGTAAATGCAATTTTCGCGAGATAACCGCGCGCGTCTTCTTCGCGTTCGGCGAGTCTTCTTCCCTCGGCAAGCTGCGAAACGCAAACAAACGCAGAAGCGCAGCGTTCGGCAAACGAACAGCACAATAAGAAGCTAGAGCTCAGCGGCGATCAACCTGGCGCGGTGAAATGTTAACGACTGCACGCGGCCGAGGGATGGCACGGCGAGCAAAAGGGAGAAGAGAAGGAAGGACGTGTGTTCTCTCCGCGCACAAGTCGGATGAAGTGAAGGAAGAGAAGCGGAAAGTGCGAGGAGGAACGAGGCAGGACGTTGGAAGAGGAGGCGAAGAAGCGCGGAGGAACGTAATAAAGGAGGGCGTGCGAGTGCGATGCACCTGTAGGTCCCCTTGCCCCTCCAACCACCTTGCGACGAGGCGCCCCCCTCCTCGCTCTGGTACCCTCTTAACTCGTCAAGATGTATAAACTCGCGCAGCTGCGAGTCGACCAACACGGGAACCCACGGGTTCCCTTTATTTTAATTTTGTCACGGAAGCCGGTTACCCCACACCGCGAACATATTTCTAGATCCGGTTCGAGCTTCCGCAATTCGGGGAATAAATAAAGTCCTTGGACCCCCGCTTTATTTAAGACCTCGCTCGTTAAGTTAATTTTTTTCTCACAGTTTGGATTTTGTTACAGTAGTAGTAGTTCGCGTGGTAAAACAAACCTAAACGCTTCGAACAGTCGTACAGTAAACAAGAATTTTATTCAGTTCTCTGCGTTCTTTCTTTTCTTTCATCATCGTCAAAGAAGTCCTGTCACTGCGCTGTTCTCGCGCAGACATCGATCTTTCCGCCGCGAGCAATTGACACAGATTTATCGGTTTTTGTCGATGTTCGCCTCTTTAGCATATCTGCGTGTCGTAATCTCTCAATTGGCGTTTAGTCAGTAGCTGTCGCCGATAATCTAACCATACTGGTGTACACTTCCATTTTGCATCACTAGTACATCTGCATGCATAAATATGCGCGGTGTGAATTGCAAAGTGCGCTTATATGGAGCACGCGAAACTCCTACGCGAGTTACGATGACAAACGACGACGATCGAAGGTAGAGTTTGTCATTCAGCAGCAACGTGCGCAACGGTGTTAACACGGTGAGGAGAAGTTGATTTCTGTGATGTCGAGATGATGTCTTCAACTTCCATCGTCAAACGATTAAATTCAGGTAATGGTACAGATTTTGTTGGTGACGTTCTATTGAGGTGCGATCAAACATCAAATCGCATCACATATTATTGTTGCAACTTTTTAAAGTCGTAATTAAACATTCGAGACGTGATTATTAGTCCACCACGAAATCGATATTTTCAGGTCAATAACGAATCGGCGAGTCATCGTCGCGATTTCTTCTTCATTATTCCGCCTCGCCCACGAGCCTGTCGGTTTATGGAAGCTTGCGGGTCAGGAACGACGTGTTTGTTCGGCGCCGTGAAAGTACATACATACATACACGTGTGTGACTTGCAGAACACATCCTGGCGGCATTAGGAGAGAGATTATTCTTTCGCGTGCGCCCGGAGGATACACGTCCCACGCAAGGACATTTCAAATGTAATCGCGCATCTGCGATACGTCATACGAACAGATTGCGGAAAATAATATCATGCGGCTTCTGTGCCGCACGCGAACCGCCTGCTAGATCGCTTTGTTGCGTTGCCGCAGAAAAGAATTATTAACCCAGTAAATAAAACGGCATCAAAATTCATGTACTTTCTCTCGGCGCGCACGCGGTCTCGGAAAACCAAATTAGGAGGCCAAGAAGAGTCGTGTCAAAACTGTTACGTTGCAGATAATTAATTTTCTCTAGATTGTGTTCTCGATTAAAACAGATGAGAGAGATAGAGAAAAAAATGAGAAAAATTAAATCAAAACGCGAGTTTCTCGAAACGCATCGCTTGTGTATCTTTAACTAAAAAGTGAGATCGTGACGAACCTACTTTTTGAATTTCATAGACACATCCGCTTTCCCGCGCAGGGAAACAGTCCGATTTATTTTTATTTTACGCGATATTTATTTTTACTTTACGCGCGTGTCTTCGATTCTAATCATGTAAATTCTTTGTTTTTAATTACAGATCTTTTTACGACCGTGTCGCCCGAGAGTGAATTTGCATGTTCTAGCGACTTCAATTGCATAACCGCGACGCGTTGAGCCTTCCTACGTGTGCGCGCGGCGCTGATTTCACGCGCGAGTCTTCTTACGCACTTGCATAATTCCTCGTTAAAGTAATGCAAAAACGACGAGTTTCTTTTTTGCTTCGCTTCGTTATTTCTCGCGGTGTTGATGCGTGAAGATCCTCGAGAGGTTTCGAGACGCGCATCGCGGAGATAAATGTCTAGGTTCTGTGTGCAAACGGGACGTAACATTATAACGGAAATGATATTAAATTTCGATATTTATCGCGCTAAACTAATGAATTTAATGAATGATTTAATTACAAGGTATAACAAAAGGAATAAAGAAAAAACGATATATGCATCGCGGTGCGTTCTAATTACTCGGCGTGTCTTCCTTTCGTTTCGCATCTGTGTCAAGTTGCATCGATACGCGTGTACGCGCGTATAAATAAATGATTTATATACATGTGTGTTAATTGGAAACAAAGTTGTTGCACGAGAAAAAGCATTCTTCTCGATATAATAACTAGAACTTGTTCGAATTTATGCCAACAAGATAAATATTATGTGTGTATGTGTGATTAGAAAGAAAGTACGTGAAAAAAGCGTATAAAAAACTAGAGATCTTAATAAATTAACTTTTTTTTTGCAAAAAATATCGCCTCTCGGAGAAACGAGAGTTGGACTGAAATCCTACACTAAGAAGGATTTCAGTCCAAGTCTCTTAATCCATAATTTCGAGTAACGGTGTTTCTCCGCGAGAAGTGGCGGGGCAAAAGAAATCCCGTCCAGAAGGTAAAGAAACGACGGCGATGTGTGTAGAATTTCACAAGAGGAGACACGTATCGCGAACACGGATCGCGGATTTCAATTCTCTCTCATTCCGACGAGATCGAACACAATGCTGACCCTGACTTTTGTCAAGTTTCGCCCGTAATTGCCGTGCGGCGATTTATGTAATTTGTGGGCGGATTCGCGGTGCACCTCCTTGCGGAACGTCTTTTATTCCCGCGTAGCCGCCGCCCGAGCGAGCCGAGATTGTCTTTATTTCGTAACGATGAGGCGCGCGAGGAGACGAAGTTAGGTCAATATCCTTCGCGGACGACCGGTTATCGCGCGTCAAACGCGACATTCATCCCGCGATGTTAAAATTCAATTTTGCCGAGTCGATTGATCGCGAGTAACGCAAGAAGTCGGATACGAATTTAAACTTTGACATAAATTAGATAATATTTTGTACAATTGGAAGGTCTCTCCGCCAATCCATCATCTTCGTCGCGATTCAAGCCACATTACACCTTTGACCGTCATTACCTGCAAATTGTCTCTCTCTCTCTTTCTCTCTCTCTCTCGAGGCGGCAAATCTCCGCGCGGCAATATATAGTGTCGATTACGCGCGGTTTCCACAGTAACACGCATTACGCAGAAACGCAGTATAATGCGACAGTAAATTGCACTGCGCACTGTCATAAAATTAAGCGACGGAAATTATCTGTGTGTAAGTTGTGCGAATATTATCTTCTCGAATGGATCATCAATATATTTGAAATAAAATAAGTGATTTTATATGTTGAGAATATTATGAAACAATTTGTGTTTTACGCTGACTAATTGATTTTTATTGCAGCTCTATTGATCTCTCGTTTATTCGATGTTTTAAAACAAGAAATTTTTTTATTTTTTTAT